ATGACTAGAGGAACTGGGAAGTAATAACCTCCCTCATACCTCCTTGGCTAAGACTCTAAAATCCCGTATTAATAATGTATGTTATGTCTTCAAAATACACATACAGGATCCTTGTCTGGTCCTTCATTTGACCATATCTAGACAAAACGGAGAACCGACGAGATACACCCTCCATTTATCTGGCGTCCCGATGACTAGTTATCGTGGACTAGTGGGTGTAGGCATAGCACTAACTATGACGGCAGAACAAGCACTATTAGAATGGATTCCTGTTAACCGTCATCTATGTGCTGGTATGGTATTCTGGCTCAGCAAACAGATAATGGTGAGCGTCTGCTACAACTGTGCTCAGACAATCGTTTATTTCTAACGAGCACTAATTTTAAGAGTAAAGAGAGATATCGTCTAACATGGCGACCCTCTGCATCAAACCAGCCATCAGTCATCGTTGGAGAGGCTCAGGAGAAGACTGCCGCTTGTTCTGGAATACATGTTTAGACTCTAACCATGATCTAATACGAGCACGTATATTTCCGTAGATCATTGATGGGAGTGAAGTAGTTAAACGCGTTGACAACTTCACTTATCTTGAAAGTCTGATCAGCCCTAATGGGTTGGTGTCTGACGAGATCTATGCACGGATTCGAAAAGCTCGTTTGGCTTTTCCCAACTTACGTCAACTATCAGAAGGGGTTTGTGGAGATTTTCGAAATTTTCACAGATTGAAATCATGAGTCAGTTGAAGCTAGACCACCACCGCACTGCTGAGGAGTCCCATACTAGGACGAAACGGCCGCCCAGTGCTTCCAGGTTTTCCATGGTGGTCTAGCTTCAACTGAATCACGATTTCAATCTGTGAAAATTACGTCAACTATGGCGAAGGCGAGATATCCGTCTATTAATTAAGGGACAAGTATACTGGGAAGCAGTTCGTTCTGTCCTACTTTACGGCTGCAAAACATGGCCAATGAGAGTAGAGGATACTAGTAAGCTATACACTCTCTGTCTTCCCTTAAACTGTGAGATTAAAATTACTTTATACCTTCCTTGCTAAGAACTAATTTTTTCCCCGTATCATATTCTCACATGTAATCTTTATTTACATACATTACTACCATTGAAGTAACTACTATGAACTTGCTATTCGTCTTGTTGTGCTAATGAGGTATGGCCAAAGATATAAATGTACACTAATTAAAACCTAAATCGAATAAGTCAAAAACTCCGCGTTGTACAATATCGAACAAATATTCAGTACATGCAGAGAATTAATAAAAAAAGCTTACCGATACATAAGATTGTAGTTGTTTCAATGGTGTGACAATTGTATCAATTGATTTATCCAAACCAACAAGATTTGTTGATAGACTTACAAAATCAGCATAATCTTGATTGATCAATTCAATTAAACTGGACTTAAGAATATTAGAATATTGAAGAAGATCATCACGAAGTTTTTCTAATGATATCCCACGACAATGTTGCTCCAAAATAAAATCGTCCGGTTTAAAGTCATCCTGTAAAAATATTTTCAAAAAAGAACTAGTGTGAATATAAATTACTTTACAGCTACGTGTTGAAAAATACTTGATGACAGATCGACATACTGTTTCATATACCTCAAATACCAAAAAACAATTCCATAAAACTTCCTTAGTCATCATTTTTGCAGATTTACGCAAAGATTACAAGACATCCATATGAATGGTAAGGCCATACATGGACCGCTTAGTGGTTAGGGAATTCGGTTCTCAACCAATAGACGACCCTAAATTAGAAACCCTCTGGATATAGTTTTGTTTAGGGGGCCAAACACCGAGCCTAAAGGTCTAATCTATAAGGCAGTGGAGCAACGCCAGGAGATGCAGCCCCATGATAGCTGGCGACCAACAATAGGTTCATATGCCATTTATTCCTTCCGTACCAGGGCATTTAGGGACAAACCAGTCATTAGCGTGTGGTAGAAGAATACTTGCGATATGTATTGCAACGAACCAGTCATCAACTATACCCAGAGGTACAAATAATGGTGGATTATTAATGGAAGCGATTGAACTGTATGCTTTTTGTTCTAAAAGAATAACTGATTTTACTTGCTGATACACATACATGCACCAATAATCTGTATTTGAGTAGTGGACATTCCATTCATTGCAGAAACTACTTAATCTTCCACTGTGTACACGGAGCACATAAAGTATATTCGATCAATATTCATACACTATATATGATCTAACTCAGATACTAACAACTATACCACCCAATCAAAAGCAATCGATTTTAGACAGGGATGATCAGACAAAAAGTTATAGTTTGACGGGTAGAACACTAAACTAGTGTTGATATATTACACAAGGTACGATATATATATATATATAACTAAAAATGATAGCAAGGTAAGAAATTTTGGATGTCCTGACAACTTTATCCAGTTAATGAGTCATAAAGAAAAAAAACTCAAGTCCTTCATTCCACTAATTGCAATTATCAAATATGGTTCAGATCGAGATAATTAACTAAACGATGTGTGATCTGTAGTTAAAAACCTACTTTGAAGTGGAAAGCTACTCGGAGTATGAGAAAACCACACAGTGGTCTGCATCGTTCTGTAATGACAATTGTAAGTTTGCAGTAGCAAGAGCCCTTTATGATTGTAGATTTCATAATCTATTATAGTGAGGTAAATGAACTTATTCATTTACCTAATTGAAATGACCATCACATTGTTCTGAATCTTTGTCGTTTAATTTTTTCGTCTTTTATTGTGTAAGCACTATTACTACTTCCTGTTGACATGAATAATTGATGCATCAAATACCAGTAAGGAATTTTTAATATCACTTGTGTAATATTGCGACAAATTTCTGTACATCATGCTTTCGAATTGTAATTGATCTAAAAGTACTTTATAAATATTCCAGAAAATTTAGTATTCGTTATCTATCTTCGCCCCCAAATGCCCTGATACGGCCGAGAGTGGGGAGAGTCCGCTCTTCCTCTCGAAATGCTCTCACATGGCCACGCGTATATAGCCTGTCAGGGAAGTCCTACTCATGGCCTTCTCGTGGCGGTGTTGTTTACGAAATTAAAAGAACGAAAAGCGAATGTCCGGCGTTTTAACCGGGTTGGTGGACATTAAGAATCCACCTAGGGGAGTTGGAAGAATCTGATTCCAAACCACTGGTGCACATGGGCTCCAGTATCCTGAAAGAACAAATGGTGTATGAACCAATCGTACGTCACCGGCTACCATGGGACTACATCTCCTTACAATGCTCCACTGCCTTGTGGATCAGACCTTCAGGTCGAAGGCACCGAGTGTGGCCTCCTAAGAAAACCACCTGCGTCGGTTTGGGCAGCCTGGGCAGTATCACAGCCCTCACACATATCAAATGAGATTTGTGTGGCGCATATGTATTTGGTGCCCTCTTGTACCAATATCTGTGTTAAAATAAATAAATAATAAATATCTATCTTCGACTGTGAAATGTTCCTACTAGTTCAGCTGCTACAACTAGGTTTTCTTCTCATATTTGTTTCATTAAATGATAGACAAAGAGAAAAAAACATACAAAAAATAAAGATGACTTTGTTCGAGCTTTTCCGTAATTAGTATAGCAATAATTTACAAGTTGTTTCTTGTGGTAGCGTGTGTCAGTAGTATATACGTTTATTTAAAATAGGTGACCCAAAAGTTTGAGCAGACCTCTGAAACTGCTATGCCGTCGTAATGTGCGACAACATAAATACATACGTGTGAAATTTAATATTACACCCTGTGAAACTTTTAAGTATAGGAAGGATCTAGTTAGCTAATGAAAGTCATATTTGACATGTATAAACCAGACGAGAAGCTTATAGCGGGATGATAAACAAAGTTTGCAGTAAAGCCATATATACCATCGGATTAAGGAATAAGACCAAACTAGGCAAGGATTTAGAGGAAACTAATTATATGGGATTTTAAAAGTATATACTGAAACTTTCACTACGGTGAAGTTAAACAGGGCTCTATGTAAAATATACTTTGTGTCTCCCATTAATATTGTTAGAATGGACAATGACGAACACCTGTACCCTAACATAAAAGAACAAAGAAAAAAAGAATATTCAATAACCACTCCAATTTGATAAGAACTTAAAGAGTCAGGGGCTAGATATAGCATTTTTGGACATCATTTTGTATTACTGAGAAGTGAATATCTTTAGAACTTAGTCTTGTTATTTACGTGTCTGCGCTTACACAAATAAACTGGAAAAGTTAGGAAACAGAACTGATCACTACCAAGGTTTGACATGATAATTTCAAATAATTTTAATAGTTCAGACCATGAGTCAATTGAAGCTAGACCATCATAAAAAACGTGGAAGCATTGGACGGCCGTTTCTTCCTACTGTGGGACATCACAGCAGCCCGTGTCCACGATCCCGCCTCGGGAGATATCCACAAAACCCCTTCTGATATTAATTTCAAATAAATTGGACATTTTATTAAGAACTGATTCATTACTTCTTAATCAGTGAAATGAATGCATATTAATCTAGATACTAATAAGTAGAATCTGAAGGTCAAATATTTCTAATTCTTTAACTAGCAAACAATTGTTTCATAATATGCATATGCATCACTATCGGGATTGAACTGAAAAATTTCAAAATCAATTTTCACACAGCAGACAAATGTATTCAAAAGTAGTTTGAAAAAACGCTTACATTTAGAAATGATTCACGATCAAAACAGAATGTTAGACCAATAGGAGCAACATCAAGAGTATCCTCTAATAATAATTTCCGTAAATTAGAATTTTTGTTTTCTATTGAAGAATCCACATTACTATTTTTTAATTCTTCAATTGTAGGCATGCTGAAAGACCAAAAAGCTCAGACTATTATCAAATGACACAACTTATTCACACTTTAATGAAAGTTAACTAAAATCTAACGTTATCAACAACCTTGATTATTCATTCTAACCAAAAAAAATGAAGATATGAACACAGTTGATCAATATATATGTATATTTGTATAGAAGTGAAACACCAGTATTTATCAGAAGTGAATACAATACGACGCCCGCTAAAATGTGTAGAAAGTGTCATTTTTGAAAAAGAAATAACTTAATTCAGATTGAATAAAACTTCAATGTATTTGATATGTATCAGTGATGTCTAATAGAAGATAATTGAAAATAGGTGTATTCTACACATCAATCATATACAAATGAATAGATAGTACTGTACAACACATGAAAACTTATATTTCAATAAATAAATATAACGATGAGAAAAGAAATTAAAACGACTATAATACAAGAATAAAAAAGCAGTCACAATAAGACTACAATTTTAAGTAAACGCAAGTTAGAAGAAAGAAAGTAAATTGAAAATAGATCATACACACATAAACACAAACGAGTATTAATAGTGGCTATGCAATGTACGACTTTATTTTTAAAGCTGAATTATTACGATTTAATTAATTTGTATATAATAAGAAAGGATAATTGAAAATGATTATAATTATAACAAGGGTAAAAGTAATGTACATGTATGTGAAATAGACAAAATAACAAGATTATATACAAGATTGATATATATATATATAAGGTATGAGTATGATTGAAAATCATCGTTTTCTACGACACTGACTTTTATGTTCTCTTTGCCAATGCTCATGTTGGCAATGTGTACTACAGTACGAAGTATTCCAACAACAATGATAGATAGCCTCCGTAAGACAATTACGACACCACTGTCGACGTTTAGTCTGAACAATAACTTCTGCAAATCTCGCCTCAGCAGCTTCCAAAGCATCATGAGCTAATTTACGTTCATGTTCAATAGCCTCACGAGCACTGGCTTGAGCTTGTTCAAGAGCTGAATGTAAAGCGGTAGCTTTCTCTTCTTTAAATTGAGCTATGAGTTTTTCTTCGAGTTCTCGCAAAGCTCTTTTAGTATCATTAGCTGCAGCCAACCGTTCTGCTTCACGTTCTTTACACTGTGAACATGGTTGTTGAGATAATATCGGTATTTCCATACTGGCTGGGGTCTAGGTAACGAGAAAAAATGAATAAACAAAATATATAAAATCAAAAATCTTGGACAATAAGCGCTAAATAAAAAAGAATGCTTAATATTAAATGACAATTATTCTTCATACTATTTCGCTGAAACCGAACAATAATTAACAGGTCTAATACTTGCTAGATGCTTATTATAAAAGATTTAGAACAAACAAAATTATTAAAAAGACTTGAAGTACAATGAATCTATTATAATGGACATGGATGACATAGTAAAAAAGCAACGCAAATCAAGTCACCGAATAAAACACTGATATGATACACTTGATAAGATTCAAGAAAGGAGGAACAAGAAGGCAGCAATCAATACCAGTCGAACAAGAGCAGAAAAAGCCAAGGCACAAGCTGAATACACAGAAATAAACAAACAAGTGAAGAGGAGCATCAGAACCGACAAACGTAAATATGTGGAAGATTTAGCAACGACGGCGGAAAAGGCTGCAAGAGAAGGAAACATGAGACAACTGTATGACACGACAAAGAAACTCTCTGGAAATCGCCGCAAACCTGAACGACCAGTGAAAAGCAGGGAAGGTGAGGTAATCACCAACATTAAAGTGCAAAAAAACAGGTGGGTAGAACACTTCAAAGAACTCTTGAATCGACCAGTTCCACTGAACCCACCCAATATCGAAGCAGCACCCACGGACCTCCCAATCAATGTTGGCCCACCGACAAGTGAAGAAATCAGCATCGCCATCAGACAAATCGAGAGTGGCAAAGCAGCAGGACCAGGCAACATCCCAGCAGAGGCACTAAAAGCAGACGTAGCGGCAACTGCAAGGATACTCCACATTCTCTTCAATAAGATTTGGGATGAGGAACAAGTACCAAAAGACTGGAAAGAAGGACTTTTGATCAAAATACCGAAGAAAGAGGATCTCAGCAAGTGTGATAACTACACGGGCATCACTCTTCTCTCAATACCGGGAAAGTCTTCAACAGGGTATTGTTAAACAGGATGAAGGACTGCGTAGATGCCCAACTTCGTGACCAACAAGCAGGATTCCGTAAGGATAGATCGTGTACAGACCAAATTTCAACTCTACGGATCATTGTGGAACAATCAATTGAATGGAATTCATCACTCTACATCAACTTCATTGACTACGAAAAGGCATTTGATAGCGTAGACAGAACAACACTATGGAAACTTTTTCGACACTACGGCGTGCCTCAGAAGATAGTCAATATCATACAGAGTTCATATGATGGATTACACTGCAAAATCGTGCATGGAGGACAGTTGACAAAGTCGTTCGAAGTGAAGACCAGTGTCAGACAAGGTTGCTTACTCTCAACCTTTCTCTTTCTTCTGGTGATCGACTGGATCATGAAGACGTCAACATCTGAAGGGAAGCATGGGATACAATAGACATCTAGAATGCAGTTGGACGATCTAGATTTCGAAGATCATCAGGCTCTTCTATCCCAAACGCAACAACAAATGCAGGAGAAGACGATCAGGGTAGTAACAGCCTCAGCAGCAGTAGGTCTCAATATACACAAAGGGAAGAGCAAGATTCTCCGATACAACACAGCATGCACCAATCTAATCACAATTGACAGAGAAGATTTAAATCCTTTACATATTTGGGCAGCATCATTGATGAACAGGGTGGATCTGATGCAGATGTGAAGGCGCGGAACAGCAAAGCAAGAGCAGCATATTTACAACTGAAGAACATCTGGAACTCAAAGCAACTTTCAACCAACACCAAGGTCAGGATTTTCAATACAAATGTCAAGACAGTTCTACTGTATGGGGCAGAAACCTGGAGAACTACAAAAGCCATCATCCAGAAAATACAGGTGTTTATTAACAATTGTCTACCCAAAATACTTCAGATCCATTGGCCGGACACTATTAGCAACAACGTACTGTGGGAGAGGACAAACCAGATCCCAACGGAGGAAGAAATCAGGAAGAAGCGCTGGGAGTGGATAGGACACACATTGAGGAAAGCACCCAACTGTGTCACGAGACAAGCCCTCACATGGAATCCTGAAGGTTAAAGGAAAAGAGGAAGACCAAAGAACACATTACGCCGAGAAATGGAGATAGACATGAGAAAAATGAACAAGAATTGGATGGAACTAGAAAAGAAGGCCCAGGACAGAGTGGATTGGAGAATGCTGGTCGGCGGCCTATGCTCCATTGGGAGTAACAGGCGTAAGTAAGTAAGTAAGTAATGAGTATATATATTCTAACCTATGTTGACAAAGTGAGATGTTTTTTACTAAGCTGATTCGAGAAAAAACATCAACACCCATGTAGGGACTAAAATAGCAGAATTAAGTTAAAACGTACGGAAATTAAACTACCAAGTTTATTCTTTCATACATAATAACATGAAAAGTTATATTTAAATAAATAAATATAACGATGAGAAAAGAAATTAAAACGACTATAATACAAGAATAAAAAAGCAGTCACAATAAGACTACAATTTTAAGTAAACGCAAGTTAGAAGAAAGAAAGTAAATTGAAAATAGATCATACACACATAAACACAAACGAGTATTAATAGTGGCTATGCAATGTACGACTTTATTTTTAAAGCTGAATTATTACGATTTAATTAATTTGTATATAATAAGAAAGGATAATCGGAAATGAACAGCTGCCTATACATATATATATATATATATATTTATATATATTGAGAAACAGAAAGATTTGAAGTGAAAAATTACTGAAATGCTTTTCTTTCTTGGGGATGGGGTAAAGAAATTGACTATATTCATGATTGTGAATAACAAATAAACAGAAATCGAAAAAAACAACAGTTATTGATGTGGCATAATCAGAGATTATAATTATAACAAGGGTAAAAGTAATGTACATGTATGTGAAATAGACAAAATAACAAGATTATATACAAGATCGATATATATATATAAGGTATGAGTATGATTGAAAATCATCGTTTTCTACGACATTGACGTTTATGTTCTTTTTGCCAATGTTCCTGTTGGCATTGTGTACTACAGTACGAAGTATTCCAACAACAATGATAGATAGCCTCTATAAGACAATTACGACACCACTGTCGACGTTTAGTCTGAACAATAACTTCTGCAAATCTCGCCTCAGCAGCTTCCAAAGTATCATGAGCTAATTTACGTTCATGTTCAATAGCCTCACGAGCACTGGCTTGAGCTTGTTCAAGAGCTGAATGTAAAGCGGTAGCTTTCTCTTCTTTAAATTGAGCTATGAGTTTTTCTTCGAGTTCTCGCAAAGCTCTTTTAGTATCATTAGCTGCAGCCAACCGTTCTGCTTCACGTTCTTTACACTGTGAACATGGTTGTTGAGATAATATCGGTATTTCCATACTGGCTGGGGTCTAGGTAACGAGAAAAAATGAATAAACAAAATATATAAAATCAAAAATCTTGGACAATAAGCGCTAAATAAAAAAGAATGCTTAATATTAAATGACAATTATTCTTCATACTATTTCGCTGAAACCGAACAATAATTAACAGGTCTAATACTTGCTAGATGCTTATTATAAAAGATTTAGAACAAACAAAATTATTAAAAAGACTTGAAGTACAATGAATCTATTATAATGGACATGGATGACATAGTAAAAAAGCAACGCAAATCAAGTCACCGAATAAAACACTGATATGAGTATATATATTATAACCTATGTTGACAAAGTGAGATGTTTTTTACTAAGCTGATTCGAGAAAAAACATCAACACCCATGTAGGGACTAAGATAGCCAAAATAAATTACAACGTAAGGAAATTACACTACCAAGTTTATTCTATCACTCATAATAACTGGAAATTCACATTATTAATAATAACGTTTCGAAGTAGAACATCCCAGTAATAAATTATAACTAATAAAAAGTTTCAAATTATACAATCACTGGTCAAAAATTACAAAAAGGAAATAAATTTCCTGACAGATTATAACAGCTTACCTGGATTCCTTTATGAAGTTGTTTTCTCGGAGAGGATGTCACAGAAAGTTCAGGACTTTTCACAGAAGCTTGACGTTGATTAGTTTCATTTGAAACATCATTTACTCCTCCTCCAACTGAGTCTCTGTTTAGAGCTGCTGCTGTAGCTGCAGCAGCAGCACGTTTATTTGGCGGTAAGTGTGAACGTGGGAGAGTAGACATTCCGGGAGTAGTGGCAACATTATTTGAATTGCTAGACAAGGCACCTGAAGATATAAAATGTGAAGAAAGATTAGCATTAGATGTAGTAGGATGAACGGAACCACTTAGTCTGTTATTAGTGGATGAAGTTCCTGAATTCACTGAAGAATTTATTGTAACAACAGAATCATTGCATGGAGAAAAAAGATTTTGGCCAGTATTAGAAAATAAGTTTGTAGCAGTAGATAGACTGTTTCGATCATTAGTAGCGTTCAAATTACTAATGGATCCAGATGTACTCAAAGGAGGAGCGAATGGTGGTCGACGTAACATTGTACTGCTTGCTCCAGAAGTTCTATCCTTGTTGCTTGAACCACTACGAGTTGGACTACGGAATCTACGGTCATCATCTTCATCGTCAACTTTGACAATATTACGATGTCTGCGTCCACTTTCATCGTTGTCATCCATATCAGAAGAAGAAGGTGAAGAGCATGTACTATAATTGCTAGAATGAGAAGAACGCTGTTTAGCAGTAGATGCCTTCTTAGATGGTGATGTTTTATGGATACTCGAATCATTAGTTCCAGATTTTCTCATTGAAGAAACAGGTGTACCCGATGTGTTGTAAACACTTGATGAATGATGCGAATGCCAACGATAGTTATTCGAGTGCCTCAAATTCTGACTGTCGTTTCCAATGGGAGAATCACATCGGTCAGTTAGCTCGTCATCTTCATCTCGAACATTACCAAAACTATCCATTTGTTTGGAATACCTTTTAGAACGTTTACCTCCGGAATTCGCTGTATCTTGAGTCGAATTTTTATTTGGAATCGTTAACCGTTTTCTTTTAGCATCTTCAATACGATTAAGAGAGCTATTTGAGGCAGCTAACTTCGGTCGTCCTCGAGTTGGACTCTAAAAAGGTCAAATAAGGCTAATAATTAGAGCAACAAGTGGAAACGAGGAAAGAGTTTAACTACGCGCCATAAAAAATGTAATGTAAACCTAGTGAGAATTTTAACATATGAGCATAGTCAGTAAAACCTATGGAAAAATTAGTGTACACTGTGAGAAAATGCCAATAAAAAAGATGGACTACTCAACATGTGCGGATTCAAGATAACATGCATATGAAACTTGAAGCCAGTTAGTCATTATGTTAATTTAGTTTCTTTTTGACAGAAGCGTTATTTACAAAGTTTACATTAGGTTGGTAATATTTGTAACTAGTGAGTAGGAAATAACGACTGAATAGAAATTTTACTCTAAATAATTATCTCAGCAAAGCATGATAAACGTTATATCTAGATGGTTGTTTTCTTGATATACTGCGTATAACTTGAGCAATAAAACGCCAGAACCCTTACAAGTCGCAGTGAGAAGAGAGAAGAGTAGTGAAAGGAATGTTATTCCAGACAGTGTGAATCATAGCACAAAATTGTCAGGTATTTATAGTTTTTTAGTAAGAACGAAATCATCATAACAGTCCTCCAACCCGCATACAGGGGGTTATTAGCATTGTCCAATCGGGAAGCTACAGGTAGGAATTCTAGGATATTCTTCCAAAAAATGATCGGATGGAATACCTTCAGCTCCTTCTGAACCTCTTACAGCTTCCTCGGGTTCACCCGTGGTCCGTCCTCACAATAGAATTCAATATAACATTAAATAGAAAAGTATATGCAAAACAATAATCTAAACTCGTTTACATTTCCATCGAGATATGTTCAGTTGCAAATCTAGCTTTGGTAATCATTAACATTTTTTCGTTAACGCAGAGGACAACTACAAACTAGATTCTCCTGAATGCCAGAGGACAGTAGCACCCATTCAACTGTAAATAATTGGTTTTCATACAGACAGTAATGGAGAATAATTGTGGTTTACAGAGGTCTCATCCAATGTTAGGCATTGTTTCATGTTCATTTGCGTCAGCTGTTAAATAACGTGGGAGCAAAATCCGACTCAAAACCTCCACGTGGAGCCACTGGGTAGTGGGGGAAACTCCGCTAGTTCATTCGGGCGCTAAGCAGAGATCGGATTAATCTACCACTCCTAAACTGAAAATGGATTACTTGGGGTTCAAACATTAAGGCTCTCAAATGTTGCGGACTCCCCGATGTGTGTGTTTGTGTAAGTGAATTCCACGAGTCACAGTTTGTGTAGGTAAGCATATGCAGAGGGTATACGCCGGGATTGAAAAAGAAACAAACTGATATGTCTGCTCTATGTCTAATAAAATCAGCTGCCTAAACCAACAAGTCGAAGATATAATAAAAAGACACGATTGCACATATTAGGGGAAGGTGATCATCAACCCTCCCTGAAAGTGTTTATGCTTATGTGCACGCTATGAAGTGCGAGGGCGAAAGTCTTTGTATCAGTGGTATGCATATAATGCTCAAGAGACAGTCAGTTATGGCGAATGCGTTCGAATAGAGGTTAACATCTAACCTCCTGAGTGAATACACCTATATGTATGCGAAAGGATGCATAAGTGAAAACTTATAGGTTACCTGTATGTATGTAACGCATACTTGCACCTGGTGCGATACCCGCGCGACGAGAATCGGGGGGTACTGATTTCACCAGGGAATAACACCCATACAGTGAGTTTGCGAGTCTGGAAAAACAGAACCTATTTCCAGAAAAGCCACCAGGCTTCACCAACATTAAACGGCTGGAACCGAGTTGGATAACGCAATGACGTTTGAAGTGAACGATATTGGGTTCGGGTCCCGGAGTGAATACCAACTCTAGGATGTAGACACGCCCAGATGACGAGTCCCAAGCAAGACAAAACGCGTATCCTGGATCCCACTGCTATTCGCCATTTTTTCTTTACTTACGACTGTTTTATTTTGTTGAACAGTGAGATAGGATTTTGAAAGATGTTCAACGTCGTCCAATCTTAATTATGACTGACATGGCCAACACTGAATAAGACTAATCATCAAAATGTGCTTAAAATGCGATCAATTCACTTGTGCGAAGCCTACAAAAAATATTTTTATTTCTATTCTTTGCTTTCAGAGGCCGAGATTACTTTATATTCTTCTTACTTCGAGTGAAGTTGTGATGCTTCAGCATATTATTGACAGTAATGAAACCTAGTGGAATTGATAGCTTGTTATCAATTATTGATCTCCTATATTTTGTATATGACTGTGTCACCACATCACATAAGATAACATTAAGACGTACAATAAAAATAATACCAATCAAATTACATTGAAAATGAAGTCATTAAATAAATGGAAAACAATTAGGGATTGTTAACGGCTAGTCAGCAGAAAATAATGATAATAACTAGGATATGTTCTAAAAAGTTATATGTATTGAGGCTAGTTTATAGAAAGAACTGTAAGATCATAGTATAATTCATTATTGACGTGTATTGATCACCAAGATTTAAACGAAGCATGAATTTGTAGGTATCATTACCAAGGTTTGACTTGATAATTTCGAATAAATTGAACATTTGGTAGATTGGCTATTTATTCTCTGGAGAAGTGGCTTACACTGAGTCACGAAACGTCAGAAAATCTAAAATATTAGTAAATTGTAATTTAAGAGGTTTATTAACAGCCTAAAAACCATATACACAGACATCTCAATTTAAGTGAGGGACAACATTTAGTGGTCTCAATTGTTCCAAAAACTATACTCACGTTAATAGACCATACGTAAGGCTCAGAATTTTAGGGACTTACATTGTCCTACTAAGAAAGAAATGGATAAATATGCACAAATGGTTTGTATGTACAAAATCGTTTATGCGCCTAAATAGTAAAGAATGAGGAATTTATAATTAAATTTTTCATTTAAAAACAAGTACATATAGTTCCAAAAAAGATACACTTACAGGTTTTATAACATTTGAAGAACCCGATTTCGTCCACAATTCTGAATTGCCTTCAGCATCTGAACTCTCAGCTGTTGGTGAACACCAACTTGAACGAACAACATCGTTAACTATAAAAGTTACGCAGAAACGGTAGTAATGTAGTTAAAATGAAAGTTAAATTTGGTTAAGATGAAAGGATGTGTACAGAAAGAACCTCACTTTGCGTATACTTAATTATTTTATATAAAAAGTTCTCCAAATAACTTTAGGATTCAGAGACGAAAGTAAACCAGGTTGATCTATACACCATATAGAATAGTGGATTATTTTGAAATGATAAATGTAGATAAATTCGAAAAAAATATCGGTGAAATATACAATATAGAAGAGTGAAATGAAAAGCAAACGAATCTACAATAATAATGCTACACATGATACTTAGAAAGTTAAATTCTCATGAATGAACTTCTTTTATATCGTCAAAGCCTTAAAAAAAAAGAAAATTCACGGTCAAGCTTCAGTAATTTTGCGAGGTAGTGTAAGGATATTGAATAAGCTTTATACATATATTATAAAACGGCCTATATCTGAGTTTATACATATTGAAATATATTAACTTCTTTAATTAACGGTGAAACTATCGTAAACTGATGGGCCCTGAGTTAACGAATCCGAACTAATATATTATCGCGAATCGCGCAAAATTTAAAGTGCAATGGCTGGTAATTTGTATGTTATTATGAATTAAATGAAAACCGAAAATAGTTGCTTCTCAAAATATCCGTTAAAAAATTAGAAAGTAAATCTAAGATAATGCTTAGGCTGAATTACGAAACCTACCCGCTCCGAAGGCAGATTGTGTGTTTAAGTGCTTGATATGATTTAATGAGTAGTCAAACGTTTATGAAGCTAGGTAATGTTCTCCATTTCTAACTCTCACTTTAAATCTTAAGTTTGCAAATAGGAGAGTGGCAAAACATAGTAGTAGGCTGATGATAGGTGATGAAAAAACTCCATAGTGTGATAGCATTAATTCACTACACTAGCCTGACTCCTATAATGTAAATTTGACCTTTCTTCTTTACTGCAAGGGATAACTTGACATGTGAGGGTTAATTAGGCAGATCAAAGCTATTATTTCACTGTTCCGTTACTTTTAAATGTTAATTGTTTCATAACTAGACAGTCTCCTGATTAGCTGATAACTCGCCTAAGGTCATCAGCATAGTATAATTTACCTGATTAACCTATTCAATAGAGTGTCGTTTGTGTTGATAACAGTTTGTTTATACCTTAAGGCAATTATTCACATCCTTTGGTGATCATGTATGCTTGGTCGAGTGTTACAACCCACACATATTCCTTTAATTAGCTTAAATATTACTTACTTAAATCATCCGATGATTCATCCGCTTGCTCCTATATATATATATATATAAATTTCAGAAGATATACATATAACTTAAATTATATTCCTTCATTCCCTCGCGAAAGCATTTTCATATTTGTTTCGTGTACCTGTGGTCTGTCCTATACAACCGTAAACTGCAGTCACTCTATTGTCTTCTGAAATTTATACACCATTGGGAGTTATCTAATATCGGTTATCAGAACGAGTGATAAACGAAGTATAACAATTACTTTGAAGAAATCTGCGATATATTTAAAACAGCATAAACTGCATATTAGGAGTTTGAATGGTTGGAACAAATCCTGAAATACTTTTTAAAACTGAAATTACTTTCCCTAGATATATCTACTATTGTGTCATAGTGAATTGTGAATACTAGTGAAAGTAAATAACCGATGAATTTCACAAAATATTAATCTTAAAGCAGGGAATGAGAAAGAATAACAAGGAAAAAAGTTAGATCTCTGCCACTGTGAAAACATTGAGATTATGGTATTTTAACTAGTTCTAGAGTACTACAGAAGCGTATAAGTGACAAAAACTCCACCTGTAGCACTCCTACAGTTATTACCGGTCCCGAGCTTGGGTAAAGAAGGAGGGTTGTGCATGTAGTTGGCAACCCTATGCCATAGAAAATTTTCTTCTAAAAAACCACAAACCAGATTAAACTAATTAAAGCATTTAAACTCTGCCCACCGGGTTGAAGGAAGAATTATGACGCCTCAAGGTGAAAGCCGAGATTTTTCGGAAGTCACAAGACCGATGCTCCTTCTAACAACAAAAGCAAAATTTTTTATAGGTACATGGAACGTCTGGAAAACGTGAGGACCAGTCAAAAAGCAACGGAAATGAGGAGATACAATTTGGCGGCATTGCGAATCAGCGAAACCCATTGGACCCAAGTTGGACAGCGAAAGCTAGATATAGGAGAGATGCTGCTGTACTCCGGTCACGAAGAGGAAAATGCTCCACTCACTCACTCACTCACTCACTCACTCACTCACTCACTCACTCACTCACTCACTCACTCACTCACTCACTCACTCACTCACTCACTCACTCACTCACTCACTCACTCACTCACTCACTCACTCACTCACTCACTCACTCACTCACTCACTCACTCACTCACTCACTCACTCACTCACTCACTCACTCACTCACTCACTCACTCACTCACTCACTCACTCACTCACTCACTCACTCACTCACTCAGGGAGTTGCTCTAATGCTGTCCAAAGAAGCACGTAATGCATTTATAGGATGTGAATCTTACGGATCCAGGACCATCAAAACATCCTTCAGAACAAAGAAGAGAATCACGATGAATGTTATCCAATGTTATGCACTCACCAACAACGATAATAAAGATCATTTTTATGAGAGACTGCAATAGATCCTAGCAAAGTACCCAAGAGAGGATCTCGCCATCTTGATGGGAGACCTAAACGCCAAAGTCGGAATGAACAACACCGGATATGAAGATATCGTGGGATGATATGGACTGGGAGCAAGGAACGAGAATAGGGGGAGGTTTGTAAATCTATGTGCATTTAACAGAATAGTTAGAGACGGCACAATATTTCCACACAAACACATACAAAGCTACATGGGTCTCACCGGATCATACCACGGAGAACCAGATAAATCATATTTGCATCAATAAAAAATCTTGAAGGATAATGGAAGACGTGAGGACCAGGAGGAGCTGGTATAGCTTTAAATCACTACTTGGTGGTTTTCAAGATGAAATTGAAGCTAGAGAAGCATTGGACAGCTGAGGAAACAGCAGTACAAAGATTCAATACAGCGTTTCTACGAGATACTAACAAACTCAGCCAAATCAAGATAACTATCAACAACAGGTTATAAGCCTTAAAGGATCCACTGAAAAAGAAACTACGATGGAGGACAGCTGGAAAGGGATCAAAGAGGTATTAACTTCAACATGTCAGGAGGTGCTGGACCACAACAGGCATCATCATAAGGGATGGATCGCTATGAAGACACTGGACAAGATTCAAGAAAGGAAGAACAAGAAGACAGCTATCAACAACAGCCGAACAAAAGCGGAGAAAGTCAAGGCACAAGCTGAATACACTGAAGCAAACAAGAAAGTGAAGGTCATTAAGATCGACAAGCAGAATTACGTAGAAGAACTGGCAACGACGGCAGAAAAAGCTACAAGAGAAGGAAACATGGAACAGCTTTATGATACAACAAAGAAACTAGCAGGGAGATATAGTAAACCAGAGAGACCGGTCAAGGACAGAGAAGGTAAGACAATCACCGAGATTCCAGAATAAAGGAACAGATAGGTTTATAGCAGCTCACATACATTCGAGTTTATATGAGTATTCGTCAATATTAGAACGAATTGTAAGACAAAAATTAGGCGCCGAGTATAGAGAAGCTATTATATGTGAAAGTTATATTTAAAATTACCTCAGAGATTGAAATTTAAATAATTCCAAAGTTTCGTTCATCAAACTTGTCTGGACTTCAAGGTAATAATCAAAACGTTTGTTCACATTTAATTTCGTTAAGCCTTTTTATTAATTTCACAGGTTGAAATCATGAGTCAGTTGAAGCTAGACCACCATTGAAAACCTGGAAGCACTGGACGGCCGTTTCATCCTAGTATGGGACTCCTCAGCAGTGCGCATCCACGATCCCGCACCACGCGGGGCTCGAACCCAGGACCTACTGGCTTCGCGCGCGAGCACTTAACCACTAGCCGGCTCAGTGGTCTGTGAAATTTCTAAAACTCTCCACAAAACCCTTTTTATTAAATTATTTAAGAGACAGAGTCGTTCGTACAACAACAACTTTGTATACCATAGTACTTTTATTATTGTTGTGCTTGTATGCTTGATCATTGCTTACCGGCTACGCATATAGTCATTCTGCTAGTTTCAATGTGAGTCGCTTAAATGATTTGATGACTCACTCGTTTTCCTATATATATATATATATATATATATATATATATATATATATCAGAACGAGCAGTATACGAAGTTTAAGAATTATATCTAATGACGACCGCCACAGATGGAATAATTCGAGGAAATCTTGAATAGACCTCCATTAAATACACCGGACATCGAAGCAACACCTACACACCTTCCTATAGATATCACTCTACCAACGGCCGAAGAAATCGCGATGACTATCAGACAAATCAAGAGCGGGAAAGCAACAGGATCTGACAATATACCAGCCGAAGCACTGAAGTCAGATATCGAAGTAGCTGCAAGTATGTTTCACCTTCTATTCAGGAAAATTTGGGAGGAAGAACAAGTGCGGATGGATTGGAAAGGACACCTCATCAAGAGACCAAAGAAAGATCTGAGCAAATGTGAGAACTACAGAGGTACTAACTACTGTCAGTACAAGGAAAAGTTTACAACAGTGTTGCTTAACCGGATGACAGACTCAGTAGACGCCCAACTTCGAGGTCGACAAGCTGGATTTCGTAAGGATCGGTCGTCGACAGACCAAATCACGACACTACAAATCATCGTCGGACAATCAGTTCAGTGTAATTCGTCATTATACATCAACTTCATTGACTATGAGAAGTCATTTGACAGTGTGGATAGGAGAACATTATGGAAACTTTTTCGACACTATGATGTGCCTGGGAAGAACGTTACTATGATACAGAATTCATGCGACAGACTACAGTCCAAAGTTGTGCATAGAGGACAACTGGCAGGTAATGACTTGAGTCAGACAAGGCTGCATACTCCCGCCCTTCCTCTTTCTTCTGGTGGTCGACTGGATTATGAAGACCTCGAAATCTGACAGGAAGCATGGAATACAATGGACAGCTCGGAATCACCTGCACGATTTGGACTTTGCAGATCACCTAACTCTTACATCTCATACACAGAGACAAATGATGGTGAAGACAACTAGTGTAGCAGCAGCCACTGCAGCAGTAGGCCTCGACATACACAAGGGAAAAACCAAGATGCTCAAATAAACATGGAGAACACCAACCAACCCAATCACAATTGATGAAGAAACTCTGGAAGGGTTGGACAGTTTTACGTATCTGTGAAGCATCATCGATGAACAAGGAGGATCTGATGCAGACGTAAAGGTGAAGATTGGCAGAGCAAGGCCAGGATTCTTGCGATTGGAGAAAACATGGAACTTAAAACAACTGTCTGTCAACCAATATCAAAGTCTGAATCTTTAATACGAACATCATGACAGTCCTACTGTACGGGGCTGAAACTTAGAGTACTACAACCATAATCGAAATGATACAAGTATTTATAAACAGTTATCTACGCACGATATTCAATATCCGCTGGCCGGATACCGTCAGCAGCCTGCTGTGAGAGAGAACAAACCAGCTCCCAGCTGAAGAGGAAATTAGGAAAAAACGTTGGAAGCTGATAGGACATACATGATGGAAATCAGCAAACTGCATCACGAGGAAAGCCCTAACTCGGAATCCTGAAGGGAACCGGAAAAGAGGAAAGTCAAAGAACACACTGCGCCGAGAATCGAAGCAGACATGAAAAGGATGATTAGCAACTGGGAAGGATTGTTCAGCACAGGGTCAGATGGAGAGTGCTGGTGGGCAGCCTATGCGTAAAGTAAATATATCAATTAAAAAGATGATTGCAAAAGAAAAGTGTGAACAGTCCTAACGAATACCACTAGGTACAGGCATTCCAAATACCAAACCATCGTAAGAACTGAAGTTATTCTTTTTTCCAGACGTTCACACCCTTCCCCACTTGTTAATTATTAGTCTCGATCGTAATGGTTTATTTAGGACATTCAAGAGTGGTAGACAACTATAAGTTATGCAAGCATTAGATGTCCGAATCATCCTGTGGCACGTGACTCAAGAATTGAAATCATGAAAATTAAGTGGTGAAACGATAACGTTACATGTTTTGATATCTGAAAGTAAACTTCTGATATTTGATTTAAAAACTGAATGCTAAAAACCACCGCATAACCACCATGAAGATAAGTAATATACTTTTTAATAACAAAACGAAAGTCCAGAAGACTGTTTATCCAGTATGTTCACCGGAAACACACTGAGTACGATAATATCTGAATATATTCCACCGAATTGAAACCATTTGGAAAAATATTAAAAACCAGAGGGAACTGGATGGCTCCTGTTAAACATAGATTAAACTGTTTTCAAAGGGCGAAAATATTATGAAAACTGTCGCTGAATTGTCTGATAACAGTTAAAGTAATTTATGATACATTTTAAGTTAAGATAGATGAATAATATCTAGGATTTTTGATTATTTTATTAAATGCCAGTTCACGAAAAATAAATTTAAACCAATAAGAAAGTCCTCACAACTCTTATTATCACCAATACGAATATGAATTAAATTATGGAAAAAAACTTACCAGCTTTTACACGACCTCTAGATTTAGGTGGACGTCCACGACGTGGCATTTCAGTCTTTCTAACTTTCCAATCAGTAGAGGACTAGTAAAACAAACCAAATAAAGGAATCTTCATCAAGCCGTATTGTAAAGAGAACAACACATTTAAGTTTCCAGTGAAACCAGTTTATTGGGGATTTCAAATAAAAATATCTGATTTAGTCATGTAACGAATAGTGAGAATAAATAATTATCCATAAGGAATGTTACAACTAATCTGAATAAGGGACAAATTATACAAAAGTATGCATTTTTCAAACGAAGATATCTGATTATTTAAGTTGGAGTTATCGCAAGGAACACAGACCGAGTTCGAGTAGACGACTTCTACCTATTCATGCCGATGTATATCATGGTGACAGTTGGACAGTTTTCGCTGGAATGCTGGTTCCCATAAATGTAAGGTCGATTAGAGGGTGGTAAAACGGAAAGCAAATACTGATACAATGTTAGTGAGTCGAGCGAAAACTGTCGGGTTATATTATGTAAAATTAAGATTACAAAAACAGTCTCTGAAGTACACAACTTCGAAGAGCAAGTAGGAGTTGGGGCACAAGGAAATATTTTAGGACACTTATTAGTGTTTGTCAGTCAGTCACAACGCAGAACCTGTGCGTATGTAGATTGGTCCAAGTTTCCATACCCCCATTAGTAGCATACTAAGCCAAATTCCAGAATCGTAGATGTAGTAATGTATTAAACAAAACACGGGTGGGGACAATCGAATGTATTTGACACAAAATTACAGAGCATCTCAATAAAATCTGAGAACCAAATATTAAATCGTTAATTTGCAAAATATCCACCAACTGTTTCAAAATGCCTCAGACTTCGTTGTTCTTACATTTTCATACAAATTGCATTCTATTCCCGCTCTTGCTTTCTTGATCTTCCCTCATCTTCTGCTGTCAGACATTACATTCCTGACTTGCATAATATACTACTTATATCAATATAAGTCGCACGCACCACAGTATCAGTGGTAATAGGGAAGATAAGGAATCGAAGATACGATTCGAAAAGAACATAAATGAGTGAAATATAAACAAAATAAAAACATTTACAAGGAATTTAGAACTCCCGAATTTGGGGAAGACAATAAATGAGTGCATTTGTGATATTGAAAACGACTTTGAATTATGTCATTCAAAGTCTCTCACCATTAGTTACGATAATCACGCAGACCCTATTCTGGTAGTCTATACCTGGCTAACTCCAATTGTCAGTGACTTCATGGACTGATGCCATGTTTTAATTCGACCGCCGTCAGCTTTCTTTTAGCCCACTCCTATACCAGAAAACATCGCCCGTCGAAGTAGCACTTATTATTTGTGCACACGAACAAATAATAATAGTCGTTTTTATTTAACTTCGAAGCTGCTACCTTGACGCGGTGGTCAAGCTTGCCTATCGTAATGACCCAACCGAGCTATACTGGCTGGAACATATGTTCCTGTAGGTTCTACCATGCCAGGCAGGTCGATTGGAGAACGGTAAGACTAAAAGCAGCAACTCAAGGTCTGAGGGCGAAGTCGTACTGCTGACTGTAGAGGGGTGTGACAGCAGTAAGGTGTTTCCTTAAAAAAAAGCCCAGCATCTACAGTAATGCTGCCTTCCCACAAGGAAGGAAGGGTAAGAAAATGTCGACCCTAAAAATGTCACACCTCACCTTACGGATTTCCGTTTCCGACAGTAAGGCCCTTTGAAGAACGGAGCTAACACATTAAAGAACTTCCACAAAAAGACCGTGCGCGACCGGTCTCAAGTAGTTGTCCGTTGGGCTCTGCGGTCACGCTCCCAGGTCGTTGAGACCAACACTAATTCAATTCCCTTTTCAGGTTCCTCAAGAAATACCCTTTCACGGTGTGGGCAGCCGGGAAGTGATATCAGCCCTCATACCCGTATCAGCACACGAGACCGGGTTGGTCACATGCAAATCCCTCCTACACCTCCTTATACCTCTCTTATCTCCATGACTAACCCTTCTCACGTCTCTTTATCACCTCGCACCGCTAGGGCAAACCATTCGAGTACGCGGAACGCTATTCCTGGTCTCCTGAAACCACATTCTAAACTACATGTAGGAGCTTTTAACGTCCGAACACTGTGCCAAATAGGACAGCAGGCTTCCTTAGCTAGGACTTTACAATCCCGCGCCATCGATGTGCACTGCGTCTCCGAGACTCGCATACAGGATACGAGTAGCGTCATTCATTTGACCTCACCATGCCAAAATAAAGAACCGACTCGATTCACACTTCGTGTACCTGGAAGCCCTGATTCTGCTTCCCGTGGCCTCGCCGGCGTAGGCGTAGCATTGAGCCCTAGGGCAGAACTAGCTCTCTTAGAGTGGATCTCAGTAGACAGTCGTTTGTGCGCTGTCCGACTGAACGGAACAATAAGGATCCGAAAAGATAGGAACACTCGTCGTTGCCTCTGCCTATTCTCTTACTGACTGCAGCTCAGATGATGTAAAAGATGAGTTTTACAGAAAGCTCTCCGACCTTCTCCGAAAAGCTAGGTGCTTTGATGTAGTGATAGTGGCTGGCGACTTTAATGCTCAAGTAGGTAAACTAAGCGATAGGGAAAGACACCTGGGTGGATCTTATGGTGTCGTGGCTCAAAGAACAGATAATGGCGACCGTCTGTTGCAGCTATGCTCAGATAACCGCCTGTTCCTTGCAAATACTAACTCCAAGCATAAGGAAAAACATCTTTTAACATGGCGACCCCCTAATTCGTCTCAACGTTGGACCCAAATAGATCACATCGCTATCAGCCACCGACGGAGGGGTTCGATAGAAGACTGTCACTCATTTTGGAGCACATGCTTAGATTCAGATCATGCTCTAGTGCGAGCGCGTATTTGCCTGCGTCTTGCTGGACGTAAGGAAGGCGCTGCAAGGAAACCTTTTAGGGTCCTGTTTAATGATAGTCAAACTAAGGGTATATTCCAGGAACAACTAGGAAAACAGTTAAGCAGCCATGTAGGTGACGGTGATGTCCGAAAAGCTGTGGAAACAGCAGTGATATCTGCTAGTAAAGTAAACCACAGGGTTAGGGGGAAACACTGGATCTCAGCAGCATCTACCGCACTGATAGATGCTTGGAAACTCATTCCATCTGGCTCTGAACGTAATGAAGAGCGGAGTCAGCTTAAGCGCAAGCTGACAAGTCTACGCAATGATCATGAACAGTGGTGGGTAGCGAAAGCAAGAGAGATGGAAAAGGCAGGCCTTCAGCCACACTTCGGTTTCCCACGATTTCCAGTCAACCTGAATGGCAAGTTAATGTAGGTCCTCCGTCCCTTTACGAAGTTGAAAAAGCCATAGGAAATCTGAAACGAGGGAGAGCAGCAGGCCCTGACAGGTTTACTCCTGAGATTTTTAAGGATGGTGGTTCAGTATTAGCAGTGAGATTAACCGAGGTCTTAGGTAGAATTTGGGAACTGGACGTAATCCCATCTGACTGGTCTCAATCACTGATTGTGCCAGTTTATAAGAAAGGACAAAAGTCCTCTTGTGACAATCACAGAGGAATCAGTTTGACAAATATAGTGTTAATTTACTACCTTGTGTACCTTTATTCCGAAACTGTAAGTAAGTAGAGAATGCCCGAAATATAACCAAAACACTTAACAGAGAATTTAATCGAATTTATTTTACTAAAAGTAAATCATTCTCTTACCATCAAGAATAAAACCATCATTTTTTAAATATTTAGACATTTTTATCTCTCAAAATACGAACGCAAATTCCCGTTAATACACATCGTTATGAATACCATTAGTTATATTCAACAGAAAGTCTGTATAATGCTAATTGACTCATGACAAAATTTGGTAGGCCTTAAATATCAAATAAAATCAGAACAAGTAACTTAGTTGACTGGTTAGACTCCTGGAGAATGCATATGCATCGACTAATTAAAATCACATTAAGCAAATCATAAAAACAACATAATAAGAAAAAGTACTCACATTAGAACACCAGTTGTTTTGAGAACTATTATTTGCGGTGCGAGGAACATCTACTCCTGACAAGGAACCTGATGAAACAGATGAAGATGGGCTATCTGAAGAATGGGATGACGAAGACGAACTTCGGTATTTACGCCGCCGAATAGGTCTTCCCTTGCTATCTCGGAGAGGGGGTCTCCCTCGACCCCGTTGACCACGTATCGGAACGTTTGAATGATTTTCTTTTGATTGTTTTCGATAAGGTTTATCATGCTCACGATGAGTTAAAGATAAGAGGTCAGCAGTAAATGATCCAGCGGGCCTACGACCAGACCCAACTGCAGCTGCCATAGCTGCTTTTGTCTCTGCTAAGGCGGATATAGCTGCAGCGCCCGGAGTACCGGGTTGAACAACCGGCATTGGAAGACGATTACTCGCCAATTTTTTGTCAGTAAGATCGGTGTGTGAATTAAGCAAGAGACCATGGGTTCTGAAGTGCTTGCCACCATGAGTACATGGTGAGACATCACGAGTGGGTGAGCCACCAGTAGGAGTATCACTAGTAGTCGTTTGATGACTGCTTGAAGAAGTGTGACGCCTGTATAAAAAATAAAAAAGACAATTAAGACTGAAAAATTTTTCATCTTCCAAACCAAACGTAAAAATGTTGGGAAATCGAAATATGAAGAGCACAGGACCTCCTAATAGTTTAATAATTTCTAGTAAAATCAAGAATAAATTTTAAAATATATACCTAAATACCAATAAATATTAACACTACGAGGTGAGCAGTTCAAAGTCAGAAGTTAACATGGAATCATCAAGTCACACGTTACAACTCAACCCAGTCTGATTTATTTAGACAGCTCGGTAGTATTACTACCACGGGTAAAAAAAATGAAGCACAATTGTACTTAATAAGGGTGATAAGGGCATGTATAATTTTAAGCTGTCGATTGTCCCCACTTGTGTTCTCGTTCATTAAAGTAGTATTAATCGAATGATGAGGTCAATCAAACATAACTAGCTAAGCTAACACAGAAGACAACAAAGAAAATATTACAGAGAAGTTCGGGTATAAAAAGTACAATTATGTCCAAAATACCTGAAGAAAGTCAATATAATATGACGAATGAACACGTAATACAGTGGCACCAGCTACATAAGAGAACCACTTAGTGTCGTGTAAAAGACATATATAGAACGTGAGAAAATATAGTTTGATTACCTCCTTTTGTTAGCCTTGGTATTACCAGAAGTAAGAGACGATCTAGGACTATCTGCACGATGTGAACGTTGGCTTTGGATGACGGTTTTACGCCGCGGACCAAGATACATTTCGTCAGAGTAATCATCATCAGATGGGGGAAGATCGCTTTCACCAGAAGAATGTGTGTAATATCCACTATCGATGTTAGCTTGTAATTTACTAACTTCATTCCAAGCTCGTTCAAATCCTCCACCTGAGATCGCACCTGTCGCGTTTGAACGTCGAAGTACACCAACTTCATCAGCTGGGAGGTGAAAAGCACGAGTATGGGCTTTCTTTACGAACATCCGCTCATGGGAGCCTCCAAAGAAGCGTATCTAGAACACACATTAAGAAAGAAAAGGATAAAATCTATAAAATTAAATCCGAAATTTGCTATACTTATTCGAAGAATTTGGAACTAAGTGAATAAACTCAACTTAAAGAGTGGCAAAACTAAAGACAACTTTGAGACTTGCTACTGAACACTTGTAAGGTAAAATGATTAGAGGAAAAAATTTTGTGTATCCACAGATAGAATGACTCAACTGAAAATAACAAAGTATGCATCAATAAATTCAGATTGTCTGAGCTATGGAGCTTTTACTTGGTACCGAAACACCACTATATATATTTGTTTGTTGAGTAGGTATATTTCGAAAGTAAACTTCCTGAAACAGATAAAGGTCGATTCATTTCATAGAAACTTCGAATACATGTGTTAGGTCGAGCCACATGTATTATATAGTAGATAAATAAACTAGTCAGACAGCCGCACAGAATAAGAATCCAACCGTGTTCTAATGAAACGTAACGTGAGTTCAATTATTGTTCGTTTGTAATTAATAAGCCCTGTTCCCCTAGAGTATCAGTCTTGATTACGTATTCGCTAGAAAACGTTCATGATAATAAAATAGGCAACTTACCTCATATCCGTCATCGCGTTCCAACAAAACTTTTGCAGGCCAATAGAATTGAGAGACTGAAGTATCGTTGAACAAGCCAGCCCCTGCTGATGTGCGATTACGTGCCCATATCAATTCATGACGTGGTTTGCAGGGTTTACTAATCCAGTCTGTAACACGAGCCTTAGCGTTGATATAACAGTCAGTACACAATTGGATTTCATTTAATTCTGTATTAACAGATCGAAAGAAAAATCGTATCTCATCGGCTTGATTACTATAAGGGCCATGAAGAATGCAGACATCATGAACAAGCAATTGTACATCCATAGAAAATTCCTCTAAAGCAGCATACCGACCATCTTTTATCTTGCGTTGCAATAACTCTAGATCAGTGTACTTATACACAAGGTACTCATTTTTTGTTATTTCACCTTTATACCCAACTTGAATAAATGTTTTCCACAATGGCTGCTTCCTCAATTGATGGGTTGCAAATTCCAATAGCTTCCTTATCTGCTTGCGGGAGAATTCACATTTCGGTCGAGATTCGCATACAGGACAAGTAAAATTATCTTCCTGCCCATCATGAAGAGTTGGTGAACGCATAGACTTTCTTGATGGACTATTAGGACCAGATGCTTCTTGAACACAATCAGAATGATATACACGGAAACAATCAAGACAGCGTAAAACTTCACCAGGTCTATGGCACTGGAAGCAATACCAATCATGTTTGCCTCTAGGATGCTGTTTTGAAAAGTCAGGAAGCTGGTAACGAACCATACCATTTTTACCGAACGGAGGCTCTATTTTTTCAATTAATCCATCACCTTCAATTTCATCAAGGAGTAACCTTATTTGATCATCTTTTAGATCCAATGTTTTGCGAAGAATTTTGCTAATTTTGTCTGCTGGTACTGCTAGTCGGTGGGATTTAAGTACACCAAAAGCATCCCAAACTTGACGCACTTTTAAAGGATCGGCGTGTCGATAGCTACTAAGTTTGGCGTAATCCATACTTGAGATCAATTCATACTCTAAAACAAAATGGAAACACATGAAGTCCCAGAAACATATCCTATATGCCGTTAAACCACTACAGTGGGTAAGTTATAGGCATAAGTTACCTTTAATAAAACGAAGGATATAGTATAAGTGTGATTCGGTTCAATGAGTTACACCGTTTCAAAACAATGAGGCGAAGTCCATAAAGAGAGTAGCAAGAGTCGAGATAGGTGTCACTGATAGCAAGACTGGTAATATGGTTCCAGGAATAAAATAATAGCATAATAAGTATCAGTTAGTAGTGAAACGCAAGATCTAGGGGAAGAGTTTGGTCGCTGGTAAATATTTTTCAGCTTACTCATACACTAGGCAGAAATGGCCGTCGAAATAGACGGTTATTGAGGCTGACGAACATTCACAGTCATATCAAACAGTTCTCCATATTTCGGCGGATTAGGCACTCGACATTTGGACTAAATTAAGCAACGTCAATTAGGTGTTTCGCCATGTGCAAGCAATTTCATGATGATACGGCCAAATATTAGTCAGCGAAATTCCTCCTACTTTTAAGGATTACATTAAAAACATGACAGTCAGGTGTAAGTTATAAGATTACCAACAAGACTGGATCTAATTAGATTTAAAGCCATTAACAATCAGCAGTTAATAAAACGAATTTAATAATTGGTAAGTGGAAAAGTCCGATGCACTATCAATAAGGAAACCATAAGTTTTAGTTTTTCAAAAATGATTAGGATGTAAAGTTGCAAAACAGGCGGAACATGATTATCATTAATCACACTATATTTCGCAAATTGGTTTATGATAAAATCATGAATGTAGCAGTCACATTTTCACCCTTTACTGAATGTTAGAACACACTTATCGCAAGCCAACAATGGTTGTTTCTCGACATCAGAATCAACTTCGATTAGTTGGATAGAACTGTGCTCTGGGATTGTCTGTTAAAGGGTGTTTGCGAAGTTTGCTATCATCTTAAAGATTCTGTACACCAACACCTCGGGTAGAGTAAGAACACAAAACATTCCCCTGTTTCATTCTGGAAGCGCGGTTAGACAAAGTTGTTCAATCAAACCACAAGTAACTCGAGTTCGCCGTCGACGACATTTTGGAAAGCCAGATGAGAATATGCCAATATCAGCCAACTTTGGCACCTGCGTGATAATTTGGATGTAAAGGGTTGGACCTAAAATGTGTCGATGAGAACAGTTTTGTTTCATGCTTGTGAGATATGACCTCTTTGAGTTGAAGTGTTAAACAACTCTGTGTTTGATCGTCGTTTTCTCTAAAGGTTTGTGGACATTCAGCGACAACTAACAATGAGGAGGTCCGGTCATGTGTTCGTGCGACGACAATAGGTCAGTTAGTGACATTACACTGGGACACGCTGTCGTGATTAGAACACGTTACGAACGTCACCGAAGTGGCTTCTACACTTAGCACTACACAACGAGGCCAGGTGGAGTAGCCAGTTTATAATAAGCCACCATGGTCGACGTCATCAATCCAGTTACACAAGCAATTTAACATGTGGACATGCTGCATCGTTGTACACCATGTATCGCTCGGGATTATATTAATTAATTAGGAATCGACTATATCTACTAAACATTAAAACCTCAACCCAAAAAGGGAATGTTATGGTGTTTTGATATTCAAGACTTAGTTCATCTATTTATATTGATATGGAGAATCAAGCAACGTCAATAATTTCCATAGACAAAAGTGTGACTTACAATCGGTAATGGAATGTTCTTGATGAGTTACACAAAACTTAATGCTGGTTAGGATTACATCATGTGGTGCAGACATCCCGGTTGGTGTTAAGTAAAATCTAAGGGACATTTGCAGTGAGGTAGACAGTTTATTTTAACCACTCAGATGATCTTGGATGCAATATGATTTTGAGATCCTAGCCTCATAACTATTATCAGCTCTTGAAGGCTAGTCATCTCCGAGGCCATTACGAAAATGTTTCAAAACCATGACCAAAGGGTGAAACCTTATTGTCAACAGGCAGCGCAATACACCCAAAGCAATACTATCCCTGTGAGTAAACACTTTCAAATACTTGGTCAGCTGATTTCCTGTGCTTGTCAGTAAAGACTGATACACGCTCGAAACTGAATGAACACGAAAGTAACATCTGAAGTCAGTAAAACCAGACTTCATTGGATAATACCAAACGTGTCATACTAAAAGTTGTAATGTTTCACTCAAAAACGTACTGTCTAGACTATTCAAGTCAATAAAACACGAAATTAAATATAAATAAACATATGGATAGATAAAAATCTTGGTGTGACAAAGAGAAACTGCAAAAACTAAGCTTGGTCTAACATGGACTACATGCTGTCAGACGGTTTAGGAATTTTAATTTATTTTTTTGAATAAAACAGAAAATGAGATATGCATCCAACTTACATTAACGCAGGAGCTGCCATTGAAAGACAGTAAACTTAAACAAAAAACATGAAGTTTGTAAAATAATTAATGGACTGTGATTAAAATAAACAATTTTGCATTTTTACGTAATATTTGTCGAAGATTCACAGTGTAGTAATACAGCAGCGCCTATTACAAACAAGTTGACCCATTTGGAAATTCAGGAAGGTTTTGTAAGTCGTTGCTATTAATTTCATACCAATTTTAGTCTCTTCAGTTTACTATAAACATGATACTTGGTCATCAGGCCGTGAAATTTAAATATTTTGCTTTCTTAAAGTGCTAATATTTATTAACGTCCTGTTTGCTAATGTGATTATCAAACCGTTCCACTTTGTCCATAGTAGTTCAAATGGTTGTTGACGGAATAGAAAAAACTTTCGCGTAACAGGCTTCCGTGTCTAGTAGCAGGGGATCACCAAATCCTCCGGGAAGGAACCTAGGTATTCTTGTTGTCACGAGCGGCATTGCCAGCCGCCAGGTACTCGAGGACAGCTGCCAAATAAACAGGGGCACCAGCCCCGACACGCTCTGCGTAGTTACTCTTGCGAAGGAGGCGATGGATACGACCAACTGGGAACTGCAGACCAGCACGTGCTAATCGTGTTTTCGCCTTAGCACGAGATTTTCCACCATTACCGCGTCCGCACATTATCCGTCAGAGCCGAGGAACGTGGAAAATAAAAGAGAAAAAAGAATTTAGCAAATTATAGTATGATGCTGTCCTTGGTCCTTAAGAATAGGTAAACTGGAATCTTAAAGAATTCCTCGGAAATCTCTTAGACTAGCTCGGCCGGCAGCGAGTTCCAGCATGGTGCTCGAAAAAAATGCGCTTTCTAAAAGGGAAGTATAGTCCTAACGTGATTTGCATTTATCAGATTTTTGCTGTGTTCTTACTCAACAAAAGTACCATTTCCGTTCTAAAGAATCTATCCTGAGCTATGCGTTCGGTAGATTACTTTTTTGAGTTTCACCATATTTAATAGTTAACTGTGGTTTTGCCTCAGATTACTATTCGGCTTTTTTCACGTTAAGACTAATTCAGTTTATCTCACTCGTTTTTATCCATTTTTGTCCGTTTTCAGTGTGCCTTTTAGTGTATTTTTACGGTCTTAGGCTTTTGCAAGCATCTATAACATAGTTTGCTTCAACATAGTCATGAAAAACTCACGCAAACGTCCTGGATGCCGTTTTGCTGTTACAACTGGCATGCAATGCGACAACTGCAAAGGTTGGTTCCACGAAGCGTGCACAGATCTGACGGCAACTGCTTACAATAGACTCAGCAAGTCGGACCAAAAGTGGGTATGTGTCACGTGCAGCACGGACGCTGTAGTCTTGCTGAGTAACATCATCGTCCTACTGGCAGGTCTGCGGAACAAGTTGTCCGCAAACTTGGATAACGACAGTAAAAAGACGGGCAAACAAACAAGAGCGCGCAATGAACACAAGATTAGGGATGTCGACAGGTATACCATCGATGGAGCATCCATTAGCACTAATGATGACGTGTTGAAGCTCAGCACCATCATTACGTCGACGGTATTAGACTCCCTAAGTAAACTCGGGTCTCCCAGCTCAGGGTCCCTGAACACAACGGTGGTTCTCAAAAGCCCTGTAGGTGATTCGACCCACGTTAGCAGAGCCCGAAAGAACCAGGTGTCACCGCCTAAGCTGAGCATCCCAAGTGTTGTTGTACGGAAAACAACTGGTGATTTGGTCGCACAGTCTACCCCCAAGAATGTTCATCCGGTCATCAAAGAGCCCAAGACTCAAAAACGTGCCTTGACCTCCAAACAACAAGGTATTAAACCTGAACCCATCGGGAAACCTGGTAAATCAACAACAGTTCGTGACGATTCTCTCATAATCATGAACCTCATTGACAATCCTGACCCTCCTCTCAGTCTGCAGGACAAAAATGATAGGACGCTCTGGGGTGAATTGAACAAGAAGCTCAAACTTCCTAGAATAGAGCCTTTGACGGTCACCCGAGGCTCCTTCGAGTAACACTTAAGAATGCTACCGACGTACAGGACGTCTTGCTAGCCAGTCACTTGCTGAAATCCGATGGGAACGTAAGAATATTGCCCGACATACCGTACTCTGAGCGCAATATCATACGGAACACCCCTAAAGAATCTCGCGAGAAGTTTTTCCGTGGAAGAAACATAATTGTGCAAGGTATACCGGAAAATACGGACCCTAATCAATCAAACTCTGACATGGAATGGAAATTCATCAAACAGTATTCAGTAAAGTTGGTGTCAGCCGGTTGAAATGTTTGAGAGTAATGTGTCGCCAGGATTGAGGGGTTGTCAACTAGGGATTCTTCGTTCGTGAATACACAGTCTAAGCGCGATGGTGTCTGACTGTTTCTCCAACGAGTTGCCGACCTCACATTTTCGTATAATCCCAAGTCATCGATGAGGTTGAAGAACCGAGCTTCAATTGAGTTATCGCCTCCAGTATGCGTGTGATCCGCGAAGTTGACTCTAGGGAGATTAAAGTCCCCTAGAATCAGGATGTGTGTAAAACCGAGACGAGTAGAGCGGGATAGCCCTTCCAGCATACGACTGTCGTACTCGATGTCGGCAGTTGGCTTCCTGTAAATGACTCCGACTAGACACCTCGAAGTACTAGACAATCTTACAGAGCACCATATGGATTCCTCAAAATTGTTAAACTCGAGGTTATGAACTTGGTGCACCTCCAAGCAAGAACGTATGTATACGGCTACTCCGTCCCCAATTCCTAATTTTCTGTCGTTGCGGAACAAAGACATCCCAGGTAATGCTAACTCTTGGTCCGAGAACTGAGAAGATATCCAGGTTTCAGATATTCCTATCAGATGGGCCTTATTGGCGTCGCTAAGTTCACGTAATTCATCCAATTTGTTTGGTAGACTCGCGGCGTTCATATATAAGCAGTTTATGCTTTCAATTTGGAACGCGTGAGCTTCGTCCTGTTTGTCTGTATGAGCCTTACGTGAATGGACAGGTAGCCCACCTATATGAGGTTTGCCGAGGTGGTAGGCTCTGTCCTTTACACGTTTTTTATCATCTAGACAGTCCACAAGTGGAATGATCAGCTTCATCTTGCCCTTGTGTTTGGTCCTAGCTTCATATGGCCTTTCCAGGTGGCAATCGACGTCTGTTTGCACGAAATGCTTCCAGAGTTGCAGCCGCCATGTGGGAGGATGGGAAGGTTATCTTCATTAGACGGGGTCTAGGATCACCATCCTTCTTGGCTAGTCTCGTCACATGCTGAGTCAGTATGTGTTTGAGTCTCAAGGACTGTTTGATGAATTTCCATTTCATGTCAGAGTTTGATTGATTAGGGTCCGTATTTTCCGGTATACCTTGCACAATTATGTTTCTTCCGCGGAAAAACTTCTCGCGAGATTCTTTAGGGGTGTTCCGTATGATATTGCGCTCAGAGTACGGTATGTCGGGCAATATTCTTACGTTCCCATCGGATTTCAGCAAGTGACTGGCTAGCAAGACGTCCTGTACGTCGGTAGCATTCTTAAGTGTTACTCGAAGGAGCCTCGGGTGACCGTCAAAGGCTCTATTCTAGGAAGTTTGAGCTTCTTGTTCAATTCACCCCAGAGCGTCCTATCATTTTTGTCCTGCAGACTGAGAGGAGGGTCAGGATTGTCAATGAGGTTCATGATTATGAGAGAATCGTCACGAACTGTTGTTGATTTACCAGGTTTCCCGATGGGTTCAGGTTTAATACCTTGTTGTTTGGAGGTCAAGGCACGTTTTTGAGTCTTGGGCTCTTTGATGACCGGATGAACATTCTTGGGGGTAGACTGTGCGACCAAATCACCAGTTGTTTTCCGTACAACAACACTTGGGATGCTCAGCTTAGGCGGTGACACCTGGTTCTTTCGGGCTCTGCTAACGTGGGTCGGATCACCTACAGGGTTTTTGAGAACCACCGTTGTGTTCAGGGACCCTGAGCTGGGAGACCCGAGTTTACTTAGGGAGTCTAATACCGTCGACGTAATGATGGTGCTGAGCTTCAACACGTCATCATTAGTGCTAATGGATGCTCCATCGATGGTATACCTGTCGACATCCCTAATCTTGTGTTCATTGCGCGCTCTTGTTTGTTTGCCCGTCTTTTTACTGTCGTTATCCAAGTTTGCGGACAACTTGTTCCGCAGACCTGCCAGTAGGACGATGATGTTACTCAGCAAGACTACAGCGTCCGTGCTGCACGTGACACATACCCACTTTTGGTCCGACTTGCTGAGTCTATTGTAAGCAGTTGCCGTCAGATCTGTGCACGCTTCGTGGAACCAACCTTTGCAGTTGTCGCATTGCATGCCAGTTGTAACAGCAAAACGGCATCCAGGACGTTTGCGTGAGTTTTTCATGACTATGTTGAAGCAAACTATGTTATAGATGCTTGCAAAAGCCTAAGACCGTAAAAATACACTAAAAGGCACACTGAAAACGGACAAAAATGGATAAAAACGAGTGAGATAAACTGAATTAGTCTTAACGTGAAAAAAGCCGAATAGTAATCTGAGGCAAAACCACAGTTAACTATTAAATATGGTGAAACTCAAAAAAAGTAATCTACCGAACGCATAGCTCAGGATAGATTCTTTAGAACGGAAATGGTACTTTTGTTGAGTAAGAACACAGCAAAAATCTGATAAATGCAAATCACGTTAGGTTTAAACTTCGCATTTCGCATTGTAATTTTAAATAGTTTGCACTTGTTCCATATTCGGTGTTCGGGGGTTCTAAGTCGTAATGCATGCAGTAGGGGAAATCATCCATATGGCTGCAGAATCGTCGACCTCTGGAGTCATGATAAAGTCTCAAATAATCTTTCAGCCCCGATCGCATAGCTTCAATATTGTTAATGTGCACTCCGGTTGTTGAGTGCACAAAATGCTGCTTGTTGACAATGACACGATGCACAAACCAAGCCTATGTGTGAGTCTGTACGCTCCCCAAACATCCGTATATATTATAGTACCTGGCTGCAGCCAGTGTTACTTGTGGTTTTATTATTCTGTTCGCAATAATTGTCATAATTTGCCTTAGGAATTATATATGGGGTTCTCATCAAGAACTGACATCAGCTATAATGCCAGAAATTAATTTAGCGAAATGAATGAAAGGCTTTCGTGTTAAAATCCGAGGTCTATTATCTTATACCTGATTGATTCGTCCATAAATTAGTCTCGCCAATAAATGTAGTTAAGCAACCAATTTCGAAAGTTTTTCTAATAAAATAATCAGTGTTGTGCTTGAGAGTTGTTGGTCAAGATTTTTTGTTCTCATCCGGTAGGATGCATGTTGGAACGTTGCCTATCTCGGTTTCAACATACAGGTAGTATTACTAACCCTCGGACAACGTGTTACAAAGTTGAACTTGTACTTTGTAAATGGTTTGCACCAGTTAGTTATTGGTGCACTAAAATCGATTCGGTGCAGCATCTTGTACTAAATCTAACTATACTGTTAATCTTTATCATCAACCCGACGTAGAATGATGTCAACTTTCTTGAAACTCATATCACTTAGGCCAACACAGCAACATCAACCAGTTCTCGGACCAGTACTCCGGAAACTACTTCTGTCAGTGACATACACTACCATACATACGTTTTTCAAAAGTTCTCACTATTGATTTTTCCATTAATACGAACAGTTCCTGATCAGTTTACTTGCAAATTAGTTTTTTGTGTTTGCGGATTTATCTTTTTTCCCCATGACTTGTGTGGCGCACATATATTTTGTGCCTCCTTGTACCAATGTTTGTATTTAAACAAGTAAATAAATCCTCATAGATTATTTAAGTACAATACCTCACTATCTGATTTTGTTTTGTAGCTCTACTGAATACCAACTTTCCGAACTTCTTCCACTCTATGACAGTTGATAGTCTAGAGTGCAGCATTTGCTTGCAAAACCTTGTTCATCCTGCTCAGTTACCATGTGGTCATATATTTTGCTTTTTGTGCATTAAAGGTTGTGCCTTTCACAGGCGAAAATGTCCTATGTGCCGCAGTAGATTCTCGTCGCGTTTTTTCGATGATCCCAAGTTAATAAATGGTAAGTTTATTAGTCGTTTTAGAGTAGTAGTAACCTGGGTTTCCACCATCTAAGTGAGTCTTTTAGGTTACCAAGGGGATTCGATGGTCTAAGGTCAGATAACGGTGACCACCTTCAGCTTCGAGCAAATCACAACCTGTTGATGTTTACCACTTACTTCTACCACAGTCATCACTGATATGGAACTGGGGTCCCCTTTCTACAGCTAAAGCCTAGTCTCAAATTAGTCACATTGTAATCAGCTACCGCTGAATCAGATGCACATAAGATTTTCGCTTTTTGTCAAATACCTGTCTGGATTCCAATCATTATCTGGTTTGCACCAGATTTATCTTGTCTTTTGATGACCAACAAATTAGCTACACCTTCCATTGCAATGAACGTTAAAGAGTAACGAATAATCCACCAGATGGGCACTGGTTGTGTCCACACAACTGGATAGTGCTAAGTTGCTTGCGACTTTGTGAAATCTTCTCTTGAGGATTAGGTTCCTGTGAGTTCTTCAAAACTAATGGAGACATTCCGTTCAAAACCCGAGAAAGATTGACTCGCGAGGAGCAGGCTGGTTTTCGTTCTGGTCGAGGATGTATTGATCATATTTTCACCCTCCGCCAAATGTAAGAACACTGTCATACTTATCAAAGGCCAACAATCCTAGTGTTTCTTGACATTAGGGCTGCCTTCGATTCGTTGGACCGGACAAGAGTGTGCCTGAGAAGTTTACTAATATATTAAAAGCCCTATATACCAATACCTCAGGGAGAGTGAGGGCATACAACCACCTCTCTCTGTTGTTCCATTCGAGCAGTGGGGTTAGACAGGGTTACCCAATCTCACCATTCCTCTTCAACTTTGCCATCGATGACATTCTGGAAACAGCTCTGATGGATGTAATTAATGGCGGTGTAGATGTGTTGCCCGGAGAAAGACTTCTCGACCTGGAGTATGCGGATGTTGTCTTATTGTGCGATAATGCCCAAGGCATCCAATCCGCACTTAATCAGTTGGTAATCAGTGTCCGTAGGTATGGTATGTGCTTTGCACCTTCGAAGTGCAAAGTACTTTTACAAGACTGGAAAGATTCTAATCCTGTACTCACCCTGGATGGTGAGCAGATAGACGTAGTCGAGAAGTTCGTGTATCTAGGTAGCTGCATAAGTGCTGGTGGTGGTGTGGGTGATGAGATCAATGCACGTATAGTGAAAGCCAGAGCGGCTTATGCCAATCTGGGCCATCTTTGGCACCTTCGTGATGTTAGTCTGACTGTAAAAGGTCGGATCTACGTGTTGGTGAGAGCAGTTTTGCTCTATGCTTGTGAAACCTGGTCTCTCCGAGTTGAGGACGTTAGACGACTCTCTGTGTTCGATCATCGTTGTCTCCGAAGGACTGGTGACATTCAGTGGCAACAGCATGTCAGTAATGCAGAGGTTCGGCATCGTGTGTTCGGGCACAGAGATGATAATTCAATTGGTGTCACCATCTTGAAACACCGACTTCGGTGTCTTGAACATGTTCTCCGAATGTCGTCCCAGAGAATTCCCCGTCGTGCATTATTTGTCGACTCTGAGACCGGTTGAATGAAGCGGAGAAGTGGTCAGTGTATGACATGGTGTCGTGGTATGAAAGAAAGCTGCAAAGGGGTGGCTTCTGTTGGTCCTTGACAACTCCCTGGCTGGGGTTCTAGAGATGGTTCTACACAATAGCTAGAGAACTTGTCAGATACGGCTCAGAATAGAAGCCAGTGGCGATCCTGCTGTAACTTTCTTTTACTTTCTTCATAAAAAGTGGTTGTTTCCTCTTTAACTGAAAAATTTCTTCTGATTGTACCTTTCCGTTTCCCCCATTATTACTATTATTATTATTATTATTACTTCACTATCTTACACTAATCTGTTCGTTATTGTTCTTTTTTTCTCTTCTAATTCTCATTGTTTTGTGTGGCGCATACATATCTGGTGCACTCTTGTACCAATATTTATATGTTCAAATAAATAAATTCCGGTCTACTCCAGAGAAACGCTAGTCTAGTAGTATGCAAATCCTTGACTCAGGAACTGTACAAGGCTTATGTAAGGCCCAATAAACCTCACTCGGCCAATTGTATTCGAGTAGAGAACTTGTATAAGGTTAGTGTACTTTGGTCCTCCTTTCAGTGACAAACACTGCCATAGAACCTTACGATCAACAGAGTCAAATGCCGCCTTAAGGTCGAGAAATACCACCATTGTGGGGCGTCTGAATGTGTGTCTATGTTCTAGGACCTGGCGTAGTGTGAATATCTGGTCTATACAACTACGTCCAGGTTGGAAACCAGCCTGATTTTCTCTAGTCTGTTCTTCATGAGCTTTAGTCAGTCGTCGAAGTATTATTTAAGCTAATAGTTTAGACATTATATTAGTCAAACTGATTCCTCTGTGATTGTCACAAGAGGACTTTTGTCCTTTCTTATAAACTGGCACAATCAGTGATTGAGACCAGTCAGATGGGATTACGTCCAGTTCCCAAATTCTACCTAAGACCTCGGTTAATCTCACTGCTAATACTGAACCACCATCCTTAAAAATCTCAGGAGTAAACCTGTCAGGGCCTGCTGCTCTCCCTCGTTTCAGATTTCTTATGGCTTTTTCAACTTCATAAAGAGTTGGAGGACTTACATCAACTTGCAATTCAGGTCGACTGGAGATCGTGGGGGCGCACAACTTTTGGGAGGTAGGAACGCTTTCTGTAAAGCTCGTCTTTTACATCATCTGAACTGCAGTCAGTGAGAGAGTAGGCAGTGACGACGAACGTTCTATCTTTCCGAGGCTTTACTGTTCCGTTTAGTCGGACAACGCACAAACGACTGTCTACTGGGATCCACTCTAAGAGAGCTAGTTCTGCCCTAGGGCTCAATGCTATGCCTACACCGGCGAGGCCACGGGAAGCAGCATCGGGGCTTCCAGACACGAAGCGTGAATCAAACTGACTCCTTATTTTGATATGGTGAAGTCAAACGAACGACGCTGCTCGGATCCTGTATGTGCGTTTCGATGGCGCGGGATTGTAAAGTCCTAGCTAAGGAAGCCTGCTGTCCTATTTGGCACAGTGTTCGGACGTTAAAAGCTCCTACATGTAGTTTAGAATGTGGTTTCAGGAGACCAGGAATAGCGTTCCGCGTACTCGAATGGTTTGCCCTAGCGGTGCGAGGTGATAAAGAGACGTGAGAAGGGTTAGTCATGGAGATAAGAGAGGTATAAGGAGGTGTAGGAGGGATTTGAATGTGACCAACCCAGTCTCGTGTGCTGATACGGGTATGAGGGCTGATATCACTTCCCGGCTGCCCACACCGTGAAAGGGTATTTCTTGAGGAACCTGAAAAGGGAATTGAATTAGTGTTGGTCTCAACGACCTGGGAGCGTGACCGCAGAGCCCAACGGACAACTACTTGAGACCGGTCGCGCACGGTCTTTTTGTGGAAGGTCTTTAATGTGTTAGCTCCGTTCTTCAAAGGGCCTTACTGTCGGAAACGGAAATCCGTAAGGTGAGGTGTGACATTTTTAGGGTCGACATTTTCTTACCCTTCCTTCCTTGTGGGAAGGCAGCATTACTGTAGATGCTGGGCTTTTTTTTAAGGAAACACCTTACTGCTGTCACACCCCTCTACAGTCAGCAGTACGACTTCGCCCTCAGACCTTGAGTTGCTGCTTTTAGTCTTACCGTTCTCCAATCGACCTGCCTGGCATGGTAGAACCTACAGGAACATATGTTCCAGCCAGTATAGCTCGGTTGGGTCATTACGATAGGCAAGCTTGACCACCGCGTCAAGGTAGCAGCTTCGAAGTTAAATAAAAACGACTATTATTATTTGTTCGTGTGCACAAATAATAAGTGCTACTTCGACGGGCGATGTTTTCTGGTATAGGAGTGGGCTAAAAGAAAGCTGACGGCGGTCGAATTAAAACATGGCATCAGTCCATGAAGTCACTGACAATTGGAGTTAGCCAGGTATAGACTACCAGAATAGGGTCTGCGTGATTATCGTAACTAATGGTGAGAGACTTTGAATGACATAATTCAAAGTCGTTTTCAATATCACAAATGCACTCATTTATTGTCTTCCCCAAATTCGGGAGTTCTAAATTCCTTGTAAATGTTTTTATTTTGTTTATATTTCACTCATTTATGTTCTTTTCGAATCGTATCTTCGATTCCTTATCTTCCCTATTACCACTGATACTGTGGTGCGTGCGACTTATATTGATATAAGTAGTATATTATGCAAGTCAGGAATGTAATGTCTGACAGCAGAAGATGAGGGAAGATCAAGAAAGCAAGAGCGGGAATAGAATGCAATTTGTATGAAAATGTAAGAACAACGAAGTCTGAGGCATTTTGAAACAGTTGGTGGATATTTTGCAAATTAACGATTTAATATTTGGTTCTCAGATTTTATTGAGATGCTCTGTAATTTTGTGTCAAATACATTCGATTGTCCCCACCCGTGTTTTGTTTAATACATTACTACATCTACGATTCTGGAATTTGGCTTAGTATGCTACTAATGGGGGTATGGAAACTTGGACCAATCTACATACGCACAGGTTCTGCGTTGTGACTGACTGACAAACACTAATAAGTGTCCTAAAATAGTCTTACCGTTCTCCAATCGACCTGCCTGGCATGGTAGAACCTACAGGAACATATGTTCCAGCCAGTATAGCTCGGTTGGGTCATTACGATAGGCAAGCTTGACCACCACGTCAGTGTTGCAGCTAAGGTCGGGAATTTGATAGTTTACAATAAATGGATGTATTTAAGACTCATTACAGACATTATAGTTACTAGCATTGTGTATTCAAATAATCAAATGTAAATGCTATTTCAAAAGTATAGTACAACTCAGTAATCATGTCTGCGTTCACAAACTCGGCTTCCAGGTTACGTTTCATTGTGCTAGTGATGCTATCAGATTGCAAAGTAGACGAAAAGATGTTCGAATCTATGATCCAGTGATTAAGACTTGAATATTTTAGCCGTTTAGTCACTAATTCAAAGTGGATCCCATCAGTCCGTATGATACCAAATTATAGTTCAATGTTAAAATATTCGTTATTACAGAAATAATTCAATCATTAGGTTTTTTTTTAATGTTATAGATTTTATTTTAAATTTCAGTTTGCGATCTACGTGAAAATGATCAAGATAAATTAAGTCACATTGTTGACTTATGTGAACGCTTGTCAACTTTACCTCAATCAGTCAATGATTCATACTCTAATGAATTACCAAGTTATTCTTGGTTCTATGAAGGTTTCCAAGGTTGGTGGCAATACGATGAACGTACTTGTAATGAGTTGGAGAATGCATTTAATAGGCAATTATCGTCATATGAATTGACTATTGCAGGTTATGTATACAGTATAGATTTGAAAAATATGACTCAGGTAAGAAGTATTGCTTAAGAGTTACTTTTTCATATTCTAGTAATCATTATTTAATAATAATTTATAAAGTATTTCGACCTGTACTAATAGTTTTTACTGTAAGCGCGACTAAGTTCTGACTTTCTAAAGTAGATGACACTTCAACGTCCAACTTTTAAGTATCTGTATGTTGAGGACAGCTGCCAACTATAAATAACATGAATATTTTTGGCATCGTTTGGTAGACAATTGCTTATTTGCACCTCCTGCTGGAATCAACTTTGTATTTCCGTTAATTCACTTAATTGTAACTAGTAAATAAATGTTTTTATTGTTGATGCTTTACAACTTTCTTATGAAGCTAAGTTGCACTAATCAGTCCGAAAAACTAAATGACATTAATTAAATTTCCCCATTTTTGTATAACTTGTCCATTGGTTATGGTTATGAATATGCTATGTGACTTCTCAAATCTAAATCCTAGTTTTGTTAACAAAGTAACTGAAAATAAACTTCTATAAGAATCGCACATCGTTGTATCATTCTTTGATAATTTTTATCTCAGTCCTCATAAGCCAATACATTGTTGTTTGACCAAGACCTTATTCGTTGGTTGTTTGGTGGTAGGCATAATGCTCTGTTCTCATGTAAAGTATCTAAAGAATCAAAACATTTTTTTATGACTGTCATGTACTTCCTTGTCGTGCAACCTGTTATATTTCTTACATGTGCCAGTGGGTCAAATGTTTGTGCTTTCAATTTGTTACTACTAAGCTTAAATTTCGAAGCTTATTCAGATTGTTTTAGGGATCTGAATAGATTATTGCTCACTCTTGCAATGAAAAGTGTAAAGCCTAGTACACAAATGTGGACTTGATTATTGAGGTGGATTAAATACTGAAATTAAATTATTTGTATTTTTTATGCATATGTTTCTTTTCGTGTACATAGACACTACTCATAGTCAGTCAATCAGCTACAACGTACGACCAGGCACATATATGCATAGGTCCATGTTGACATACCTCATCAGCAAAACAACATGAACAAAAAATTCATAGAAGTAGTTAATTCAGAGGTTGTAATATATAAAAGAGAGATTGCATATAAGGATATAGTACAGGAAGAAAGAATTAGTTCATAGAAAGAAAGATATGAAGCGATTAAAATCTGATAGTTTAAACGAAAACAGAGAATGTATACACCTACGTCATTGTGATCGATTCTGTGTCATGTCAGCCAGAGTCTCCAACCATTAGTTACAATAGTAATGTGGACTCTGAAATTATTCACTGACGCTAGTTCTTGATATCAAAAGACTAATTACTGTTAGAATACGCTTCCATAAAATTAATTTAATCGAAAATTGCAACCATTGGTTACGACAGTCACGCGGACCCCAACCAAGTAATCTTCATCTACCAACATGGCTCAGACTAAAAGTTATTGACTTCAAACACTGATGTCACGTTTTGTTTTGGCCACCCACAACTCTCTTCCAACCATCCCCAAAACTAGTCAGATTGCGCGTTATGGTAATCGGTGTTCAGGTGTACGCAATACATGGTACAACCATCTCAGTCGATGAAGATTCACAACCTTACCAACTAATTTACCATCGTTGCCTAATACCCTGCGTCTAACTTCACTATTACTTACCTGGTGATCCCAGCAGATGCGAGCAATATTTCTAAGATATCTGTGGTCAAATACTAGTAACTTACGAGTATCTTCTACTCGTAATGACCATATCTCGCAGCTGTAAAGTAAAACAGGACGAGCTGCTACGCTGTATACTCGTCCCTTAATTGATAGACGGATATCTCGCCCTCGCCAGAGGTGACGTAAGTTGGGAAAAGCCAAACGAGCTTTTCGAATCTGTGCTGAGATTTCATCAGACACCAACCTATTAGGGTTGATCATACTACCGAGATAAGTGAAGTTGTCGACGCGTTCGACTACTTCACTCCCTATCCTTAGTTCAGGTGTTGACGCAGGCCAGTCTTTAGGCAACAACTTGTATTTAGAGAGAGAGAAGCGTATCCCAAACATCCTGGCATTGTTGCTCAGTGCTATCAAAAGACTCTGTATTTTATCAGTATCTTCACCAAACAGGACTTCATCATCTGCGTATTCTAAGTTGATAAGTAGACCTCCATGTAGGAGATCAATTCCTGAAAATTCGGACGACGAGAACGTTATTTCCATCAGTAGGTCTATTATGGAATTAAATAGAAATGAAGATAGTGAACAGTCTTGTCGGACACCAATTGATGTTGAAAAACCAAATGACAATTCGCCATAAGCTCTGACTCGAGTGGTAGTGATCGAGTAAAGAGCCCTCCCAGGGTTTATTTACTTGTGAGGTACACTTTTCAATGACAGACACTGTTACAGAACTTCGTGGTCTTCAGAGTGAAATGCTGCTTTTAAGTCAAGAAAGGCCACCATTGTCGGATACGATAAGCATACCTGTGTTTTAAAATCTGAAGAATGGTGATTATCTGGTCGATGCAGCCAAGCTGCTCATAGGTTTTTTAAAAAGAAAAGCATTTCGCTAGTTTATTTACATGTTTTAAAAATATATTTGATACATTTTGTATGTTACATTTCATTCGCCTTACATTTAGTTTCTCGAATGTCTCAGTTGCCATTTTTTACTATGCTTGTAATGCATTCTTGTTTTTGAAGATCCGGAAAGATCGTTCTGGTCGTTTGCGTCGAATTAAACGGGACTTGCTAACTTGTGAAAAGAAGGGTGTAGCTGGAATAAAAATGTCCTCAATTCAATCATCTAGCAATAGTACAACATCAGTGTGTAAACAGTTAGAAATTGAGGAAGCGACTCATTCCAACTCTAATGGAGTTAATGTGGGTCCAATGAATAATCCGTCTTCCAACTTACCGTGTTCAAAATCCTCCAACAATGGCTGTTTAGAAAGTGATAGATCAGAAGCTAAGCAGATAGTAAGTGCAAGCCGATCAAGTACACCATATTTATCTGGAGATGAATATGTTTCCAACTACTCACTAAATTCTTCTGGATCTCGTAATCAACGTAATCCAAGTCCTTCTACGTCAGGAGAATCATTGTGCCATCACAATCGTAAACGTTCTTAACTATTGTCATACTTCAGGCTCCTTTCATAATACTCTAATTACTTACTTGGAATATATATATATATATATATATATATATATATATATATATATATTTAGTGTGTAGACCTGTTCATCAGTTTTCTGTTGTAACTGTGATTATATTGAATATTTGATAATGAGTTCACTTCAAAATTTTATTTCTAATACTATTTTATATATACCCGAAAACTACCAAAAAGCTCATATATATATCACATCTGGTGTTTTAATTCTATTTGAAGCGCATACTCTGTAAATAAAATTCGAGGTAGAGAATAGTTGTTTTCTTCATTTCATATCAGTACCCTATTTATCACTTCTCGATAGTTTATAATAAAACCATCTCAATGAATTCCTGTCCATGGTACTGTGCTACACATCGACACTGCTTAAAAGTTGTGCAACTATATATTAGTCAGCTTTACAAAAAAGTAGACTAAACTGACTATTTTACTTTGTAATCTTGATGGTAAATGACCATATAGCATATCAGTAAGCGGTTGAGCAGTGGCTCTAAAGTTGAAGCGTCCGGCTCTCAACCATTAGGTTTTAGGTTCGAACCCACCTACTTCAGTCCGGTTAAGTGGGCAGTGTTAATACTCTAGTCTTTACTCAAAGTATAACCCAAGACCAATCACACCACTCTGTGTTTGGTGAGTTTTTTCAGTAAGTAGTCATTATACAGGTTGAACTGTAATGTATGGATGGCCTTAAGAGACTTTTTCTCCAGTCGGAATATAGGTGACAGGAATGAATCATTTATTATCGAAAATTAGAACATATATATACTTCCTATTTGACCGTCAAACTGATTAAGGTTTGCAGTGGATTCATCAGTATGCAAATCAACGCAGGTGCCATACAAAAATTTGTCTATATGACTCCAGTTTAGTTTACCTCTAGATATTTTGTAAGGTTGAAGATAGTTCTACGGTCTTCACCACACTGTTACTGTGGTCTCCAGTCTTAGGGTTGACAGAACGCTTGTGAACGATGACTATCGTACTTTTTGCATTCACCAATCATCCCTATATATGGTAGTCCCTGAATAATTCTCCTATGTAAGTTAGATCATAATGCACCCGTGATCTTGGGAAATCACACAAACGCCCTTGACCATGCGCTTAGCTACATCAGTAAAAGTATACCATACTAATGACTTTGAGTAAGTTAATCACAACCAGTATAGGTCTAGAATTTTTACGCGAAACCGAAGGTGCCGTAAAACGTGGTTGCATATCTAAACTGTCCTTGGGACTTTGAAACAAATAGAATTGTTCAGTATAGAGTTAATGATCATCGAACTTGTGCACAATACTTAAGACGGAATCACAAATAGTCTGGCTCAAGGTATTATCTCATGAGGAAGTTTGTCCTGTCAGCGAATTCGGATGACGTGATGGCCGATCAGCTGAAGAATATTTGACTATTAAAAAATTCACACCAAGTAATGGTCAGGAAAGCTGTGGAGTGCAGTGGTGTTACTACAGAAGAATTAAGTTAAGGATGGTCAGACTTGTGCTGCTTGAAAGATAGTAGAGTTATGCTACTAGTATTCCCTGGCTTCATATTATCTGTAATCTTATCGTTTGTTTCGGGATGCCTATTTCATTTGCAAGGGCTTTACTCCGATTGGTGAGTCATTATCCTTTCTAGAATCGCCCAACGTCGTCAACATGGTTTAATCCTACTGACGTAGAGGTTTACTAATAATACCAAACATATTTGTTCACTGTGGTTTTATTGGTAATTGTTTTATAACGAAACACTGTATCTTGACTGGCTGGTGAGTTTTTCAAGACCGTTAGAATAGTATACTTTTACCATCACATCGAGTGCGCCCGATTGGAGACGCAATCTACGTCAGAAGCTTTCACATTAAGTGTCTACCGTGTGGATGCACAGCAGATATATTTATCGGTTTTGAGCATCCGAACTAGATATAGGGAACCTTTACTCAGCCTCTAGTGAGATACAAACTATTCGTCATGTCCTCTTGAATTTCCCTCACGTCTGAGAGGCTCTATTTTCATTCTGATTGGCATATCCATATACTATAATTTCCCTACTTTTGTTTACGAGGAATACGAATCAGCTATAGTCCATATCTTTATTCTTTTTTTATTTTCTTTACATTGATGATAATTCCTTGAATATTAAAGATTCCCATTGTGGAAATTGGAACGGCACATATAAGCGAACCAATCAAGGCAATATGGGTCAATAATCACAATGAAATAGAATAAGTCACTACACATAAAATAGGTAAAAGTACAAGTTGATAGTACGAAGACAGGTGAACAGATAGTGGTAACAAAACTCTTATCAATAGTTAATCGTTGGAAATAGAAGGTCAAATAAACATGGGTAAATAGACTAGGAATAGTAATCACAAAACCTTAAAAATCATTACGTAATAAGATGTGTGTAAATAATTAGATAGTGAAGAATACAAAGAGGCGGATAATGACAAACGAATAATGGATGTGGAAATAAGGTTAACAATAACACAGATAGAATAAAATAAATAATGATAATAATAAAATTTAAAATAAAAATAAAATTGTTAGTTAAGTTATAACTGGCCATGGAAGGGATAGAGGGGTCACGTACTTCTTCTGCACACATAGATTGGGGTTATATGTACGAATTCCAATGGCTTCAGCTATATATAGGAGACGGGAACGGACTCCGTCGGGAAATGATGGAGGTATACGATAGATAACTCGAAATGATTTCGATTTCTCTACTGCATGACCGCTATCAATAAGATGTGCTAGTATAGAACTGCGAATAGTTTTTCTCTGACCCTTTATGTACCAAGTTGGTAGATGTTCACTCATTCGTTGGTTAAGTTGCCTGGTAGTACGCCCTATATAGCTATCTCCACAGGAGCAGCTGAATTTGCAAATGCACATGGAAGAGGCCAACTCAGGTAACTTATCCTTCGTTTGAGTAGATATCGCTGGTCGACAAGAGAAGGTCAACGCAAGATTGGCTGCGTAGAATGTCTTGGTGATTACTTTGGTTAACCTATATTTCAGAGTGTCACTAGCCACATCCCCGTTGAATTGCACCTTCATGTATAAAGGTTTCTTACGAACAGTCGAAATCTCCGACTTCTTTATTATATCCTGCATGTATTTCTTGATGAACGCGCTGGGGTAGCCGATCTCGGTCAGTGAGTTCTTGAGAAATTCAAGCTCCTGACTTAGAGTGTCTACTGTACAGATCTTTTTTGCTCTGCTCGTGAGACATCTGACCAAATTCCTCTTGTACCGGATGGGTGTGAAACTGCCGAAGTGAGTATATTGGCATGAAGAGGGGTTTCTTCTATACACGCTTCTACTTAATGTGCCGTCACTTCGTCTGCTTAGCGTGACGTCAAGGAAGCTCAGCTTCTTATCATGCTCGCTTTCACCAGTGAAGGTGATCGCTGGGTGAACACTGTTGAATTGGTCTAGGAGTTCCTCTTTACTAGTGTTTTGGTCTACGATAATGACTGTGTCGTCAATGTATCGGCAATATAGATCCAGTTTCTTAATAGTCTCATTGAGAGGTCCGTTTTCTAGCTTTGCTAGGAAGAGGTCAGCTAAAATCGGGCCTAGAGACGAGCCCATGGCTATCCCGTCTATTTGTCTATAGTAAGTGTTGTTGAAGACAAAATGTACATTCAGAGTGCATCTTAGGAGCAGTTCCCTTAGGATATCGTTAGGCAGGCCAATGTTGATTTGTTTCTTTGATAATTGCTTGCATATAAAATCAATAGTCTCTATAAGTGGTACGTTGGTGAACAAAGATTCTACATCCAATGAGATCATATTTTTCATACTGACATTAATATTTTCTACTTTGGAGGTGAAGTTGAAGACATCTTTTACACTATTTATAACAACTGATTTGTGTAAAGGTTCTAGGATTCGTACTAGCCACTTTGCGATTTTGTGGTAAGGAGAACTGTACATATCTAGAACTGGGCGTAGAGGAAGACCCGATTTATGTACTTTAGGCAAACCATACAATCGTGGTGTAAATGATCCAGTCGGCTTAATTGAATCGTAAATCTCAGTCGTAATTATTCCCTTTTTCGTTAGATCTTTAAGGAAATTGGCCAATTGTCTTTCCACTTTATTATTGATGTCACAATTACTAGTAATTTTCTGAAATTTGCTAGAATCGCTAAGCATTGTTTCCATTTTTCCCATGTAATCATTTTTGTTCATGAGAACTATACCTCCTCCTTTATCTGGTTTGGTTATGGTCAGGGTTTCATCTTTTCTTAGTTTCATTAAAGAGTCACGGTGCTGCTTGGTTAGTAGGTGATTTATGGTACCCTTACTATTCTTGTTGTTGTAACGTGTGAGACTGCAGGGTTTAGATACGCAGCGTTTACTTATCGATCGCGATCTGTGACAGTGACACGGAAAACACGTAAGGATGACCTAGTGCCCTGATTGGCCCTGCTTCGCTGTCTAGCCCCAGCCAGTTGAGTCAAGAACACAAGTCACAGCCTCTGGTTATGAATCATTATATTTCAAACATACTTTGTTTATATACCAACCAAGCATACCACATCGTACCATAAAATAGGAAACAACATTTACAAAATATTTAACAAGTGAAATAAACATCGACCAATAAGAAATGTACATTTAAGGTTCAAGGACACCATTGGACTTAACATGATAATTATTGGTCTCTTTTTCCGACTATCCTAACACTTGTATTGTTGGCAGCTATCAACTAGTGTGGTTTTAAACCGAGCAAGGTCATCCAATGAGGTAGGAATCAAGTCAGTTGTCTGTGAAAATAAATTCTCAAATTGTACATCAGTATCTAATTGGTTGATTCTATGTCTACTATCACAGAATTTAGGTCCCAGAGATAAAGCTTCTAGCTGTACTACATCTAGTTCAATATTGGAAAAATTATGTACGTACCGTTTCGTGTCGAAGGGAAACTCCTTTTCTGGCTTTTGGTTTTCCAAAGTTTTCATTAGTTTCGTCAACGTTTTCTCAGATCTGTTCTTGGAAATTTTTCCCACATAATCCATAAACATTGACTGAAGCTCTGAAGGAAGGTTTTTAACGGAATATTGTCTCTGAAGAAGATTCCTTTCGAAGTCGCAGATATTCATTTTCAAAGTATCAATTTGATTCGACGCATGTCTTTCAAGTGTTTTTGCATTAGGATAGATTCGGTTACGACGTAAAGACTTCCAATATATTTTAGGATATCTATTAGATTGTATACAATTAATAGCAAATTCTAAGCTCGTTTTCGCTTCTGTGAGACGTGCATTAAACTTCAGAAACTCATTGAGTGTCTTAAATGCAACAGGGTCCCCACGCGATTTTAGAATATTAAAGATTCCCATTGTGAAAATTAGAACAACACATATAAGCGAACAATTGTTTTCAATTAGATCGTCATCAGGCTTTACTCTAATATTTATTTTTATTTTATTTTAAATTTTATTATTATCATTATTTATTTTGTTCTATCTGTGTTATTGTTAACCTTATTTCCACATCCATTATTTGTTTGTCATTATCCACCTCTTTGTATTCTTCACTATCTAATTATTTACACACATCTTATTACGTAATGATTTTTAAGGTTTTGTGATTACTATTCCTAGTCTATTTACCCATGTTTATTTGACCTTCTATTTCCAACGATTAACTATTGATAAGAGTTTTCACAGATTGAAATCATGAGTCAGTTGAAGCTAGACCACCATTGAAAACCTGGAAGCACTGGACGGCCGTTTCGTCCTAGTATGGGACTCCTCAGCAGTGCGCATCCACGATCCCGCACCACGCGGGGCTCGAACCCAGGACCTACTGGCTTCGCGCGCGAGCACTTAACCATTAGACCACTGAGCCGGCATCCAACGGTGTTAATGTCTAACTTCAACCAATCCACGAAGTTGCGCCACCGTACACCATTGTCTTCAGTGAGTTCCTATCTCACAACAGACCTGGTTGAACTCCACTGGTAACGGCTTCTCACTAGAACTTCGGGAGTTTTTCCTGAAGTCAGTCACTAGTGAGCAGTTGATTATTATTATTATCAGAATGGGTTTTGTGGAGATTTTAGAAATTTCACAGATTGAAATCATGAGTCAGTTGAAGCTAGACCACCATTGAAAACCTGGAAGCACTGGACGGCCGTTTCGTCCTAGTATGGGACTCCTCAGCAGTGCGCATCCACGGTGGTCTAGCTTCAACTGACTCATGATTTCAATCTGTGAAATTTCTAAAATCTCCACAAAACCCATTCTGATAATAATAATAATCAACTGCTCACTAGTGACTGACTTCAGGAAAAACTCCCGAAGTTCTAGTGAGAAGCCGTTACCAGTGGAGTTCAACCAGGTCTGTTGTGAGATAGGAACTCACTGAAGACAATGGTGTACGGTGGCGCAACTTCGTGGATTGGTTGAAGTTAGACATTAACACCGTTGGATGCCGGCTCAGTGGTCTAATGGTTAAGTGCTCGCGCGCGAAGCCAGTAGGTCCTGGGTTCGAGCCCCGCGTGGTGCGGGATCGTGGATGCGCACTGCTGAGGAGTCCCATACTAGGACGAAACGGCCGTCCAGTGCTTCCAGGTTTTCAATGGTGGTCTAGCTTCAACTGACTCATGATTTCAATCTGTGAAATTTCTAAAATCTCCACAAAACCCATTCTGATAATGATAAGAGTTTTGTTACCACTATCTGTTCACCTGTCTTCGTACTATCAACTTGTACTTTTACCTATTTTATGTGTAGTGACATATTCTATTTCATTGTGATTATTGACTCATATTGCCTTGATTGGTTTAAAATTTTCGTATAAATATTCATGTATATTAGAGTAAAGCCTGATGACGATCTAATTGAAAACAATTCCTTGAATGTCTATGGAACATGTCCAGATGAACTATTTAAATGTAACTACTCCATAATCACACTACCATTGAAGGAATAAGTTGAGAAATCACACAAAACATTTTGTGTACGAAATAGTAAAGTGCAACTTTGATTCTAGTCGAATACTAGAGTGAGGTGAATAATAGTCAATATGGAAACGTATAATAAGATCAAAATGATGATAAGATATCGGAGAGCGCTTTCCAAATATTATTTTAGTAGTTTTCAAGCATTAATTGTGTATTAAACATCTACTACACAAATTTATTCTTGATTTCTGAGTTGTTAATAATAATAAACATTTCTATTGTATTTTAAGATATAATGTTAAGCATTAGTAAAATAGGGAGAGAGAAACAATAATGTAAGTAAAAATCAGATATATGGTCGAATTCTATATAATGTGTGAAATGACAGAAATTTAGTAACGGATGGTAAAGTTAAATGAGTACTAATTATACTCTCCACAGGATCTGTAATAATAAAATAGCAATTATATTCCATTAGGTTAAACTAAAGTCACAAAAATGTAGAGGGGTAGTTTCTGTATACTTTGTTCAAAGTATAGTTTAGTTGACTAGTGAATTATTGTGCCTAGGTTTGGCCACAGTAAGAGAAATTTCTTCTGTATTCAATTCTCCGGTGTTTCAGCCTTTTTCATTGATGTTTCTGCCAATTGGTAGATTTTGGCATGTAATTAATAAAAGAATAATTCACGCTGTGATCCATTTTAACTAGATGGAATAGGAGGGAACTTTTAATCGTTATAATTACGCCTTTGCTTGGTCACTGTTGAAAGTGTTGGCAAATACGAAAAATTAAATTCTTAAAACATCTATCAACGTAATTTTCTCTACAGGTCAGTTGAAAGTAGTTTATCCGCCAGTATCGGTGCAGCTATCCGATGAGTAAAAAACACTAGTTGTAGCTTTTTCTGAATTGAACATTATTTGATTTGTACTGCGCAAACTCATTATTAACATTTTGCTAGATCCATGAATATCAGATGCATATGTAGTGAATTTTTGTTAACCATTTGAACTTTCTCTATTGCCAACTTTCATGGTCATGTTTGCTTGCAATATTCCCTCGAGTACTCACTTTTCACAAGTTTATATATAAAGCACATCACCATTATTGCTTTACTTCAGAGTGGTCAGCCACTTTAATAAACTTTATACTTTTTCTACAAGTAACAAGTTAATTTACACTTACCCAGTTGACTTTCTTATTTCTTGATGCTTAAAATTGAAGAAAAAAAACTTCCGGTGATTTAATTATCAACAGAAATGTTCTCATGTTCATGAATCATATATTCATTATTGTACAACAAAACTCGTAAATATCATGTCATTTGTTAACGATAAAGCTAGATGATCAATTAAAATTCTTAATCTAAAATAAGTAAGCGGATCTATACACATAAGGAATGGATCGACTGCGGAATTAAATTTTTTTTGGGATCTGGAATTGTATTGATCTGCTCATTTACAATATAATTTACTCTTCATTAAACATTGTGACGAGATAAAAATTTCACGCACACTGATTGTTGTCTGATCGAAAGAAAATAGTGATTGATTGTTGTCGTAGGCAGATTGGTTGATAGTCTGATAAGTAATTAATATGTCTTATGTATTTCCCTACCCGTGTACTTACTGCATTGTAGGTTGGTAATTACTAAACAATACACGTACTAGTCAGGTGAATCGCGTGTTCTTAACTTGAGTTATTTTGAGGCCCTGTAGAAGAATAGTGATGAATAGGTATGTAGTATAGAGCGAGTGAATTATATACGCAAACAAATAATTCATTGCCCATCCCAAGCAATTTATTGTCTGTGTACTGAGAAATATGAGCGTTATTTCACTAATATTATCATCATTATCCCAACAGAGAAGAAATGTATTATATAGACATTTTTATTTGTCAATCATAGAAACTGTCATCCTCTAAGTCTTCTGTTTTATATGTTGTCCATGATGAAAGTAGATTAGCATTTGTTGAATCTAAAATTGAAGAATAAAGTGATTGATTATCTTTTCCGTTTTTTTTTAAAAAAACAGTATTTAAAATAGCCAAGAAAACCACACAGTTTACTGAAAAGCAAACTTCTGAGAAGACAAATAATTCCTTACTTACGCCTGTTAATCACAATCGAGCGTAGGCCGCCGACCAGCATTCTCCAACTCACTCTATCCTGGGCCTTCCTTTCTAATTCTATACAATATCGTTCATTCTTTTCATGTCTGTCTCCGTTTCTCGGAGTAATGTGTTCTTTGGTCTTCCTCTTTTCCTTTGGCCTTGAGGATTCCAAGTGAGGGATTACCCTGTAACGCAGTTGGGTTTATTTCTCATTTTGTTTTTTATCCACTTCCAGTGCTTCTTCCTGATTTCTTCCTCCACTGGGATCTGGTTTGTTCCCTCCCACGGTAGGTTGTTGCTAGTAGTGTCCGGCCAACGGATCCGAAGTATTTTGCGTAGACAACTGTTAATAGAAACTTGTATTTTCTGGATGATGGCTTTCGTAGTTCTCCAGGTTCCCGCCCCATACAGCACAACTGTCTTGACATTTGTATTGAAAATTCTGACTTTGGTGTTGATTGACAGTTGTTTTGAGTTCAGATGTTCTTCAGTTGTAGATATGTTGCTCTTGATTTGCCGATCCGCACCTTCACATCTGCATCAGATCTACCGTGTTCAATGATGCTGCCCAAATATGTAAAGGATTTAAATCTTCCAAATCTCTGTCAATTGTGATTGGATTGGTGTATGCTGTGTTGTATCGGAGAATCTTGCTTTTCCCTTTGTGTATATTGAGACCTACTGCTTCTGAGGCTGTTGCTACACTGGTCGTTGATAGGAGGGCCAGATCATCTGCGAAGTCTAGATCGTCCAACTGCATCCTAGCTGTCCTCTGTATCCCGTGCTTCCCTTCAGATGTTGACGTCTTCATGATGCAATCGATTACCAAGAGAAAGAGAAAGGGTGAGAGTAAGCAACCTTGCCTGACACCATTCTTTACTTCGAACGAGTCTGTCGCTAACCAAAAACGCTAAGACCAATAATTAGTACCGAAATAATCATCCTTAACAATTAGTCTACACTTTATAAACACACTTTAGACAGACATTCCTTGAAAATCACAAAGCATTGGACCATTGTTTTTTTCCTCATCAATCCAAAACGTTTGCAGTGAGCACATTATTTTTAGACCACTAAATCAGCTTTACTGAAGTCACATCTTACTAGAAATTAAAGTACAACTTTTCTCTCGAACCTTAAGTTTTACTCCTCAGTCTAACTATCTTCCAGCAGACCTGGCCAGTATTTTAGGACCTAAAAGAAAGAGTATTCCAGTCACCATAATTTGATTTGGTCACTACGATAGGCAAACTAAACCACCATAGAAGCTACGGTTGTGTACTAGTGTTTATCATCAGTGATAACTATATGACTCCCGAAATAGCTGAATTCCACCCGGTTGCGGCTTCGTATTAAGGCCTTATGAATTTTCGGTGAGTATAAGGCATTCATTAGCATTGAAAGTTTGAGGAAATTGATGCAATCTATCGTCAAACTAAAGATTATCAACAAACATTCCATGTTAATAACACCACTAATTTTGGTTTTTTATAAATCCATATTAACTATAATAGTACCTAACTACAAACATATATAGTTGAGAAAAATTTCTCTACTAATAGCTTTACGAATTTTCAGTAATTTTCACATTTAACACCATAAGAAATAGTCAACATAGAATCTCCAGGTTCATATCGAAAATTTTGACATCTAACTAGTGTTACAAGTTCATTTGTTTACATTTTACAACGACTAAACGGAGACTTATTGTCCTGTGTATTCAGTAGCGTTATTTCAAAATGCATATTTTAAAGTCTAGCACATTACCCTTGACTTAATAAATGGCTTATTACTATCATTAATACACTGGCGTCGTGATTAAAATAATCTACTTTCAGCAAATAATTTCGAGTTCCAAACTGTAATGAGCCTGTTTCTCTTTGAACAATTGACCTGCACACCCAAGTAGTGTACATAAGCCTCAACGTGTCAAGTTATATTACAGTATCGAAAATACTTAGTATTGAATTACTTCTGAATTATTGAACGTTCACATGAGTATCTGCCGGCCGACAAAGATAAGTTTTATTACGTAAGAGGTTAAATATAAGACAGTTTCTATCTAGAATGGAAAACCAATCAATTAATTCCACGTTTTTCGATAGTTCCCGTAGCCGATTTTAGTCTGTATTCAGTCAGTCAGCTACAACGTACGACCAGCCACATATATGCATAGGTCGAAGTTGCCATACCTCATCAGCAAAACAACATGAACAAAAAATTCATAGAAGTAGTTAATTCAGAGGTTGTAATATATAAAAGAGAGATTGCATATAAGGATATAGTACAGGAAGAAAGAATTAGTTCATAGAAAGAAAGATATGAAGCGATTTAAATCTCATAGTTTAAACGAAAACAGAGAATGTATACACCTACGTCATTGTGATCGATTCTGTGTCATGTCAGCCAGAGTCTCCAACCATTGGTTACGACAGTCACGCGGACCCCAAACAAGTAGTCTGCATCTAACAACATGGCTCAGACTAGAAGTTATTGACATCAAGCACTGATACCACGTTTTGGTTTGACCGCCCCTAACTTTCTCCCAACCATCTTCAACACCGGTTACCTTTGTCTGTATTAAAAACTTAGATATCTATAGTCAAACATTATTCTAAGAAAAAGGAATTAATTCCACTGTAATCTTTTTGAAAATTTACCATCCTCAATTTTCAGTTTCGGTTGCTAGATTATCTTGAGTTCATGTATATACATTGCCAAATAGGTTTGATTGCTTTTGATCATTAAATTTAAGTTCATTCTATGTAATTATATTAAGTCATCAATTTATATTTTCTGTTGTTCTTCACTATTCCATATTCCTTCATAAAAATACACAAACTTCTCTTCACAATCACTTACTTCTATTCTAGACTCAAACTTGTTAACATTCGAACTTTATACTATCGATTTTATTCATTTGAATACAAACTGGAACAATATTACTTCTATCTTTGAGCTCTCTATTCCAAACTTCATCCTTTCTCTTACAAATACTGAATCATCTAACATTATTGCCTTAATTACATGAGAAATTATTACATTACTATACGACACTAACTTTATTGCAATTTTCGATTAAATTAATTTTATGGAAGCGTATTCTAATAGTAATTAGTCTTTTGATATCAAGAACTAGCGTCAGTGAATAATTTCAGAGTTCGCATGACTATTGTAACTAATGGTTGGAGACTCTGGCTGACATGACACAGAATCGATCACAATGACGTAGGTGTATACACTATCTGTCTTCGTTTAAACTATCAGATTTTAATCGCTTCATATCTTTCTTTCTATGAACTAATTCTTTCTTCCTGTATTATATCCTTATATGCAATCGTTTTTTAATATATTATCACCATTGAATTATTTACTTCTATAAAGTTTCTGTTCATGTTGTTTTGCTGATGAGGTATGTCAACTTGAACCTATGCATATATGTGGCTGGTCGTACGTTGTAGCTGACTGACTGACTGACTCAGAGTCAAGACGAAATATCTGTGTAAAACATTTTGATTTGTATTTGGTTTAAATAGTTCTCTATGTAATTTCACTTAACATTCTAAACTAATTATAAAATAAACTATTTTATTACTCTTTTATAATGATGTCTTTATTGATGAATTTTTACATAAACTTATACTACTACAATAAAACGGACAATTTAAATTATAATGTAAACTTCTATTTATGTAAATAAACATACCAAATAACTTATTTGATGCTCTCATATCTTCATTTATATTTACATTATTTTTTAATATTTTTGAATCATATTCAGATTCATGTTCATTGGACTCATTAACTGGATCATAAGTTGAATCTTCAATGCTGAATGTTGCTTTTGCTAAAAATGCTTCATAAGATTGACCTAAACCATCGTAAAGTTAATTAGTAAAACCATGAAATAAGTAGAGTGATTTAATGAAAAACTATTTGTTTACTTTAAATATATTGGTTGTTTGAATCTTTCCGTTGTTGCTTAAAATTGTATTCAATTAGTCTCCTATGGTATATGTGCACCCTGTGCGGATCGCTTTGATATTATCATTAAGTCACAAGCAATTTCAAGCAGAGATGGATGGTGCCTAACTGTGAAATCCAGGGCAGTCAATTTGTTCTATTTGGGAGTCGTCAGCCGGATGTATCAGCAGCTAAGTGAATAACGCGATGGCATTTGAAGCAAACGGCGTGAGTTGGAGTCTCGGAGTGATCATCAACTCTGGGATGCAAATAAATCCAGCTAACGAGTCCCTAGCACAACGAAATATGTGCCTCACTCCAGTGGTCTAGAGATTAAGAGTTCGCGTGCGAGACCGAAGGAGCTGGGTTCGATTCTGCCATACAGGATTGTAATACTTACTGTTGTGCTATCCTATATCAGAACAAAACGGCGGTCCAGTGCTTCCAGATTTTCAATGGTGGTCTAACACTGATCGGATCATGTTGTCAATGAAAATATTTAAACTTTATTATTGCCACATAAACAAAGATTAGCTTAATGTGCTGCTATAAGGTGTCACAATTCATGAATACACCAAGATATACCTATAAATAAGTTTATAAAATAAAAGCATTTATATTGGGTTATACAAATCATCAGTAACGATGACTACAAATTGATAACTAATCAACCATACGTTGTTTTTGGTCTTGTAATGTAATGTTTGTATGATTATCATATGATATGAAGACTATGGATTTAGTCACGTGTAGATTAGATTATTCTAACTTGGAAATTATCTTAATACACTTTTTTTCTAAAAATTTATTGTTTTTTCTTCTTGAATCATATCATTTAAGCTTAATGTTTTCTACTTCCACTGATATTATTCATAATTCTATACCATTTAAACATTTGTTGAATTATTTTTCTGGTTAGCGTTTTTTTAGCGAGTTATTTTTCTACACTCTCTGCATTAGTAGGCCTCAACATACACAAGGGGAAAACCAAGGTCCTCAAATTCAAAACGGAGGACAGTAGTCCAATCACTCTTGATGGCGAAACTCTGGAAGATGCACATGCATGGGAAGCATCATCGATGAACAAGGAGGTTCAGATGCAGACGAAAAGGCGAGAATCGGCAAAGCAAGGGTCGCATTCCTACAGTCGAAGAACATATGGAACTCAAAACAACTTTCCACTAATATCAAAGTGAGGATCTTCAATACCAACGTCAAGGCAGTTGTACTGTATGGAGCTGAAACTTGGAGAACTACAAAAACCATCATCAAGAATGTACAAGTATTTATAAATAGCTGTCTACTCAAGATACTCAACATCCATTGGCCGGATACCATCAGCAACAGCCTTTTGTGGGAGAGAACAAACCAGCTTCCAGCTGAAGAAGAAATTAGGAAACGACGATGGAAATGGATAGGACATACATTATGCAAATCATCAAACTGCATCACGAGGTAAGCCCTAACTTGGAATCCTGAAGGAAGGCGGAAAAGAGGAAGGCCAAAGAACACATTACGTCAGAAAATAGAAGCAGATATGAAAAGGATGAATAACAACTGGACGGAGCTAGAAAGGATTGCTCAGAACAGGGTTGGATGGAGAATGCTGGTAAGCGGTCTATACTCCTTCACGAGGAGTAACAGGCGTAAGTATTTAAGCATTTGTATGAATAAGTTTATCTGATTATATTAACACCGCATAGTAACTTGTACTGATTAACGTATGTACTAGGTTTTACAGTGCTGACGACTAAATTATTGGGTTTTCTTATTGATTAACTAGTCACTAACTTAATTGGTTAGTTAAATCTTGTCAAATTGTTATAAAACATCAGTACTTGTCGACGAAGTACATTTTAATCATCATTATGGAGGAGAGTAACGTGCCGAGTACAAGCGCCGTTGTTTCTCACGTAACAGAAATGGAGGAAGTCTTTTTGACAACATTGTTTCTCGTTGCGTACCCAAAAAGTAAAAAAAATGTATATTGAGTACTTTTTTTCTCTTTAGTAATATGAATTTGTGAAATATTTCAGCATATTTCTAAGTGCTTATTTTATGTAATAATGATGGTTTTAATGGAAGTGAAAGTATAAGGTGATTTATAGTCATAATTACTAATAATAAAGAGTCTTTAGTCTAATAATTCCGAATTACTTACATATTGTCGAGTGGTTAGATGCTATCTAAAGGAAAAGCATTGAACTTAAGTTCTGTGCTAGTTAATTGCAAAGGGGCTACTAGTCTAAGTGAATCGATTATACTATGCTGAAATTTCAGGTGGTTGGATGTAGTCAGTAGGAAAATTGCATTAGATTAGACCCATATAAAATCATGTAATATTAGAAGATAAAAATTATCAGTATGAGATGAACGAGTAGATTTTTCAATTTGTAGCTAACATTATATTTACCTGAATATATAGTAGTATCAAAAGGAATTAAAGATTAAAACAATCAACTTTGAACTTACAGGTAAAAAGTTCAAACAATGCAAACAGATTCCATTTGACACAGTATGGAATATCCTACTGTTGATATTTTTGATTGAAATTTGATCAGTCTGGGTTGGCATATATGCATTCTTTCCCTGTTGCTCCAATATAACAATTATGATACAAGTGGATATGGAGTAAATTAAATATCCCGGAGTGTGCGTCGTCTTTGGGATATAGATGATGAGTCCGAAATAGCAAGAAATGTGATCCCTGCATCCCACCGCTATCCGCATTCCATCTGTTCTATATCAATTTGTGTCATAATGGTTATGCCATAGCGATCCACACAGAATGCATCTATACCAACCCAGACTGATCAAATTTCAGTTAAAAATATCAACAACGAGGTAATTTAAACTATTTCAAATAGAATTAAGATCTCATACCCACTTCAAAAGTAATTCGCTTTCTGAATTCAGTAGCTAAGTGAATAACGCGGTGGTGTTTAAAGCAAATGTTACTGTGTCCTGGTCCATCAGTGAACATTAACTCTAGGATGCAAGTATATCTAGTTGACGAGTTTTAAACGGGACGAAAAGAGTATCCTGAATTCCACTACTGGCCACATTTATTCTATTCTATTATTTATTTATTTATTTGGACACATGAATATTGGTACAAGAGAGCGCCAATATATATGCGCCACACAAAACAATGAAAATTCGAGAGGAATACAAAGAAAGAAAAAAAAGCTAAGGAGCGCAACAAAAAAAGAGAGAACAATAACGAAGAGATTGGTGTAAGGTAATGTGCTAGTAATCAGGGAACGCAAAGGTACAATGGGAAGAAATCTTTCAGGTAAGGGAGACACAACCACTTTTTATGAAGAAAGTAAAAGAAGGTTACAGCAGGATCGCCACTGGCTTCTATTCTGAGCCATATCTGATAACGTCTCTAGCCACTGTGTAGCACCATCTCTCAGACCCCAACCAGGGAGTCGTGAAGGACCAACACAAGCCAGTCCTTTGCAGCTTTCTTTCATGCCACGACACCATGTCATACACTGACCACCTCTCCGCTTCTTCCAACCAGTCCCAGAGTCGACAAATAATGCACGACGGGGAATTCTCTGAGACGACATTCGGAGAACATGTCCAAGCCACCGAAGTCGGTGTTTCAAGATGGTAACACCAATTGAATTATCATCTCTGTGCCCGAACACACGATGCCGAGCCTCTGCATTACTGACATGGTGTTGCCACTGAATGTCAGCAATCCTTCGGAGACAGCGATGATCGATGTGAATAGATGCTTTGAATAGTGTTAATGAATTGTATTGTCACAAATGGAGACTATTTTGAGAAGACATAATGTTTCCAGAACAATAGTTCACTTATTTAATAATCACGTTGTTATGATGCCTAAATTCTTCATGATTTTCCTAAATTTTTACTCTAAATCTTCACCAACTATAATACTTGTGAATTTTCATCAATATTCATGAAATCAGTTAAAACTAATAACTGAAGTTTTGAATTAGAATTAAATATGGTAAAGGTAGTTCATTTTCATGTGTATTAATGGTGAGAAGAGATAAGTGAATAGTTAAAATAGCAGGGTAATCAATGGTAAATATTCACATATTTATACATATAAAACTAGATGGATAGAAAAAACACCAAACTACTTAAATATCTAACTGATAAAATGTAAATACTTCCGGTTGTTTTAGTGTATTGTTAACTCAAGCAAAGTATTTGAATTAACAAAGTGATTAGGAAATCATCATCAAGTATATTAGTATGATACACAATATATTTGTCTGCTTGAACAATAATTTCATGTGCAATATTATAGAATGACTTATCACATGTTAATCTATAGTTCCAGATCAATTCATTAAGATAGGAATACTTGCACATTATAACACAGTAATAAGCATAAATAAGAGAGTGATTGGAACAATAGAAATAACAGTAATAGTGATTAATAATCTCAATGGTGATAATAATGCAAAGAAGTTCCTCGTTGTCTATCAATGTATATGCCCTATTATTCTGACAGTTTTCTCCTCTCACTAGAATCAAGTGGAACAGCATTCGGAATGATGGCTTACTAGGTAGTGGATTCATCTAAAGCTGTTTCACCTGTCCGCTCCTTCAATTCATGATTGTCTAACTTTATTATTAAGCCGATTTGTGGTATGATACAAAAATGGTTCACCTACCATTAAGTAGAATTCTGGTTTGAAATAGGAAAGATACAACGGTATTGCATTTTTTGTAGAAAACGGGAATATGTGATCGAAGTGGTCATTTTATTGAATTCAGGATTTAATTACAGGGGTTATTAGGCTGTCGATCCAGGTTTACTAATGACTGTTAAGACCCAATACCTAATAACAAACTAAGGTTCGATTTCAAATTAGTCATTATTATTTGAGCTTGGTTTTCGTGTAAACCACAAGTATACTAGTGTTTCATAAATGATTATATAATCAAGTGTTCTTTTCTCCTATCTAGGTGGGAAGTATTTGATTATTTGTGTTACTAAAGTACCGTTCTTGTCTGTTAAAGTAATGCTGAGTTTATTTCTAGGACATTACTTAGAATAGTAAACGATTGATGGGCCTATCAACATTCTTTAAGAAAGATGGTTGTAACATTTGTTGTGCTTGACTAGTTATCACCTACCTATACATTTGATGACTATCATATGAGCAGACTGAAAAACCTTCAAGAGTGAGCCAATAAAAACAGCATCAATGAACATGTTCATGTTATACTGAGTTAGTATCAATAGTTGGGGATTTTTGTGTTAGAATCGGAACAATATATATAATCCCAAATTGGAGAGAATAGGTGAAATGTCCCAAAATTGATCTTAGTAGTGCATTTATATTCGTTTTTTCTACCTTGTTTAAAATGAGTTTAGTGAGTTCACAAAATTTCCATTATCCAATTTGACTTTTTGATCGTTAAACATAATTCATATATTGTGATTTTTATTGTATTTAATACTGCTCCATTCTTATGCTTCTTTATAGATTTACTGATGTGAAGTATAAGAATTGGAACCGATACAAACTTGAGCCTAGTCTGAAGTTGATTGTTCCAATCTTAATGAAACAGAACAACCTTAAGGAGTTTAACACTCAAGCTTCGATAGGTTGTCATCTAGCTGTAAACATTATAGTCGGATTTATATCTAAATCAATTCTTCAACTGTTGCTTTATCAAACAGTTTAACTATCATTTAATCTACACATAAGTTCAGCATCCATGTAAATAGAAAAGAAACTAACTGAAATAATAAACAATTAATCGTATTCCTTAACTGGTTAAACAATCAATATTCCAAATATCGTCTAGGTTTAAAATCAAAGATAATAATAATAACGAATTCATCCGTCAATAGCTATACATTACCTTTTTGAATTATTCCTTTTTTATTTGGATCTGTTGAATAAACATTTTCACATTTTAATTCTACATTGTCCTCATCTTCTGTTTCTTGAGTATCATCATCTTCCTCTTCTTCGCCTTCTTTTTCTTCTCCTTCTTCTATGACCATATGTTGCGAATTATTATTCTCGTTAGATTTCACGTCATTACTATGATTGTTCAATAAAATATTTGAATCAAACAATCTAGATTGTTTATAAAAATCATCAGATGAATAATTTAGATCTTCCGAAAATATTGGAGATCTGATTTTATGGACAACATGATTCGATGATTCAACACCATCTGTTATCTCCGTGATTTGTCTCCTTTGTCCCAATTCTTTCTCCTCTTCATCTTCTCCTAGCTCTTTGTCATTTTCTCCCTTGCTATAATCACCAACTTTTTGTGGAGTTTCGATTCTGGTTTGGTTAATAAACGATAATTTGTATAATTCTTCATGTTTTATGTTGTTATCAACACTATCATATTCATCGTCATCGTTGTTGTTAAATGATATAGATTTCAACGTTATTTCTTGTGCATCTAAAATTTGTTTTGTTCTTTTAATTACCTGTTGAAGCTGATAAAAAAAACGGAAGACTGTTTTTTATCTTGAGAGGTTTCATAAAAATTGGTTTAATTTGTCTATTGTATTCGTCACAGATTGATCTCAGTTGAGATAACATTGAAGAGTAGGGAGCACTGGATATCTGATTCATTCTCGTATTAGATTCTACACGATCCCGACCAGGGATAGAACTCAGAACAAACAGGTGTCGCGAAAAACGCTTGATCATTAAAACTACTGGGTCAGTTTTCACTAGTTTCAATTAATGTTTGACATAGCTTGACAACTATACACTAGATATGTGAGCAATGAAAATTGTCAATAATGGCGTTAGATGATCTTTACAAATTCAATCTGAAGTAACGATCAGCCTGACTTTCAAAAGATAAATAATGGAAATCAAACTAGCGCGAAGTGAATACGGTTCAATAACCTACGCACAGTAGATGCTCTAGTAGTTCACCAGACCAATACTGTTTAAATGAGGCAAGTCCAATTCCTTAATACACATGATCCCATCCTCTCTTTTTATTTCAAATACTTACTGATTCTTTTCTGTTTTATCTTTTTATATTGATCAAATGAACAATCTTCATTCACCTCTCTCATATATAAAGATTGTTTCCATTCCATTATATCTCGTTTAATGGTTAGACTATCGCGTATAACTTTTATTAGTTAATTCAAATCTTGACTACTTGGGCAGTGATGTCACATCACGAAGTGCAGCCATTCAATATTTTTTCTATTCGGTTTGACTCTGTTATCTGCCTTTCGTATAGTAGAAGAACTTCAGATTATTTGTTCGGTCATCTATGGCATATGATCTAGAAACATATTCATCAATATCTCTTTCATATCAAAGTGTGAAGAGCCAACTTACTTAAAACGGATTACATTCTATCGTCCATTGTTTCAACAGACTACTTTATTTGCTAATCAACTATAAATACAATTATACAACTTGGGTAAATGCTATAATCATAAAGTAAATTTTCTTTTCAGAAGCGGTTTGTGGAGATTTTAGAAATTTCACAGATTGAAATCATGAGTTAATTGAATCTAGACCACCATGAAAAACCTGGAAGCACTGGATGGTCGTTTCGTCCTAGTATGGGACTCCTCAGCAGTGTGCATCCACGATCGCGCATCTCGCGAGATTCGAACCCAGGACCTATCAGTCTCGTGGATTGGTTGAAGTTAGACATTTACATCATTGGATGCCGGCCTGCTAAGTGGTCAACTTAGTTAAGCGCCTGGCGCGAGACTGATAGGTCTTGAGTTCGAGTGTTGCGGGATGCGGGATCGTGGTTGTGCACTGCTGAGGAGTCCCATACTAGGACGAAACGGCCGTCCAGTGCTTCCACGTTTTCCATGGTGGTCTAGCTTCAATTGACTCATGATTTCAATTTGTGGTAAATTTTCTTTGTTCAATTGTCTTTAATCATCTCTAAAAAGTATATTGTTTAATATGGCACATTTTCTTGTTATTTTGACTCAAACTTGAGAAACAAATGAACTACATAAGCATAACACTTAAAGTTTATTTATGTATTTCTGTACTTGTTTGTTAGTTTTTAATCAATTTTTAACATATAATAGATTAATCTCTATTGGAGTGTATTGAATATTTAAATAAATACTGTAATGTTATGTTATAGAAATAGTCATGACAAACTTATCGTGTAATTAGTTTATGATACTATCTGCATTTCATCCATTAATTATCATAATTTGTACATTTACTATAAGTGACTGTAAAATAATTGGCTAAAATCTCATAATCATGAATGCTTCCTCTTTCGTTTTGAATCCCCCCTCCCTCATAGCATGACACATTAATAACCGATCGCAAATACACCGCTACACATATATGTATCTCGTTCTCAATTTTTTGTTGTTATGATAACTACACTCTAATGTATTTATTATCTAAATTTACAGATCATATAAATATTTCCATTATATACTTGATCTGGATATGCAGCTGGGATTATTGATTACTGATAATTGGACGAAAGCGCAGCCAGTCGGGCAGGGAAGACCCAGCAGTGGAGAAACGCCCGTTTTGGCTTGACGAAAAGAGGCTGCATAACGGAATAAGCTTCTGGGATTAGAGGCAAATTTGTCAATAAGCTTTGCCTGGTACTGAAGCCTGTCTTCTCTTATAGCCTTCGTGCATATGTTCCTTATATGTTTATATTGCCTATACGCTCCGTCGTTGTCAGTTCGTTTGTATTCCACCCAACAGTGACTTTTGCGTCTTAGCAGACGAAGGGTACGGTTCTTGATTACTGTAGGTGGCTTGCAGCTTTTGGGAACCGTTTGAAGAACTGAATGGTTTGTAGCACATAAGAGCGTATGGAGTAAGAAGTCCCAATGACCGTCTACATCTGTTTGAGGGTGAACATCCCAATCCACCTGTTGTAGGTAGTCGTGTAGAGCTAGCACATTCAACCGTTTAAAATTCCAACGCAAGTTATGGATGTGATACCTTAGCTTAGTTTTGCTGACAAAACTGAAGGCAATGACGGCATGATCGCTTTTTCCCAGGGGAGCCAGGATTGAGGGGTTGTCAACTAGGGATTCTTCGTTCGTGAATACACAGTCTAAGCGCGATGGTGTCTGACTGTTTCTCCAACGAGTTGCCGACCTCACATTTTCGTATAATCCCAAGTCATCGATGAGGTTGAAGAACCGAGCTTCAATTGAGTTATCGCCTCCAGTATGCGTGTGATCCGCGAAGTTGACTCTAGGGAGATTAAAGTCCCCTAGAATCAGGATGTGTGTAAAACCGAGACGAGTAGAGCGGGATAGCCCTTCCAGCATACGACTATCGTACTCGATGTCGGCAGTTGGCTTCCTGTAAATGACTCTGACTAGACACCTCGAAGTACTAGACAATCTTACAGAGCACCATATGGACTCCTCAAGATTGTTAAACTCGAGGTTATGAACTTGGTGCACCTCCAAGCAAGAACGTATGTATACGGCTACTCCGTCCCCAATTCCTAATTTTCTGTCGTTGCGGAACAAAGACATCCCAGGTAATGCTAACTCTTGGTCCGAGAACTGAGAAGATATCCAGGTTTCAGATATTCCTATCAGATGGGCCTTATTAGCGTTGCTAATTATAAAGAGGTAGCCTATTCACTGGTGGTTCGGAGAATATCTTTACGGGTCAAGATATCTTACTTTTAACTGATGGTCTCACTTAACGGCAGTCAAAAAGCTAACACGTAGGGCGGACAGGGAAGAAAAATAATATATAAGGAATGCAGTGATTTATACGTAGTAATACCATATAAAGTTTCTGTAATTTACGAAATTTTTGTGGACTAATTCTTTAACGGATGCTTCGTCGTGTCAAAAGGGTTGTGTAGCACAACATATTCTTGACGTTTATATAAGTCTACATGGAACGTAGACTTTCAGCGCACCATAAACTTGTGGTGGGCAACAAGTCTCCAAAATGAGTAGCTCTAAACATACCACAATTATTCTGAGTTTAACAACGCCTTTACAAGTAACACATTTTATAATCAATTTCTTCCAACCCAGTCACATCAGAAGTCAGGAGTGATGAGGTCCGAACTTAGATCACGCAGTTCTTGACAAACGAACTACTTCAGAAATCTATCTCCAAAATCCACTACTCCTCGATCTCCCGATTTTAAGAGAATTTTATCAGTTTTGGGGAATTTTCAGAGAAGGCGCAATAGAGAATTCTATGTTTTCACCAACTTTTCCGCGGAATTTTTTTAAACATTTTGAGGAAATTTTCCACATTTTTTGGCTCTCCCCAATATTTTTCAAAATTCGAAGAAACCACCTTACAACTTACGAACCGATCGTGGAACGCTTGTTCCTTCGATACAGTTTTGGAGGTGCGCATTTCGTCAGGTGTTTACAGTGAAAGGAGACCATACAGAGTGTAGATGCTGCCGCTACACTTATCCTTCACAACGATGGATGAATTTCTCTAGTAAGCAGTAAGTGTGTCGATCAGATCAGCGACTGTTCTCAGAATCATTTCAGTGATTTGCTGTCATCAGTGTTCAACCTATTGGTATCACGCTCACCATTACTGCACTGCACCTAATAGCCAGATAAGATGGAAGTGGTCGTGAAAATATTTTTTTGAATGAGCTGCATCATGAACCTGTACTCACTTAGTACTTATTAAGCTGTTGGTGAAAAATTCCTAGTCAAAATGTTGCCAACTGGAAACTCAACTCGTGTCATCGTCGTGTATGGTCACGTTTTTATTGCAAAATACTTTATTAAATGACAACTTCAGTTCTCTAGTTATCTAGTAGTTATCTGAAAGTGATAATTTTGAAGTAGTGACAACTTACTACAACAATACAAAAAGATGCATGATCTCAAGGTAAAGCGAACATCAGGATAGATACAATCAACAGCATCCATCAGAGTACGATTATCTCTGCAGATAAAGAATATCTTTTAACCACTCATTCGTTAGGGATTACTAAAATTGCTTTCTTCGCTTTCTCGAACTATGATGTACTGTTTAGACTGATGCCATAAATCATTTCAAGAGCATTAGAAATTATTAAAACACTACAATTAATATCTCCGTGATGAGCCTCGAGAAATGACATCATCTTATCTGTGAAAATGTATGTAAAAGGGGGATGGTGACCTCATAATGTTGTGGGAAGGACAGAGATACACCTGTAAAGTATATCTGTCATGGTAATCGGTATACACTCATAGCTTACAACAGAGCATTTAAATTTACATATGGTGCTGGAAGAAAAGAAAGTAATGAAGAAATCATAGGGGTTACTGAATGCCCAAAACTTAATCCTTCCGCCTTCGACAATATGTGTAATGAACGCAGGCACACCGTTTGCAGTAACTAAATTATAAGGCCTAATAGTGGAAAACGTCTAGTGTTTGAAAGTAATGATTTCCTTAGAGAAATCATAACTAACTTTAGCAAAAGTCATTTTATATGACATGTCCTGATTTAATAAACTTTTAAAGTAAACTTCTTCTGCATATTGCTGCGACCTGTTTGGTGTCCGCGTCTCTGAAGTGTACTGAACACCCAATTTCTCTCAGACATGACCAAAAAGAAAAGGTTGAAAACGATCCCAGACAACCATGTTTAACGACGTCGGAAATGTTGTGCTTTGAACTATGTATATTGTAAACTGAGTGTTCCCTACAGTGAAAACGTTTGCATTCAATTAAAGTTATTCAGATTACCGTGAACATTGTTGGAGAAAAGTGTGTGCAATTTCGAATGTGACAATAAGTAGAATGATAATGATAGACGTTCAATTTTCTGTACATCGCTAGTGGTAACTCATCACACAGAACTACAGGACCTCAATACCTTAAAAACAATTTGCATTTAGTTGCTTTCTAAACAAAGACTTCATGCACTGAAGGACATTTTCATTGAAAGTCACTAATCGTGTGTTGTCTACAATAGCCAACGACTACACTTATGAATGCAGAAATAGATTAATTCATCCGCTTTATTTGCATGCTGGCCTGATCATTCTATGAAATCACTGTTTTAGTGGCGCCCATGTACATAAAATTCGCCGGTTGTGACGGAAGCACTTTCAACATCTCCATTAACAGATCTTAAAATGAACTCCTACCACGATGAAGACTCTGGGACTGATTACGAAATGTTTCGATTTCAATCAAGTTTGGTACAGCGCACCAGTGGATGTCGGGAGTTCAGGACTAAGCGTTCGAAACTGGCCAAGAACTTTAAACAGTGATATCACCTTCCTTCATCATACCAAGTACAATTTCAACAAGCTTTTGCTTTCCTGACGGATGAACAGTTGGCTACATTTTTATATTCATACTTTCCAAATATGGTTTATTAAAATACCTAAACAATTTCGGTGGCTGAAATAAGTGTACAATGACTGTAATTTTCTACTTCCTTTTGACGTACTGCACTTCATGTTTGTTTGTTAGTGACCGTGGAGTTATATTTTTTCAAAAAGTCATTTCTTAACTCCCTCAACCTGCAGCAGAATATCTGCTGATGGAAGCCCATCAAGTTTGTCACTCTGTCGGCTGCTACCCGTCTTTCATGTTTCATTAGTTTTAGAATTTCTAATCTGAAAGAAACAGTTAGTTATTTTCAGGCTGCATCAAGTGAGTAGTCGAAGTTTGTAACAGTAACTACAACTCGCTTTCATAAGGCGAGGTTTTTCAAAAACTTGTCGTGGAACAGATGCTTCTTTGTCTCGTTCCTACTTGATGTACAAAAACAAGATCAAAACATTAGTACTGGATGCTTAGTGAGCTTGATCATCATGTAATTCAAAAATATAATCAATTGCAATTGTCATAAAAGGCTTAAACAATGTCATTAATAATAAATTATTGTTCACATAGCTGCGCAACACTGACTTTGGGTTTTTCCCCGAAACTCCACCAGACTCAGGAGATTGGGTTCTTACTTCTAGATTCGGTATCCTTTGATTATGGAGGTGTTATGGACAAACTACCTATCAAACCTTATGTAGCCGTGAAATCTTCAAACTAACTAGGAAATAACATTGTTACGTGGTTACTTGATTTATCCGATATTTACCGTAGTATTTCTTGAGGATATCCAGTTCTCATTTTAAAAATTACGAATGAACCAGAATTCACGTCAGAGATAAGGTAATAAGCACACTTGGAAGCACTGCATTGCGTGATTCAACTTATACGCGCAGTTATGTTGATGGATTTTACCCCTCTTCGTGCTTTTTGAAACTTGATTATTCTAGAGTGTATGAACTAGTTCACTCAATCCACTTTTTTATGTCTTGTGCCGAAAATGAGACCTCTCATATCTTTTACAGCTTTCTTGTTTAGGGCGGGAGCGTTTCGGAATCATGCACTACAATTCGTACTTCAAATTTGTACCAATAAAAATTCCAATGAATTTTCCACATATATTTCATGGTCAAAGAAGTAAGTCGTACATGGAGCACTTGTTATTTCTGTAACCCAAGTGTAGATGGTTCACTTTTGATGATTATATTTGAAAGTTGTTTAACGAGGTATTTTAGTTTTTATTCAGTTAACTGCAACATTCGATAGTAAGAGATGTACATTCAGTAATATTAACGACGAAGACATTATCAGGTTTTCTCACAACAATCGAAGCTAATGATTAAATGTTTGGTGGAAACAATGTAATTATACTTTCTATATCGACAGTGAGACAAATTATTGGCCACGCATAAATGTAACATTATAAATAATTGAAGATGATACACAGAGAATCATGTAATCATTAGAAACAGACGTCCTGATAAACCAAAAATTGTAGTCTTTATCTTGTGTGGTTGAGGTTAGACATTAACACCGTTGAATGCCAGCTCAGTGGTCTAGAGACTAATCGTTCGCGCGCGAGACTGAAGGCCCTAGATTCAAATCCCTTGAGCGGGATCGTGGTTGCGCACTGCTGAGAAGTCCCACAACAGGACAAAACGGCTTCCAGGTAGTCTAACATCAATCGGTTCATGATCTCATTCAAAAAATTCAATTTAGTTTAAAAGTACAATAGAATTTTTGATAATTTTTGTTTCAAATGATGAGAAAAGTTAAGGTATACACATGCACATATATGATTAAATAAATGAATAATCATGTTAATAGAAAAACAAAAAAAGAGAAAAATCAATATCAAAACTGAGGAAAGAAAAGTTATATCCATGCCTCAAATAATCATATGTATGCATTATATTATCTATTATAGAAATATTATAAATAATAGAGATATAACTTGTCATTGCACAATTCAAATGCCAAATCGAAAATAAAAAGAATAAAGACTGGACACAAAGTTACTTACAACTGATAGTTGTTGTGAATATAAATTTGGACAACGGTACTACAGGTTTATATATGCAGTTTTAATTATATAATGGCAGTAATAACAATTTTAAGGAGGGGATTCGTAGTAATAGTAGTTCTAGCAGTTATTACTAATACCACCATTATTTTTTAATATTTACAATTAGGTACAAAATTATCCAAAACTTTTAATAAATAGCGAAATTTCTACAAACAAAGTATCCTAAGATTAGTGTTTTATAGCATCATAGCACTGGAAATACAAAAAAGATTGGAGGAAGAACGAAAAAATCGTTTTTCTTTTAAGAAAAAAGGCTAGAAAAGAAGTGAAAATGTTTTGCCTAACTGTTGGTGATCATCCATGGTTTAATTCTAGTTTGATCAATAAAAAAGGGAACATTGATCAGTGTTTAAGGCCACATCCATCCATGAAAGCTATTATACACACACATGCATAGACAACGTACACAAAATGATAAAGTGACATTATTGAAATGTTTATTTTAAGTTTGTTTGTTGAAGATAAACTTCTTTAAAACATTCATTAAGTTCTTGTACAGTAATCAAGTTAGTTGATACATTTCTCATTTAATATTTATAAATCTAGAAATGGAAACCTATTTGGCGCAGATTATAAAAAAGAGCACTAACTGATAATTGACTTTATAGATTTAATAAGGTTGTGCCCCATTAATATAATCAATGATATTTGATAATCTGTCTCTTTCTAATGGACATCTACCGAATGCAGTAGCACCTTGAACATTATCATTATTATTATCATCACTATTATTGATTAAATTAGAAAAACATCGTAATGAAGAAACAGTAGTAGAAGGTGGACGACGAGAATAGTTGTTACATGCAACTAATCTACCTAAAATATAATAAGATAAATAAGCTAAGAATATGAAACCACTAATTAGAAGAATAAAATAATTCTGACTATTAGTGGATGGGATTATTCGAAGTAACCAATTACAAATGGATGAATAAATTGATGGGGTTTTTTCAGTTGTAGAAATTGAAACACTAACAGGATGTTGTTGATGATTATGATTTTCAACTGATTTACGTTCAAATAAATGCTAAAATAAGAAGGAAAAGAAAATTCATAATTTGAAAAAAAAATCGTTGTGATTTGATAAAAATACTTATAGCGCTGTCAGTACAACTGTTAGACATGACTGTGGAATAACTGCTACTTACGACTTACTACAATAGAATAAGACTACTATCCCGATGTAATGAAGAAAGGAAGACTGTAGATAAAGACGTGTTTATTTACTAATCACTGATATATCACCGAACTAATGTCACATATGTCTAGTCTTTTAGTGCTGATCAAATCCTAACAATCAAGTCTTAGGTGAATCGATATCGCATAGACCATGCTATGACGTTAAACGGTTGGAAGTTTGGTTCGAACCCTACAGAAAGCATCAGTTTCATATATAACTTCCTGAAGGATGTTGAGGCCAGGGTTTCCTACTATCCCTAACATTCTAACATCTCATAAAACGAAAAACATAGTAGAATTGAAATAAAAAGTACACAGTAATACATAGAACTTAAATAATAGGATAGTGATTCATATGGGATGCAGGTACACCCAGCTGACGAGTCTTAACTAAGACTAGACGTTCCTTCTAAATCCCACTGCTAGCTACCATCTAGCTTTGATTAAGATAAGATACTATGTTATTCTATCAAAATTAAATATAATCAATTATATGTCTATGGATTACATTTTGAAGCAACAATATAAACTATTCAAATCAGTAATCACAATGACTTCACATATACATTTTATGGTGTAATTTCCTTAAATAATTGAGTGTTTTTCATTGAACACATTGTTAAGTTCGACGATGATTAAATATGTGAAAGCATAATCTGTCTATCTATCTGTTGGCGCGTTTAACTTATTCACTGAAACAATTTATAGTTAGATATTTAAAAGAATGTAAAGTGGGGTATAATAGTAATAATTGTAATTCACATAAGTTTCACAGTATTTTAATGACTGACTCAGCAACAATTTTAAATGATCAACATATCAAAATTTCTTCAGATCACTTAAAAATTATTCAAATATTCTATCACTGTAATATTCAACTAACAAACAAACAAACAAGAGAATAAGAATAAAAGGTTTGTTTTCTAAATATGTTCAACATATGGAATAATTTCAAATTACTTCATTTGTATAGACTTCATTGACTTGTTGTTCCGATGTACTTTTATCAATATTAATAAAAGAAGTTTCTAATTGATTTTCTGTGCTATCCACTAAATATTCATTATCTAATTGATGATGAGTAGGAGGATTATTTGAATGATTTGATTCAAACAATCGAATCAGTCTTTGAAGGCTAACAATAAAGAAGATAGAAAAAGATAAATATTATCGCTGATAATCAGTAGTATATCTCATGTCTTAGTAATATGTTATATAAAGTTTAATTTATGAAAAATAAAAAAAGATGGGTTTACGTATTTTGTGGATTTAAACTGTGGTTATATATCCAATACACGTGATTGCAATTGATATTTATTTCAGGTTAAATAAAGAACAGAAAACTAAAGGTTATGTCTTAAAAGATACTCAAAATTGTGATAAGGAAAATTACAAAACATAATTTGGATACAGTACATAATAACTCTTAATTTTTGGTGTTTCCTGTAAATTCAGTAAATTTACATCAGGGATACAAGAAGATAATTTGGAAAAGAATCAATAAAAGCCGATTGACGCAACAAAACAAATGAACAAACGTTTAAATTAGAAATATGAATAATATTCAACACAGTAAGTTCGTAACCGAACAAAGGACATAACATTACCGCTATTTGCCTCAATTTTAAAAAGTCATATATAAATAAGAACTTTCGTCTAAATTTTAACGAATAGCTTCACAATATGTGGGCTCTGAATTAATGTGAAACATTAAAGAGAAAGAATGTATTTCTAAAATCTCAGAGAAAGAATTTGAAGTAAGTCAAACGTTTCGCCTAGCAATCACATCCAAGCTTTTTCAAGGAAAATATAAACAACAAAATTATCGAATATAAATAGGCACATGGTTTTCCGGTTTACTGTATACTGAATACGTCATCCAATCAACGTGAACACTGTTTAAAGTGGGTATTTACATTATTGTGTAAGAAACATGTGGTGTGAAACGAAAAGTGTTAAGATAATATATTGTGTGTATACGTAAGTGAAAAGAAATTTCATTCAACTATATATTGTCTGCGGTCTGTGTCTATTAAGAAAAACATATCATTTTATGAATAAAAAATATCACAGCATCCATCAGATGAAGATAAATAAACAAGATTAGTAAACAAGATAAAAGACTGAATTCAAAGAGGAATGTATTTTTAATTGAAAGTTTGTGTTATTTTAATGTTCCAGTCAATTGTTTAACATATTCAGATAAGATAACTGATTTGAACAGTTGAATGTATTATCTATTGATTAGTTAATATGATATAGATAGCTAGAATGGAATAAGGAGTTCAGGTTTACTTATTAATTATTTGTTTCCATGGGACAGCTAGTTGTATTCCATCTCTTCTATTAATACTATTTGAATTAGCCACATATGTAGGGCTTCGGCTGTTAGTCGTTCTTTGTAAGAATTAAAGCCTTTCTGAATGATTCTTTCGCCATTGAAATCAATCGTATGATCCGATTCTATCGAGTGTAATGCTATCGCTGATTTGTTCTCAAGTTTTCTTACATCATTTGACGATTTAGGAATGGCTTTAAGCACAGTTTGTGTTCCTTCACCCTCACATTCAGTTGCCTTGATGTTATTTTGCATTACAGTCATTACATTTGATTTCATAAACACAATTCTGTTGTTCTTCCTTGTGAATTGCACCTTTGATTCTTATTAGTTTTGAGCTTAGAGTATTGTTTGTTCGAAAGAATACTCTTATATTTTGAAGATTTAGAGTCCTTCTGATCTCTTCTGAAATACCTTTACGATATGAGATCACCACTTTGTTAACCCATTCTTTTTGCTTAACTCTTTTTTTAAAAATATCGCTTTGTTCTTCATTTTTAATTATTCTTTTGATAAAATCCTTCGGATGATTATTCATCATTAGAGTGGATACAATTAAATTCATTTCCATTTTTATATCATCTAATTCAGTGACAAGTTTTTTGACTCTGATGATCAAATTTTTGGCTACTGTCACTTTGGTAGAGTGTGGACGCGCCGACTTGAAATCTAGAAATTTCCTTGAATATGTCGGCCTTAGGAAAATACTAATTTTTAGACAATCATTACACTTCCTTTCAACTAAGCAGTCTAGAAACGGTAATTTGCGTTCAGGAGATTCCAACTCTTTAGTGAACTTGATTTTGTCATAAATGTTGTTGACACGTTGAAATAGTTCGTCTAAACCATCTCGTTTTATAATGACAAAAGTGTCGTCTACGTATCTTAACTAAATCTTCAGTGGCATGGAACACATTAAGATAGCACTTTTTTCCAGTGAATGCATGAATAAGTTAGTAGCAATATATATATCGGCAGTAAACAATAAATGCTTTTGATGAAACAATTAACTTTTTAACTCAATAACCAGTTAGAAATACGTACTTACATGGATCGATTAATAGCCAGCTGACTTGAAAGACGATCAATCTCATAAAGTAGTTCCTCATCCAAGCTAATCGTATTACAGATTGTAGCTGAAGTATTGTTATTGTTTACTGACATCTGACAATTTTCTTTATTCAACTCATTCTGCATTTCCTCCAGAGCAAAATTCAAGCTATCCACTTCTAGAAAGCACCTCTAAATAAAAGAGATTTAGGTTTGAAAAAAAGTACACGTTTTCGTGTGGAAAAAGGATAGTAAAGTAGGAGATTTAAAATAAGCAATAAATTTTAGACAAATATAAAACCCATTATATATATGTACATATTCAGTGCTTGAGTCATATAATAACGTACTCAACTGGTTTGCTATGCTTTAAGCTAGATGAATAGAACGTCATAGATGGTGAGAGTTGAAACCAGAGAACGATAATGATGGAGATAAAGCGTTATATACTTTCTACAATTTTAAGAATTAAATTACCAATGCCTTACGCAAACCGATTGCCTTTATTTCATAGTGATATGTGAACCAGTTGATTAGGGAAACTTATGGTGATGTCAAATACCAACAAGTTATTTACTGAGTCACTAAGTCCATACAGATGAATCCCAAAGAGAGCATAACTCCCGTTCTGAATTCTATTGCTAGCCAAGGTCCATCTATTTTCTATGTCAATTGTTTGTAGTAACAAAAAATTACTCACAAACCAGATATATCTAAAATGCTTTCCTTAAAGTGAAAAAGTAAAACTATTCACAATAATTTGAAATGTACACTAGTTATTGATTTAAAGTTTAGTTCCATTTTACAACACAATAATTATACCCATAAACTATGAAATTATCAATGTAATTCTTTGAAATTTTTTTTCGATTAAAAGTAATTGAACTTTGATACTGATCTTTGAAATAAATGAAACTTGTATTTTTATACTGTTTTACTAGGTTAATCAATCAAACAATCAGATACAAACCACATTTGACATTACTTAAACAAATAGACTGTGATTTATGTTTAAAATTTCATATATATACATATATATATATATATATATATATATATATATATATATATATATATATATACATATATAAGGTGTTTATCACGAGATAAATATGATTTCAGTGATTCCGATTCTGAATATGCTAAAGGTAGCATATTGCTGAACCCTTTCAAGTAAAGCAGAACCAAGCAATATTCGCTGATTAATTTGGAGAAGTTCATTTAAGTAGTGCAGCCATATGGACTCTAACTAGGTAGTCTACATCTACTTACATGACTAAGTTCAACAGTCATTGTTTTCATATACAGATAGAATGGCCTAGTTTGACCTCCCCTGGCCTTCCATAAACCTATTCATATTTACTTTACAATAGAAAAGCTCAACTTATTTTTGTTGAGCTATTTGCATATACACTGAAGTAGTTTTTATTATAAACGGAAAAATAGATTAATAATGTCTAAATACCAGAAGACACTGAATAGTAATCATATTCAACTTTAAAAACCTTCACCGAAGTGTACTCATAATCCAACACAAGGATGAAATCAAGAATGCAAGATCTCGAGACATAAATGACAGTTCCAAACTATTGAGCTAGAAGTGAATCGTCTATATTTTCATCTTCAGTTATATCGTGATATAAGCTTATCTCCATTCACTGTTATTAGTAATTTGAGATTATACTCTTAATAACACATTACCATTCTCCTTTTCAAATCCACTTCTGGAAGTCAATGATCAATGAGCAAATGTTTTATCATTAAGAGCTTCTACGTAATTATAATATAACTTAATCATGAATATATATCCATTATAACCGTGATGTAAGGTTAAATAAGACTGTTCAATAAAATTGGACAATATGTGTGATATTGGTCGATCACTGAATAGTGTTTATCTAGCTCTATAATGCTGGTCAAACTCCGTTGATCAATTTACAATGTAACCACTAGTCTAAGTGACTCGACATTATGTGCACTATGCTTTGATGTTTGGTGGTGGATGGTGAATTGTGAACCTGGGTTTCATGCTAGTCATCCTAATACAATAAATACCTGCAATATTGAGGGAACTGATGCTTCCAGTCAGGTTTGAATAAGTCCCCTCCCTTTCTTTATCGGCTAAAATAGACTTTGTACTTGCATGTATTTATTGCAAAATTTCCCAAAATATTTTCTTTATTTGTCGAATAAAACTTTAGTTCATCACCTCTTGTACAACTTACTTTAAAGCCATTGGCAATTTTATCTGACTGATTTTCATCATATATTATCGAATCACAAATATGACGAGTATTGACGTTATTGGGATTCGCACTATTCACCTCTTTATTTGTATACATTGACAGACCAATTTGACGTGTAAGTCTACTTAAATCATGCATACGTAATTGAAGAATATATAACTGTTTCTTCCACGCTTCATACTGATTCGATTGGTGATAAATGTGACGTAAAGTAGATGAGAAATTAATCCATTGTGATTTTAATTTTAAAGCATTCAAAATGATTAAACGATATGGTGAATAATCATGGCTATCATCAGCATTATCAGTTTTAACATAAATATTATCATCTTTACAGGATGTTAAATCTTGTATAAATGAAGCCGATAATCTGTCTGAAATGGAAATTACAAAATTGATAATTGAATTGAACATATCACGAAAGTTTTCAGAAAAATAATTCAAAAATGTTTTCACAATTAAAAGCCATTCTTTATTATTAATTTCATTATACTAGCATAGATAGGCTGTTTTGTCAACAAAGAGAAAAAGTGTTTTCTGAACAAAGTACGAATTGATTATAGTCGTTCTAGAATGATCAAATATTACCATTTTTCGACGCTACAATTAGTGAAAATCAAGTCTTCATACAATAAAAAACACACTTAGTCAAAAAATACAGTGTTTATTTAAATGAGGGTAATATTTTATTAACATTACATTAATCACATGGAAATGGCCGACAGTTTTAGTTGTTTCACATAGACATGTACGCTTAATATAAAATTACTCGTTTAATGATGTTATGGCAGATGAGATATGCCTAACATCTGTCGAAATTTCAATGAGGATAGTTTACTGAAATTGTTTAACGTCAATTACCAACGTTAACAACTATGTAATAAAGTAGACTGTCTGATAAAATATCTATGACACATGATATCAGGTATCTGTTCAATGAAATAAGTAAGACCATGACCAAGTCCAGTGTTTACATCTATTTATAATAGATTGTTTCTAATGAAAGTGCTTTTAAAAGGAAGTAGCGTTTCAAAGAATAAATATTTCCTATTACGTGCAAGATTTTCTTTGAAAATATGGGTACAGTGCGTCTTTATTTCAACTATCCACAACTAGTAAATATTATTGTTAACTTTAAAAAAAATTTCATTCAAACAATTAACTTGTTAGAGTCTTTGTTACATAATACAGTACCTTAGAACTGAGATTATAACAATTAGACCAAGTTAATCCGTATTTGAAGTTGCGTAATGATGTTTAATATTATGCTGTATATATATATATCTAATCTACCGTCTACTCGATTTACTTTATAATCTTATGAGATCCTTAAAATGAACTTTTCATTAAAACTGTATCACATGTCGTGATATCTGTGCATCATGATTATGAAAGTTCGAAACGTTGAACACTTATTAGCTAATCCTTAATCGATAGAAGAAAAAAAAAGATCAACCATTCTTTTATATTTAATAAATTACAAAATGGACGTTTTTATTCAGTTTTTAAATTTGGTTTACAATGAAACATGTTTCAAATTATTCAGTGATAAATAAATTTAGCTGTAATTTATGACCTAACTCAAATTAAACTATGCACTGAAATATATTGTATAGAAATAAATAAAAATGTAGAATAAATTGAACTGTCGTCCAATTTAATGCAGAAAAACAATGCGAAAAGACAAACAAACAATGAAGAATATGAAGTAGGATCTTATTTAATCATAGAAGTAATAAAAAGATAAAGATTAAATCTATCCATTCAATGCTGACAACAGATTTTCCACCACAGGTCTAACCAAATTTAGGAACCAAGTTAAAGCTATATGAAGGCTGGTCCCCTACGGTGAACATTTACCTAGAATGATGCTTTTAAATGCACTATTGATCTGTAATTATCAGTGATAGTTACACTTGAAGTTGACTTTTAAATTTTTAATGAGTCACAGTAACTATCAACCGTTATTTAAAATGAACGATTTCTATCAACTCATTTTTGTTTCCAATATATACCGCTACTTTAACCACTAAATGAACAAATTATCCGCTTACAATTCGTCTGTTCCCAATTCATATTACATTTAAAGTAAAACTAGAATATATTTCTTGATATCAATTAGGTAAGAAGTTACAAAATGTAATACTAATCTTTTTGACTAGTGATTCACAATTATGAAGAAGTTAAAACATTACTCTAAATAAACATTATATAAGAGATATGCATATTTGAAGGCCTGAATTTGCTTTAAACATGTTTTGTTTTGCAGCAGTAAATAAAAACTGAATACAGTTAATACAATTGAAAAGAAAACAACAACTTACCATCTGACAATTCAGAGACATTTGAAGAGCAATAAGACTTCAGATCATCAAGTAAATTAGAAAGCAATTTCACATGAGCTTCAGTAGTTTGCAACAGGAGGTCAGTACGATGACGCCAATTGCTTGAGTTTATCTGCTTCGAAAGATCTATTTATAAAATGTGGACAAACAGATGGCCGAATCAATGACAAATATCCAATACAAATTATTATTATTATAATTGTTGTTATTATTAGTACTATTATTATTATCATTATTATTATCGATGAAGTCTGTAATTTTACTGGCTTTGTTGAGATGATCGATTGAATTTTGTGAAGTGTAAGTTGATATACCGCTACAAACCGCTTCATTCGACTATGAGTCGTTTGTTTTTATGATTATAGAGCCCGATGCGTTCAATTAACAAACGGCACGTGTAACTGTGATGTATGCTACTTATGTCAACAGACATAAGTAGTATGTAACAACAACTAGAAGTGGAAAATCTCATGGCAAAAGGTTATGAAGGTCGACTTAAAGAGAACAGAAACGGAATTAGAAAAGAATTGTGAATCGGAAGAGTCTTGAAGAATGTTAACGACAAATGATGGAAATTTGTAAATGTAGTATTTAATGTATGATTCTCTTATATTATCAAGATGTCCTGTAATACGTTGTTTGTCCCAAAGTTTAAAGAAAGACAATTGTTTGGTTCTCCATATAGATTACATTAATGCTACAACCAATATATGTTTATGAAGAAAACTCTCCAGACTTATCGAAACAGTCATATTAGCGTGCTGTCGGTACTTAATGTTTTTCACGACTCAAAAACAAAACACTGTCTACAAGATCAGTACTCGTATTTAGCATCTATGCGTTATTTACTAACAAAATAATCAATATCACTAATATATCAGACGGCACTAGATTTTAGCGCAATTGAAGGTTACAAGGACAGTTAATAAGAAAAAATGTGATCTAAAACATGCTTTAAAATGTACACTGAACAGAAAAATGAATCTTAAAATTCACATATAACATTACTTTAAACATAACACAACGATATAATTATAATTAGCTGTTCAGTAATCTAATACCAGTTCAAATTGTCAACGGGAACTAAAATTATCCTCATATATATTAAAATTACATATTGGAATCAATCCATATTACTTGAATTAGGAGTCATTTTGAAAAGATACTCATAAGCAAATTGTAATTTTTATGATTTCACGTTTTCTACTGTCGCCTTTATTTTCCTGTTAACAATTCCTCTCAATCGTATTTACTATTTAACTTCCAATACAAGTGTTACCTAGATATCTTCTACAAATTACACATATCAAAGGAATGAGTCTTTATGGAGACCTCTATGTTGATTAAATAACCATAAATATTGTTAGATAGCAATCTAACTCAAAGAAAACATGGATTTATTAGAAATTGGATTGTACAGGAGAAAACTATTCACAAATAAATTCTGTAGAATATGTAAACAAATTTATTATCTTACCAATCGAAAAATTTAACAATGCAAATGCATCAGGGGATAGTAGCAATAGGCATTTATTTCTTTAATGAGGACTGAATATTTACATTGATTAATCACTGAATAATAACCAGTGTTTTGTTTAATTAGTAATTATTGTTGATTGTACTTCGTCGACACGTTATGATATGGTTTCTAGTCTGAGTGACTAGATATATTTTGGTGTTTGGTGGAGATAACTCCCCAGATTGTAAAGTTGGGTGATGCGAGTGCGAATCTTTCCGAGTTAGGAGTGTGCTTTGATAATTGATGCCAACGAGCACAAAATCCAGAACCACCAACATCTGAACCAATTATTTATCTAATGGATTATTTTTTGAGGCATATTTTGTGAACTTAAACGCTCGTTGTTTACGGGATGTTGTAGGCAGTATTTAGCAAGTAAATAATGGTTTGAATACTAAACATAATGATTTCAGTTAATATTTTAAATTAACTGATACTGTATGGCTTCACACATCGAGATTAATCAAAAAAGTAATTTTGTAGACAATTCCCCAAAGTATGTTATACTGGGAAAAGCAAACCTATGCTAATTCTTTTGAGATTCTAACGCCAGGTTTCAATAGATACTAGTTTAAAATTCAGGTATATACATGTATCTTATTTATTTCTGTGTAAATGTCATAATAAATAATTCGAAGAAGATAGTTTAAAGTAGTAAGTGAAAAAAACCCACATACTTCTTCGTTGTACACTACTATTTCTCTTGATTGAATTTATTAATTCTTGTAAATAAGTTTTCGCGTGCAAAAGTCTTGTTCTAGAATGTTCCAGAATTCCTTTATGAATATCACTGAAATATCGATCATCCAAACGATTAAGACGAGCATCAAGTGATAAAAATTCACGTTTGTTCAATTGTTTTTCTGACTGAAATAAATTGATCTGAGCTTTTCGTTTACGATTGATAATACGCGGAATTGTTTGATATTTTCTTTCATACAATTTACTATGTCTTTTGTTATGATACCTAGTGTAATATGTACAGTTAGAAGAATTAAAATGTTCACTGAAACTACTCATAGGATATAAACAATTTTTGATGTCCTGAATTTCATGCTATAAAAAACAAAAAAAAACAAACAAACAAGATTAACATGAAGTAATAGAGAGAAAAAAAATCATGCGTGTAAATAATTCTGTTGAATATTTACAATAATTATAGATGATTAAGGACAAAAATAGTAATTAACACTTATCAATTATACTTTTTTTGAGAATGTATAACAGTAAAGAAAGATCTGAAAAGTTGAAAAACTCAACAAAATCAGTAAAAGTAATATCAGGTAAATTTCTATTGATTAGAAATTAGAAGGACACTGCTGTGCTAATGCGGTATGGCAAATTGGATCGATGTATATATGTGCCTGGTCCTATGTTGTAACTGACTAACTGGAAAGGATAATGTTGAAAAATGACCTGTTTAGTAATTTCTAGATTTGATTTTTATTCTAAAAAAAGTTTTGATTCATTGTATTAAACACACCAACGTGGATCTGTAAAACTGTTAACATTATATTATAGAAAATATGTACAAATCAATAAAATAGTACACAGTTACACACTTACATAATATTAATCAATTACAAGATGTTACAATGTAGAGACAATAAAAAAAGAACATTTTGAACTCAGACTTTAAAAGTTTCAAAGAAGTAAACAAAGACAGTATATAGTCAAAAGTATTATGTGATAGCACAGAGTGGTATTTATTGTCATAGCTTCTACTATACAAATATAAGTTCAATGTGATTTACCTATATAACAATCACTATTCACATAACGAGACAGGTAAACGAATATAAAAAGTATTTCTAGCTGTGATTAAAATTTATCGAAATCATAGGTTAATCCTAATATTTGAAAAGTAATTTCATTTCCTAACACTGAAACTAATTACTTCTCATTGGAATAAAATAATAATAAAATTTAACAGAAATTTCTTACGTTTGATATGACATCCATTGTATCTATACTTGGTAAATGCTGTGAACCGCCATCGGGACATGTACGCAGCCCACGAACAGATGATTCCGGACTGAGTAAATTATCTGTATGCTCAGCAGACCAACTTTCTGCTCCATGAGTATTACTTATTGACGTGTTATTGCAAACTTCAAAACTTGCATCTAAACTACTTTTTCGATTGAATAAGTTTGTTGTAGATGTAGAAAGAATATCATTCGTATCTTGTCCTTGATTTCTGGAACAGTCATTTTCCTCTATAATACTACTAGAATTCGATTTTATAAACTTCTTTGGTTCTGTATGACTGTGTAAAGATGGTGAGTTCAGTTCTCGTTCAATATCATTAAAAAATGAACTTCCGACATCATCCCACGGAAATTCTTCAGCGTACATACTTGGTGGTTCATAAGCTTGAGTATCACTGGAATTAGAGTAGAGTGATGCCTGAAAATGCGGAAAAAAATATTGCTATAGACAATAAATGATAAAAATAAGATTGACAGGTTAAAACAAGAAACAGAAAAAGATAATTCATTTAAATTTAAGTTTGAAGGATAGTAAGATAGGGTTTATTTTGACATATATTTATTTATTTACTGAATACATGACAAGTCCTAGAGTGATTTCTACCTTAGTTAGTCATTCACTTACCAGGTACAAAACAACGCAACTGAATTCAAGCCACACTCTATGTATGAAGCCTAGTGATACCGTCCAGTTGCCCAAAGAAGTGTAGGTAGAAAGGGATTCAAGCCTGGAGGTTAGTGTGTAAAAGTTCAACGCCTTAGCAGCTAAGCAGCCACTCAAACAATACGATTTTTTCAACTACATACGTAACCCAATATGAGAAATCAAATGAAATAGAGCTCAGAAATTAAGTGTCTAAACTAGAAGATTACAGTTTAAGTACCGATATATAATCTACTGATCCTAATACAGTGATAAACGCTTAGTGGTAACATAAAATTTGAAAGCCTTTTAATTAGAATACTTTGGATGGTCACTCAGCTACAACGTAGGACCAGGAACACATATGTATCAGTCCAAATTGCCACACCTCATTAGCATAAAAAGATGACCACCATATTCATAGTAGCAATTACTCCAGTGGTAGTAATATATAAAAGAAAGATTGCACATATGGATATAGTACAGGAAGAAAAATTAGTTCGTAAGAAGAAAGACATAAATTAATTCTTATCCCACAGTTTAAGGGAAGACAATAAGCCACGTCACACAGAGTCTCCAACCATTCGTTAGGACAGTCGCGCAGACCCCAACCAAGTAGTCTGCATCCACCAACATGGCTAAAACCAGAAGTTAGTAACTTCAAGGACCGATGCAACGTTTTGGTTTGGCCGACCCTAATTTTTTTCTAATCGTCTCCAACACTAGTCAGCATTACACATCGTGGTAAGCGGTATTCAAGCATACGTAACACGTGGCCCATCCATCTCAGTCGGTGAAGATTCACAACCTCATCGACTGATTTACCATCATTCCCTGCGTCTATCCTCACTATTACTTACCCGGTGATCCCAGCAGACGCCAGCAATATTTCTGAGGCATCTGTGGTCAAATACTCAGTCAGTCAGTCAGTAACAACGTAGAACTTCGTACGTACGTACGTACATCAGTCCGAGTTGCCACACCACATTAACACAGAGATGCAGTTGTCGATTTAAATCCTGTAGTGGTAGAGGTAGCAAGAGTATAAGAAGTAATCGGGAAAAGTAGGGTTTGGAGATGTTATTTAAAGAGTATAATCCAGTGAAATAAATTTGGAAAGAGAAAAAAAGAAAGGGACATGAAGAATTCAGAAGATTAGAATTTGGGAAAACACAAAGAGTGGATGCACCTGCGCCATTGCAAACGATTTTGAGCCATGTCATTCAGGGTCTCTAACCATCGGTTGCTATCATCTGGCGGTCCCCTACCAGGTAGTCTACACCCACCAACATCACTCAGACCACTTGTCAGTGACTTAATGGACTTGTGCCATGTTTTGGTCTGGCCGCCACTAGCTTTCTTCCAACCTACTCCTATACCACTGAACATCGCACGTCGAGGCAGTCGGTTGTTGGGCATACGTAACACGTGTCCCAGCCATCTCAACTGATAAGTTTCACTACTTCATCAATTGATTTGCTATCCTTACCTAGTACCCGTTTCCTAACAACTGTGTTACTTACTCGATGGTCCCAGGATATACGAGCAATGTTTCGAAGACACCTATGATCGAACACTAGTAACCTACGGATATCCTCTACTCTGACCGGCCATGTTTCGCTGCCATAAAGTAGGACGGGATGAACTGCTGCGCAGTAAACACGTCCTTTGGTTGATAGACGGATATCTCGCCTACGCCATAAATGACGCAAGTTGGCAAAAGCTAATCGAGCCTTCTGTATCCGTGCTGAGATTTTGTCACACACCAAACCATAAGGGCTAATGAGACTTCCAAGATAAGTGAAGCGGTCGACACATTCAACTACTTCACTCCCTATCACTAGTTCGGGTGTCGATGTAACCCAATCCTGAATCAACATTTTGCATTTCGAGGGAGAGAATCGCATCCCGAACATGCTTGCATTGTTGCTTAGAGTAGTCAGAAGACTCTGCATTTTTTCAGCGTCTTCACTAAATAAAACTATGTCATCAGCATATTCTAAGTCAACAAGTGAACCTCCCGGTAGTAGTTTAACCCCTGGAAATCTAGATGAGGAGAGTGTTATCTCTAAAAGTACGTCAATGACAAAGTTGAACAAGAATGGGGAGAGTGGACAGCCCTGACGAACACCACTTGAGGTGATCAATTCTGATGACAGTTCGCCATAAGCTCTCACTCTACCAGTTGTGTTCGAGTAGAGAGCCTTTATGAGGTTAATGTACTTCTTTGGTACTCCTTTCAGTGACAAACACTGCCACAGAACCTCACGATCAACAGAGTCTAATGCCGCCTTGAGGTCGAGAAATACTACTATGGTTGGGCGTCTGAATGTGTGCCTGTGTTCTAGAACCTGACGTAGTGTGAATATCTGATCTATACAACCACGTCCAGGTCGAAAACCAGCCTGGTTTTCTCTAATCTGCCCTTCACGAGCTTTGATTAAGCGTCGAAGTATTATTTAAGCTAATAGTTTAGACACTATATTAGTCAAACTGATTCCTCTGTGATTGTCACAAGAGGACTTTTGTCCTTTCTTATAGACTGGCACAATCAGTGATTGAGATCAGTCAGATGGGATTACGTCCAGTTCCCAAATTCTACCTAAGACCTCGGTTAATCTCACTGCTAATACTGAACCACCATCCTTAAAAATCTCAGGAGTAAACCTGTCAGGGCCTGCTGCTCTCCCTCGTTTCAGATTTCTTATGGCTTTTTCAACTTTGTAAAGGGACGGAGGACTTACATTAACTTGCCATTCAGGTTGACTAGAGATCGTGGGAAACCGAAGTGTGGCTGAAGGCCAGTTGAACTGATTCCTAAAGTGTTCTGCCCATCGATCCAATCTCCTGGATTGAGAATGAATAATATGTCCATCTTTCTCTGAGATTGTTTCGCTAACGGTCGGGTTCCTAATTCCTGTTTCCTTAACAAGTCTGAACAATTGTCTGCTATTACCTATTGCCGCTGCCTTTTCCATCTCTCTTGCTTTCGCTACCCACCACTGTTCGCGATCATTGCGTAGACTTCTTGTCAGCTTGCGCTAAAGCTGACTCCGCTCTTCACTGTGTTCAGAGCCAGGTGGATTGAGTTTCCGAGCATCTATCAGTGCGACAAATGCTGCTGAGATCCAGTGTTGCTCCCTAACCTTCTGGTTTACCATACTAGCAGATATCACTGCTGTTTCCACAGCTTTTCGGATATCATTCCATGCTGCCTCGTGGTGGGCATCAATCACATGGCTGCTTAACTGTTTTCCTAGTTGTTCCTGGAATATACCCTTAGTTTGACTATCATTAAGTAGGCCCCTAAGAGGTTCCTTGCAGCGTCTTTCCTGCGTCCAGTAAGACGCGGACAGATACGCACTCTTACTAGAGCATGATCTGAATCTAAGCATGTGCTCCAAAATGAGCGACAGTCTTCTATCGAGCCCCTCCATCGGTGGCTGATAGCGATGTGATCTATTTGGGTCCAACGTTGGGACGAATTAGGGGGTCGCCATGTTAAAAGATGTTTTTCCTTATGCTTGGAGTTAGTATTTGCAAGGAACAGGCGGTTATCTGAGCATAGCTGCAACAGACGGTCGCCATTATCTGTTCTTTGAGCCACGACACCATAAGATCCACCTAGGTGTCTTTCCCTATCGTTTATTTTACCTACTTGAGCCAGCCACTATTACTACATCAGAGCGCCTAGCTTTTCGGAGAAGTTCGGAAAGCTTTCTGTGAAACTCATCTTTTACATCATCTGAGCTGCAGTCAGTAAGAGAATAGGCAGAGGCAACGACGAGTGTCCCCATCTTTCCGGATCCTTATTGTTCCGTTCAGTCGGACAGCGCACAAACGACTGTCTACTGGGATTCACTCTAAGAGAGCTAGTTCTGCCCTAGGACTCAATACTATACCTACGCCGGCGAGGCCACGGGAAGCAGAATCTGGGCTTCCAGATACACAAAGTGTGAATCGAGTCGGTTCTTTATTTTGGCATGGTGGGGTCAAATGAATGACGCTACTCGTATCCTGTATACGCGTTTCGGAGACGCAGCACACACCGATGGCGCGGGATCGCAAAGTCCTAGCTAAGGCAGCCTGCTGTCCTATTTGGCACAGTGTTCGTACGTTAAAAGCCCCTACGTGTAGTTTAGAGCGTGGTTTCAGGAAACCAGGAATAGCGTTCCGCGTACTCGAATCGTTTGCCCTAGCGGTGCAAGGTGATAAAGGAACGGGAGAAGCGTTTGTCGTGGAAATAAAAGAGTTGTTAGGATGTGTAGGAAGGAACTGAATGTGACCAACCCGGTCTCGTGTGCTGTTCCAGGTATGAGGGCTGATGTCACTTCCCGGCTGCCCACACCGTGAAAGGGTATTTCTTGAGGAACCTGAAAAGGGAATTGAATTAGTGTTGGTCTCAACGACCTGGGAGCGTGACCGCAGAGCCCAAGGGACAACTGCTTGAGGCCGGTCGCGCACGGCCTTTTTGCGGAAGGTTTTTGACGTGTTAGCTCCGTTCTTCAAAGGGCCTTACCGCCGGAGACGGAAATCCGTGAGGTAAGATGAGGTGAGGTGTGACATCTTTAGGGTCAGCCTTTTCTAACCCCATCCCTCCTTGTGGGAAGGCAGCATCGCTGTCATGGTGGTTGTCAGAGGGAAACACCTTACTGCTGTCACACCTCTCTACAGTCAGCAGTACGACTTCGCCCCCAGACCTTGAGTTGCTGCTTTTAGTCTTACCGTTCACCAATCGACCTGCCTGGCATGGTAGAACCTACAGGAACATATGTTCCAGCCAATGTAGCTCGGTTGGGTCATTACTATAGGCAAGCCCGACCACCGCGTCGAGGTAGCAGCTTCGGTCGGGCTCACGAGTGTCTTCCACTCTTAATGGCCGTGTTTCGCAGCCGTAAAGTAAAACAGAACGAACTGCTACGCAGTATACTCGTCCCTTAATTGATAGACGGATATCTAGCCTGTGCCATAGGTGCTGAAGTTGGGAAAAGTCAAACGAGCTTTTTGAATCCGTGCTGAGATTTCGTCAGACACCAGCCCATTAGGGTTGATCATACTTCCAAGATAAGTGAAGTTGCCAACGCGTTCGGCTACTTCACTCCCCATCCTTAGTTTAGGTGTTGCTACAGGTCAGTCCTGGAGCAACAACTCGCATTTAGAGGGGAGAAACACATCCCAACTTGGATAAGTCAGAGTAAGATTATGGTTGATCGTTTAAGGGATTCAGTTACTTGCTAATAGAAATTTAGCGCGAGACTATCCTCTTTACTTTATTAAATATAGCTAAAATCAATCTCGACCTAACACAACTCATTAATGAAATTCAAATTCATATACTTAGATTTAGGGTACACCGTTTTGTGTATCGGTTAGTGATGCTGTGATGTGTCGACATAAGTAGTATATAATGTCAATGAGCAACAGAATGCCTGACAGTAGAAAGTTGAGAAGATGGAGGATGGAAAATGGGAACAAAAAACAATTGGTAGTGATAAGCAGGAACAAAGAAGTTTGAGACAATTAATGAACATTTTGCAAATGAAGTATAGGAGTATGAGTCTTCTATTTTATCAAGTAAATCCGTAATTTTGTGATGAATGTAATGAGTTGTCCTTAACTGCGTTCTCGTTCACCAAAATACTATTTGAAAACTCGAACAGTAATTGGTGGAGTGCGGATTCCACTTTAAGATCTAACAATTAAACACTAAATACTTTGACTACTAATCCCTTGTATCGCAAAAATTACTACAACTTATAACACGGACATAACTCTACTCGATCAGATGACGTAACTTGTATAATTTAAAATAATTAGAAGAAAATGAACTTACCTGATAATCATCCCAAAAATTTAATAAAGGTTCATGTGAATCCTCCAATGCCGATATATCATTATCATCATCATTATCATCTTGACAAGTTCTCTTTTCATCTTTTCCATCCAAATCATTCATGAATAAAGGACATAAATTATAAGCATTATTATTTTGATTCTTCTTCTCTAACAATTGTTTGTTTGTCGAATCAACCAGATTATCATTTTTATTATTATTTTTACCAAGTTTGAGATTCGAAGCCTCTAAACCAGCTAACCAGGATTCAAACCGAGTTGGTGAATATCGATTACGAATTAATTCTTCTGCCTTCTCAGCTGCATTTAAATATGTTCTAACTTGCATTCGCCATTGACGTTGTTCCAATTCACTTGCATTATCAGGTATCGATTTACAGTAATAACTGTGGTTACTAGTTACTTCACAATCTGAGTTTGATCTTGAATCAATATGGAACATTTGCGTGTCAACAGAACTATATTGTGAAACAACTGATTTAGTGTGATTGAACGTTTCATTAGAAATTTGATTGTACAGATTTAAAGAAACTGAACTCATACAATTTCTAGTTTTTGATGTTTTTTTAAGATGACTTTTGAAAAATTTCTTATTTCTTGATTTAGTATTTGTATGTTTCATCTTGAATTCTAAAAAGTGAATAAAAGACAATTGAACTAGTTAGTTTTGATGAGGAATATCACTGATTTTAGTGAATAATTCAAATTTAGTCAGTCGTAAGTAACATAGAATTTAATAGAAATGTATATCAATTCGAGTTATTACATTTCATACTTTTACATAGAGAGAGTGGAGTGAACAAGATTAAAATGAAAATGATCGAAATAAGACTATCGACTTCAGTGGAAAACAAAGTATGAGTGAACTAGTTAGAGGAATGATGTTTAGGAATGTAAGGTATAAAAGTTAAAAAATAAATACAAATCTATCAATACGATTGATTCGGAGCTGTTTTAATGAAGAAGTATCTAATCATAAATTAATTCGAAAACGTTATATAAATCTGCCGAACAGTATCAGATGACTATCCTCAATTCAAGATATCATACATCATACCTTAATAAATACTTAGATTTGAATATAAATAGCAAACTATAGTGAACAAACCTACAGAAACAAAATACCTTTCAATGGGCGCTTTTAGATGTTACAGACAAGGAACAGAACTCTACAGCTTAAAACATTTTGCAATCAATTCTTAAGCGTTCAAAGTACTTCTCAACATAGCTATAGTTTAGATAAAAGGTGATAAAATAAATCTTATCCGTTACTTCTTAATCAACGATTATACAAACTATTAAATACAATACTAATCGTTTTACCATTTTCTAATAATTGGTTAGAAAATAAATTTTATATTACACTTATGGACACTATTCTTTGTCTCATTAAGAATTGTTTAGACAAAGCTTTGATTTAATCAATCCATACTGTTCACTTAATGAAAATAAGTAAACATTTCCAAAAACAAACTGTCAAACTACACAGCTTCTTCATGTATTTCTGTCAAAAACTGCCAATTTAACTTTATTCAAATTCAATTGAAAAGTTCAACGTCTTATCAACACTAAAATTTATCAAACTACTAACATCTTTAAGTAATAACACATCTTTATACGGTTTTGAACAACATAAAAAAATGGTTTTTAGTTTTTATAGAGACGATTAAACTCCTAAACAATGGTACATAACTCTCCAAAATAAAGAATTGAATGAATAACCATTTCTTTCTTTCAATAACCGTTGTTTATGTTCAATAGTTTAATATATTAAATATGCTAATATATAGAATAATAATAAAAAATTATGACTAAGCAAGTGAACCATTGCATGAACGAGTGAATGAGTAAATGATCAATGGAGTGAGTGAGTGAACAGTTGAAACTCAACCAGTCAGCACGCACATGACTGATTGATTATTTTTTCTGTTTGTTACTTTGTGAAAAGATAACGATGATGATGATGATGATGATGATGATGATGATCATTATGATTAAGTTGAACCGATTAAAACAAAAGATAAAGTAACAATAACTTAAATGACCTAACTTCCCTCATTTCTGTGAACAAAAGACAAGAGAAAGTAGCAAGAGAGATAGATAAAGAGAGTGAACAGATTAGATTAGACTAATGTTCTTTTGTGTTTAATATAAGTTGCACGCATATTGAAAATAACCATAAATAGCAAAAAAGGCGTATTATTAACCTGGTTGAAAAGAATTGAAAATATTCAGAAATACAAAGTATTTCACAAATGTACACAATAGACAGCTTGTCAAAGGAAACATACACACTTACATTTATATTTTTACTCAGTGTATTATGATATAAATGTTAGTACAGTGTTCAGATATACTAACAAGACAATGTATTGCTTTCTTAAATAGTGTTCAGTAAAATCGTCTTTGTTATACTAAGTTATTTTCTTAAATTATTGTTTTCAAAATAGAACAATTGTATTACTAGTCACTGATTAAATATTACCATTATCCAAATTATGCAAATATTGAAGTATTTATAAAAGTGGAAAAATGTTTTACCTGTAAAACATTGATTTTGAGAAGTAATTCCCGACGTCCAAGTAAAACCTGTTACCGTTGGAGTTCAACCGTGTTAAGCGCGAGGCATTAACATACCAATTGGACTAGAAAGTGGTTGCACAATAATGCGTTACCATTGGTAGCTAACTCAGTGGTTTAAAGGTTAAACACTAGTCACTAGTTTTGAAAGTTCTAGGTTCAATCCCCAGTCCGGTCGTAGATGCTCACCGGTAAGGAGTTTAACACTATGAAAATGCTCTTTTAACTGATATCAGTCTTTGACGTCATCCATTAAAATCAATGAATCAAACAAATATCAGTAACATTATTGATAATTTGTAAATGTATTACACAAGGCTTGGTAAAGTTCGCCTAAGTGGCTCTAAGAACGAATATTATTTTCACAGATTTAAAGTGACATTATAAGTATAATGTCATTGGAACAAGCAAACACTCGGACAATGAATTCGGGATGCGGAGAAAATGTTTTTTATGAATAAAAATTGTTAATAACAAACGTAACTATAAGACGGTTTTTTTGGAATTGAAACCAAGTGATTGTTATAATGAACAAACGGAGTATGGGTGACCTATAGTCAATACAATTGACATACGTAAACTTACTTAAACACATTGACAATTTCGCATAGACAATATGCATGGACGGATATAAAATCCAAGTTATTAATTTGATAAACATAAACTTTAATGAACTTTTTTTAAAGTAGTTTCTGAAGTAAAACTATTATTTAGCATGTCTTTCAAGTATTTATCCATGTATTTGATATAGCGATTTTATTTTTCGACAAAGTAGGTACCCCTTTAGTAAAGCAACTTAGTTATAAAAAACTAAACAGTGACAGCCATTTGATGGAAGAATATACATATCAAGTTAAAAATTCATTGAAACTAACAGAAGAAGAACTTGCATAGTTATAGGATTTCTAGTTTTTTTTAAAAAAAGTTTATTTAACACAAGCACTCGTAGATAAAATCCATACTTCGCTCAAGATCGTGATTAACTCAGTAGCTCAGCGGAGTTTGGAGTGAAAGTACTGGGTTTGAGCTTCAGTGTGAACATCAGTATTGAGATGCAGGTACATCGAATTGACGAGTACCAAGTAGGTGGATGCACTCATCCTGGATTCCAGCTTGTAACTAATAGTGAAATTTATTTAAAAAAAAAGGTGACCGAATATTATCATTGCACCGAGTAGATAAATAATATGACTTAGTCATGGGCTATAACAACTGAATTGTGAATGATTTTATATATTTGATTGCATAATTTAACTACTGACCTAGTCTTCATATGATCGAATTATAAAAAGGTTAATATATTATAAAATCTCATAAAATAAATTCCGGAAATATCACATCTTAAGTGTAAGTGGTTTTAGCAAATTAATATAAAAAAGAAATAATGAAATGAATGATTCACTGGATAGAATAAAAAATAGGTACCAATACTATTTAATAGTACTACTACTCACTAAAATTATTCTATCAGTGTACCATTTAATGTGAAAATGGGCTATTTTATTACTGTTATGTGGAAAAATGTAAACACAGTAATGGTTTATTGAGGAATTTGAAACAGTCTAATAAATGTTAAGAGGGAACAGGAATATCTCAAGGATAATGAGAGACATTCAATTCATTAAATGAAATATATGTATATGAAAAAGTACACATACATACATTATGCAAGTGTGTATTTCTGTGAGTACATTTCCATTAGTAAAGAATTTAGGAGAAAGGAATCGCCCAAACATACAAACAAACTAATAATAATGAGAATGGTTGATATTAGCAACGGGCACTTACACTGTAATTGTTCAAAATAAACCACGTAGAATAACAGAGTGAAGAAAATACAATATAATCAATAAAAATTGAACTATACTCTCTCACACACACATAAGTGAAAACAGTCTATTGTACAACTAACATATGATATATTTGTACATATCTATGATTGACATCAGATAATAACACTTTCCCAGGTACTATTTACTACTAAAGTAACCAAGTTAGATCCAGGAATCATTATTTTTTATTCTATTTTAAAAAATAAGACGAATCACGGCTACTCAAAATGCAATATAAAAATAGTGTATCCAAATAAATAGTTATTTCGATTTTAGTTAAAAAGTCAATTTATTTGAAATTATCAACCTAATTCTTGACAGAAATACTTACAAATGTGAGAGTTTTATAAGCTCGAGAAAAAAAGTAATTTGAATAAAGATCTATGTAACTAACAAATCATAATGAAGAAAATGAAAGAAATACAGAAAGCTTAGATTTTCAAGCTACCTTTTCTACAATTCATCTTGTATTGTTTATTTGGATCTTCCCATTGATGTTTAGGACTGCAATTGATCGGTCTCTTGTTGGCATATGTGCACCTGTGAGGATTGCCTCGATATTGCCTTAAGTCACAATCACTATAAGGAAAGATGAATAGTAGCTAGCAGTGAAATCCAGGACTCGAGTTTCGTCCTATTTGAAACTGCGAACCCGAGTTGATATTCACTTCGAAACTCAAACCCAGAGCCGTTCGCCTCAAACGCCACCACGTTATCCACTTAGCTACTGAGTCCTGATACCCCGGTATATTCAACTGACGAGCCCCAAGCAAGACGAAACGCGCGTCCCGGATGCCACTGCTAGTAACCATCCATCTTTGCTTATAATGCCTTTCTACACTATTTATAAGTGATTAGTAATTCGAGGTACTATTTATTTTGCGAAGAATTTTCATCCTAATCGAAATAAATTAATTTAATTTTTTATTGTGTGTAATAAAAGTGAGTAAATGACAATAGACTTAAATGATTACTTACCAAGTAAATGCCTCATTATTTGGGTGTTACCAATTCGTTTTAAATGATAAAAATTATGTAAATTGTTGTATTTAGTAATCACAGATTTTCGTCCACGGGTAATTTTTCTGAGATTATTATTATTCACAGTGTATACATGTGCATTGCATGATCTATCATTTACTTGACGACGATTCGAGATAAATGGCAAATCTATACTTTCCGATTTATTTATTCCTGTTACGGATGATTTCACAATAGGTAACGACCAACATTTGTGTATTGTCTCATTATTTCTTAAGAGTAGAAAAATAAGAAAAAGAAGTATTTTGGTAGTCGAGCAATAAATAAATAAAAGTCTTATCCGAAGTACAATTTCATGTCAAAGAGAAAATAATATAAATAAAAATGATGTAGATTTAAAAAGTCGAGGATCTGATTATCAACATTATTACGATACGCGTACTATCGAATAACTGCTGCTTTCAATAATTCTGTGGCTTGTGTTAAATAAATCAGGAATTCATAGTAGCTAAACCTATTAAATATGAAAGATTCCGAATGTCAACGTGAAACTACTCATGAATCAATATTAGAAGCTATTATTAACAAATTTATTCACCGTACGATGTCCTAAACAAGTTAGCCTATCATACTACATGTGAAGAGCATTTAGTAATTAATAGATGAAAATATATAACACTTGAAATTCGAAACCCATATTTTTCGCAATAATTAGAAGCCCGGTATATGCAACACAACAGAAAGAAAGTTGTATTTGTAAATATTCCGGTTATTGAAATTAAAAATAACTCCAAAGTTTCACTTAACAGGCTCATTTGATAATTTTGAGTTTTAATGATTTCCCTAAAGATACTTGTATCAGATTGCCGAGAAAAATGTAGTTATTTTAATTTCGATCACTTAGAATTTTATGTATATTATTTCTTTTTGAAAATAATATATTTGAATGAAAGAAACTTATTTAATATCCTTGACGATAGTATAGATAAAACATTTTGGGTAGGGAAACGATCCAACAAAAACTTATTTGGTCATATTTTCTCAGGGCGAACCCATAAGTTCTTCTTTATACAAATCGTTTTACAGAATCGAGAATAGTTAGTTAAAGTATAAATTATTTAGGAAATAACACCTTTGCAGTTCCCAGGAATATAAGGTGTGATAATGTGCATATAAAACAAGTAATAGTTAAAAAGTTGATTCTGATGGTATATATATGCTAGCGGTTTTTAGTGTTTAATACTTTCATTTCATCACACTCCACAAGTGTTAACTGACTCATATTTCGCGTTTCTTTTAAGCTGAAGTTTTTCTGCTTATATTGAACAATATCTATAAATGAAAGCAGTAGTTGGGTAACGGTAACAATATCCTAACCATTTCAGCAAATTTCATATAAAGATTAATCCAATTTATTCGTAACAGCAAAGCCCATTATCACAAGTAAGCAATGTACCTGAGACGTTGAACACTTGGCATTCTTACCATATATATATGCGAACAGATAGACCAATGTAAGTAATTCCTTTTAGTTATTAAGAGAAAAAATATTATCCATTATATCCCTAACATGATTTCCATCAGAGATCCTACTGATGAAGAATTTATTATTTTAACCTAGATTTAGTTCCTCTCACGCAACATTCCGTTACGACAATAGAAACATAGTGCGTTTAATCTTTTAATCCATGCATGAATGAATAAATAACTCAGTTTCCTTTTCTGATAAACGAACTGGTATGCTAAGTTTTAGGTGATGTGCTTTTTTCTCCATTGTTTTATGTGATAAGTTATTTAGGTAGTACATAAAACTAATAGGGCAAACCAATCGCGTTTTATAGTTATTTATTTATTACCAACTACTTTCTCATGGTCAGTAGCATGACAAAAATGAACCATTCTAAAAAAAAGAGCAAGGAAAATCACTGCTAAAATTCACCACCCGATTAATTGAATAAAACATCAGCAGAATTCTTCATTTGAGATATGAACTTTCATCATTATCTCATAATCGCTTGCACACCTATTCACATCGAAATGATGAAACTATCTAGCGGTAAGTTCTGATAATATAAAATGAAGCTATTAACGAGAAGTATAACGAACTGTGAACTGTATTCATGCGAAAAACACTCTAGGAAATTAAGCAGTTGAAATAGACAAGAACCTGTAATTTAGCATCGTATTAGTCAATCATCTTAAAGTCTGAAGTGTTTCTTCAGAAATTACATAATAACAAAATATTCGAAGTAACTCATACAAGCTTACTCGACTTTATCTAAATTCCTGAATTCAGTAGAAAATTTCATTTTCCATACACCTACATCTTCATGACAAAAAAATGGACCAGAAGAATTTTTTGAATTTGATGATTGACTTCCATTATCCGGTATCTTCACATCAATAAAACCATTTCCTGTGTTGTTCAATAAGATATTTTCATCTTGAATCATTTCCAGTCTGGAATTCCGTTTAGAATCCTGTTGGTCCGATAGAGAGAATAAATTCTTTCCATATCTGTTGATCTTACATTTATCTTCATTTTTAAAAAATAGATCACTTTGAGATGACAAACATTTAACAGTTTCATCAATTTTTATCACTTCAGGATATTTTATTAATTCATCATTTAATAAGACATTATCCAACTCTCCGATAATCTGATTAAAATCATCCGGAAGTGAACAACTGTTATCTTCTACGATAGAAAACATTTACAATAACACTAATATCAGAAATAATGATTATGATAAATAATATGTGTATTCTATTCAATGATATTATATCAACTAATAATTCATAGATATTCAAGTAGTAATACATAAATTGAGTTAATTAATTTCACATGGCCAATAAAAATCACTAGTTGAGTAATGAGCAGCCAATCGTCAATGAGATACACATTTTAATCATTATACTGTAATTCGATTGGTCCATTTCGAACATATCAATTATTTGTTTAATAAAGATGAATAATGATAATAATCAACTCATTAAATAGTCTATATTGTTTATCTTTTTAGTTATAAGCTTAAATCATCAACAAACATCACATAATGAATACATAACAGACTGTTAAATAAGAACAAAATGAAAAATGAGAACAAGGAAAGAATTGATTTTAAAAGAAAAAAACTTATTTCACATTGAATTTGTATGTCACACCCTAAAGCCGACTATTACTACTCCAATTATTGTAGTGTACACAGATATGTGTACATACTTATGTATAATCATGTCGACTTTGTTACCTGTTAATCGATTTCGCAACAGCGCCATATGTGTGGACAATGTATATGCATTTTGTTTTCAGAAAAAAAAGAAGTGCATAAACTACTTAAAAATTCTAAAAGACAGACAATGTGTAAGAAGAGACTAAAATCAAATTGTGGAACATATTTATGGATAAATCAAAACAGACAATAAAATAAATTTATATGAACTACATACACAAAATAAGAGATGAGAATAGAGAAAAATTAGTCAATTAATGAATGGAAAAAGGGTCTAAATCAAAACTAAATTATCTCATTTATTCATTAGTATAGAATGCCATAAATGATGTATATGCATATAATAATAGCGTAAAAGAAAACTTGAAGACCATAATGAACTGAATGCTGGATAAAATGTTCAGTTGCTCAAGTTTCATTCTGACAAATGAACAATGAATGGAAGGGTTTGACAGAAACTACGCAGATAAAACGATGCAAACGTTCTCTCTATTTCTAAATTGTCATGTACAGAAGTGATTGACAGATTTAAAAGTGTCCTTTTTAAGTAACCAATGTTGTTCAGCGACGTATGGAGCAATCAAAACAAAAAGATTACGATTCATAATCGAGACATTGTCTTTAACGACACATATGAGGCTACTGAGAATCTTAAATCATTACGTCAGATCTGTAAACCAATGACCATAAACATGTTTATGTGCTCAACTTTGAACCAAATTCTACAAGTAAAGAATAATGATACCAGTGAACTTCTCGAATCAAAGTAAGTGGGATGAAAGAATGAAACTGCCATCTGACGACTGAAATTTCATAGACTCAGAATAGCTTGAAAACACTTTGAAGATATTGGTGGGTAGTAAAACAGCACTGAAGGCTGGGTTCCTCAGTTAAATGAGAAAAATAAACTGGTCTTTACACGAGACTTTATGTTTCAACGAAGAAAAACCATAAGAACAAACACCACTCTATAAATACTATCTACATGAATTTAGGGAAGCAGGGATAAAACAGTTCATTAAAAGAGGTCAATCGATCCAAGATATCGATAACACAATACGTGGCTGATTAAAAAAAGCTGACTGACAGATACAGCAAGTAAATAATGCCAAAGTGTAAAAAATACGAAACAGATTCTATTCTGTCGGTTAAAAAAACTCAAGATAAATCTGACTCTTGAAAGGGACAGTGGCGTAACTTTGATCAATCAAATTTCCCTGCTTTAGCTTTACAAGAGAGACTTAGTATTCTGCAAAATTAAAATGAACAGATAAATTTACTGGTTAAAGTTAAGAAAACCAACGCCCTCAATTGAATCCGAGAAGTTGGGCCTGTTTTCAGAAGAGAAAAGTGGAATGGTAGAATTAAAACAATAAAATCAAGTCAGTGTGAAACTCTTTCAATATTTTGTTGTAAAAATGTATTCCAATAGTAAGCTGTTGATTAACTGATGTAATATACTACTCAGTTCAAATTATATAAGTCTAAATGTAAGTTTGACTTTAAATAAATCAATGAAGGCTTGTTTACAGATATCAGTTTGATTTATTTCCACAGTCAAATAAATACATCTCATTAGACTTTATATTTCCTAACTATTGTTGTTAGATTCAGAGATATCATCACAAGGTACAATCACCAGTGCACAGACACAACATTTTAAAGTTTATCTCAAAGTTTGATGAAAACAGTTTAAACTACAACACAAATTTAGTGTTGACCGTTTCATTCAAGCACTGTCATAATATATCCTAGATATCGATCAGTTATTCATTCATAAGTGACAAGGACAATGATAGATATGTTTATCTGTCAAACTTGACAAACCACATTAGTTTGACAAGATGAAATTATCAAAATGAAACTCAGAGTAGTGAAGGTAGTAACAATATCGGCGTTCGTAGGAGACAGGAAGTGTAAAACGGAATAATTTAAGGGGTAAGAATGAATTCAGGGAATAAAAATTATAAGACAATTCTAAGACTCAAGATCTTAGAGAAGATGAGGCATAATTATCTGTGCCATTGCGATCACACAGACTCTAGCAAAGTACTTTGCACATAACTACATTACTCAATCTACTCGTCAGTGTCTTCACAGAATTGTTCGTAATGTTGTTCTGGCAGTCCCTAGCTACCTTCCAACCTAATCCTATCCCCACCAGTATTTGTGAAATATATGTATACATATGTAAAGTATACACAACCAGGCGTAACCAATCCATCCTATTTAAACCGCATAAATCCTCATGATATTTCAAATAATTTCCCGAAATGATTGTAAGCATCGAAAAATTTAATTATTTAAGAAGATCGAAACGACACTGTTGCACAGCAAAACAATAAGTAATGTTTATACACTTAATAAAGATAAAGCAGAAAAGCAGAATAGGAGCTTGGAGTAAGCAAAACACTTTCTTATAACAATAAAAATGGTTGAATATATTGAAAACAGATTAACAATGTGCACAAGTTCATAAAAAAACCTTTCACGATATTTCTGTTTCTCAGATCTTACAATTTAACAATCAATCATGCTCGGATATCCACACCATAGTGATCTTCGCTAAATAGGTGTTTTTGTTAGGATTCATTTTTTGCATCGTGTACGTTCTGAAAATATTGATTAATATCCAATTAGGTTTCCAAATATGGAACAAAATTAACCACAACGTTTCATGTATAATTTGAAACGTGTAACAGTTGAATGTTTGAACACATACATAGATGAAATAAATTCACCCGAAATTTCTTGGTACAAATGTTTTATGATTATTTTAACCTTAAATGTATTATTCATTGTCTATCACTTATAAAACAAAAGTAGTCCAGCAATCTCATAAGCCTGCTAACTGAACGCTCAATCAGATTTCATAGGAGCTCTCACTAACCTCAGGCTCAGGGAATAGGGTGATATGAAAAAAAGAGCAAAGGCGCGAAATGCAAAAAGAACGCATTACTCTAAGGTTTGGTGTGTATAGATAAAGGAGGGTATTTAAAGAGTTACACACTACTATGGACTTCTGGAAGTTTCTGGAACTGTAGTGAATATAGTAGCATCATAAGCAAGTACCCGATCAGAAACGTGACACATTATTCTTTACATTTAAGAAGTTTCTGAGGAGCTTCTATTCGACCCTGATTGGATAAAGTGTTTCCAAAGGCTTTTAGGTCCATACAGAACCTTCGGAGGAATACTATGGAACTTCCCAACAAAATCAGTGATTTCAGACAAGATAAATTGTCACACCACGTCTAAAAAACACTGCAGGATATTTGAAGTAACTAGAGAGTGTAATTTATGAATTACATTTGAGAAATGATCTATCCAGGTGAATCATGAAAACGAATGCCTGAAGTGACCACCGAAAACAAATAGTTATGCAATATATATATTTTTTCCAAATAAAAACCAAATTGAAAACAGTGAAAAAGGAATAAAATCATTAGTGTTTTAAAAGGAACTCAATCAGTTCTGACGTTTCGTCAAGCTTACTTCTAAGTCCCTGTTTATCGTTAAGCACGAAAATATCTGAACCAGTAATGGTGTTGCTGCATGAATAACTATAATACGATTTCATCGGAGGACTTTGTTCCGATTCAAAACCACTTTCGTGTCCATTTCGATGTGCGGCATGATGAACCCCAATCTAGACGCAATAAAGATAAGAAGCAAAACTAGTTACATGAAAATTTTCTGTTGACAATAAGCAAGTAAAAAGTGGCCCTAAACAGAAGATACTTAAGTGTGGTCAGTAGAATTCAAGGTTTTACGGAACGACATCGTTATTAGTTTATTTGATATCTTGACGTACGCACTAATTCCTCAGTAGCAGAAAGCTTGCTTTATTTAAACATACAATAAGCTTTCACTAACGTCTTAGAAACTTATAAGAGTTACACTGAGGTTCATTCATCGATTCATTTGCCTTCGATACTGGCTTATATTTATTTTAGTAGTATACACAAAAACATGTACATTTAGGGCTATATACCAGTAGAATCTGTTTTAAGATATCTAAGTCAACTTTTTTCAGTACAATAAATGACAGTTATGTTGGATTCTGGTTGCCCTGTCCTACATCACCAGAAAACAGTGAGATCAATTAAACCTCGACTGTATTATGAAATGAAATAATTTAGATTCGCACGAGGCATTTATGTTGAGTTTTCAATTTGTACTGATTCAATTCGCAGATAATAAACTTCTATAGCACAACATCACCTAACATATATCTTATTTAGAAAAAGTTTAACCCAATTTTGTTGGCGCAGTGGTATAGAATGATTGCAGTATAAATGCAAGTAACATCTTACTGGAAAATTATGGCTTTCATACCGTTAGAATACTGTCTATACTACTTTTGAGGATTGTCCCATTAAACACATTCGAGTGTATGGTTGAACCCAGTACTCAGAATATACAGTGTATTATAGATTAGTATAAATCTATACAAAGTCTTGTCTTTATCTAACTATAACTGACTATATTTTATTAACTTACTATTAAGTGTGATTGTACTATTTAAATGCCACAAATTTGGCATATTGTTTCCAAACTACCGTCTATATATATATATATTTGGTTCAGGCACGCGTAACTGATTTATTTCAAATCATGTTTTATTAAATATATGTATCGAGTTTTTTTTAAATTAAAGATTCAGTAATTTTTTTACTCAACAATTTCTCAATTATTAAATTAATATCATATAATCAATGAATTAAAACAAATATCACCAGTATGTCTGTTTGAGTACTAATAACACTTTTTATTTAATTATTTACAATGGTGGAGAAGATTTGTAGCTCAGGTGGTTGATATTGATGGAGTTTTGTTCTCTGAGCTGGACTTCTACCTGAAGTTTGTGCTGATGATGTCGTTCAGAAGAACGATGAAAGCTTCACAATCAAACCATCTAGCTCAGAGAACAAAACTCCATCAAAATTATTTACAATCAAATAAGATAGAAAAGCGGTAGTTCAAATTCGAATCCAAGTGATTGAAAGTTTTAAAACTTTTATTCTCTAATATATAATATTACTTAAGTGATCGATTAGCCTTAAATCAATGATACAAATTATTTTATGAAGCAATACTAAAATAGTATAATAATAATAATCGTTGTATATTTTATCTTTTGTACGGAACAAAGTACAAGAACTTATTATTATTTAATTAGTTCTTGAGTAGATTTTTTTTAAAGTGCGTGGTAGATGGGTTAAACTGTATCCATTCACTATCTGTTTCTAAATTATATTAGAATTTTATACCAAGATACAATAAATTTGAAAATATGAAAAATAAAATTTCTTTTTAAAGTACACAACTACCTTTATTTGTTTCTTTTAAAAAGAAGTAATAAACCGCCATTACAATGAATGTTATTCAATTGAAAAAAACAGTAATTGAAGAGTTGACAAACTATATATATATGGAACAGTTTCTGAATTACATCAACAACAACAATGAGAGAGTTATTTGTAAGCATTCAATTTAAAAAAGTACTCATATAAAACATAGGAAAAAGTAACATAAACAAACTAACCTGTTTAGTATTGAATTCTGATAAGTAATTATTTTCATAGTTCTGATGTAATACATCATGTCGAGTATTATTTGAGCATGTATCATGACACAACTCAGTAGTTACACGTTTATTCACATTAGTTTTAATATTTTGATCAATATAAATTGATAATTCTAATAAACGTAACCATAGAGTATGAAATTTCGCTTCTAATTCACAAACATTTCTTGATAAATTATGCAAATTATTTTGAAATTGTATATCAGCCAGTGTACTAAGTTCAACATGATCAACTAATTCTTTAATAGTTGATAAAGTTTTTGAATATTGTTCAATTTGCTTTAAACAAACCTATAATGTAAATGAAATGTTTTCAATAAATTATACAAAAGTTGACTGGTATTTAAAAAGAAAAATGTAATTACTAATGTGAGAATATTGCCGGATTTATTCGATTGTAATTTGTAACTAATCATAGACAAGAAACTCTATGGTGAAAATGAAGATGAGTGTCTATTGACAAATGACACTAAACATCGGATACTAATTTATTTACTCAATAGTCATAGGTTCATTATCAACTAATCCGTTTAATTTATTATTCAACATTCAGAAACATAACAAAACAGGGCTCCTTTTTGTGGAAAATGCTTCATAATTGATTAAAATTAGTTTAAATAACAAAAACGTTTTTCTTTTAAAGGAATACAATATTTTGTACGAAGAGTATAATAGTATACACCGTTCACGATATCATGTATCTGGTTAACCGACTAAAAGTATGTGATAAAACAAATAACTAGAAAAAACTAAATATATTTTTTCAAACATTGTTTTAAACTTTTATAAAACTAAATAATCATTCGAGTGATCGGTTTCGAATCCTACTTTTGTATGCAGCCCTACTGATAAACTATGGTAGAACATGGTTTATACCTATACCCTAATGGTTATAAACTTATCACTGTTTCACGTTATAGTAGTTTACAATTACTTTATCATCAAACCTTAAAATTATCAATGATACAGTAGATATGCATGCATATTCCAGGAATGCCCTTTGTATTATTTGTTGAGAAACTGATAACTTAGTAGGTTATTCATCAATATTGGTAAATGTGAGGTTAATCCTCCTTTATTTTTTAATCAAACACAGTTTAGTGCTCTAAAGCGGCTGACAAGGCTCATTAGTCGATATTAGTGATTTAACATATCAAAATGTAATATTCCACTGCACACATTTACATAACCCATTCTTTAACATATTTGTTTGTTGTTTACATTGTCATGAGCATTTTTGTTTTGTATAAATAAACACAAAGATGCATGATATTTAGTCACAACATATAGAGATGTTTTTTAAAATAATTGTATTCACAGTAATAATCTGATACAAATATTTTCATCCTGTCAACATTTATTTACAGATCACTTAATCAAGGATTAATACAAGATCTCTTTTCATGGACATTAGGTTCCTAATTGTAATTTAGCTGCACAATTATTAATTACTTTATTTATTTATTTGAAACTGTTGAGTTAGGTATGAGAGTAAAATATTTAATTCATAAAACATATTTCACCTGATAATATTTAGCTGTAGAAAATTTCTGAACGTTGGATAATGACATTAGACAAGTCATCCATGCTGACGTATTTGGTAAATCTGTGAAAATTAAATATATACAACATTATTTCAATGTGTAACTCACTTTTTTTTAAGATTACTGTATCATGGTAAAAAGCATTGAAATATATATCGCTCAAAAAATGCTTCTAGGTGAATGTACAACCTCAACTGAGAAATAGTTAAGTTTCAGATAGTTTTGCGTACATTTAAAATTTCTTTTATATATAACCTTGAACATAAAACTCGCTAATCAAATTAGCCATTCTCTTACACTTTAGTGCGTTTCACTGTACAAGGAAAATAGTTTCCGGAAGTTTTCTTATCAGCTATGTAGAATTCAAGAAAGGTAAGACGCTATTTATGACAAGACATATTCATTCATTCGTTCAAAAAATATTGAGATTGTAGGCTTACGATATTAAGACAAACAAATCATGGAACACATTTAGTTTATCAATAGTAGAAATTAATCGCCGAAGATAAACTCATTTGTCTTAAAAACACGGTTGTATACAGATGATATATGCGTTGTCTTATTATATAAATCTTTGTTCAACATTAGTTTTAAATTCAGAACAGAGACAAAATATTTAGAAAAAGTTGGAGACAATACTTTTGGCGATAACACATCACATGTATCTTCATTAGTGTGGAACATGAGTCTAGTGAAAAAAACACAACTGGTGTAAGGTCTGTAAAACTTATTTTAACCAAAATTTACTATATATATGCATTCTGAAAATAAGATAATGGAACAAAACATCAAATGTAAAGTTCGTCAAGCAGGAATATAACTTAATAAGCCATTAGGAGGACCCAGAATCAATGAAATGATTTTCATTAAATGTTGTCACATGCTTGAATTATTAGGTTTCAATATCTTTCTACTGCTTATCAGTGTGATGAAGTTTGGTGAAATTCTAAGTTAATAGTATCAAACATTTCCCATCGATTTCGCATGTAGATATGTGCCATAACATGACATGTTTTAAGGTTTAGGCCTTCAAATAAATGTTTCAGTGTTTTGAAAACAAACGTCGTATAAACCAAGGAGACTTTCCCTATTGTCAATATCTTAGTGATAATGTCAACCGAAACTTTCACAATATTCAGAAAACTGAATCCCACTGCATAAAACAACCCATATATACTAACAACTCATAACTAAGATGAAAACCTCAAGTACTCCGTTCAGGATACGGCAAATACCGAAAAAAATTGGTCAAATACAGCCCTGAATACCAGCGATGGGAGAATACAAACCTAAACAGAAAACACTGAGCTCTTTGAACAAGTTAGTCACAATCTAAAACTAGTGTATCATTGGATAACACAATGACTTTTAGGCAGCAGTTACTAGTTTCGAAACTGAGTGCTTATCAGCGTTGGAATAAAAGTATGTCCAGTTAATATATCATCAGAACGTGCATCATGGATTTACCTTCTAGCCATCATCAGGTATACTGAAGTTCCGAAACTAAAAGCCAATATCAAGTTATCTTATTCATGATATACATTTGCTAATTGCGACTGATCAATCGAAATCATTAAAATGAAATCATGAGGGAGTACAAACGTTTACAAATAATTTCAAAAAAACCCCAAAATAATGCTGATAAAAATGTAGTACTTACTAGAAGCTAACGTGTTCAACCATGCATCAATTTTCCTGAGATCTGAATCAATATCTGTAAAGACAAGGTGAACAGTAATATATAAACTTACAATGAATTAAATTAATCGACTGTTGTGGTTATGAATAAACATTATATTGCTCAGTAAAGAAACACATCACTATGATGAATAGAACAAGGAAGATTATCACAACATTCTGTACTAAGTAAATTATTTTTTTAATGAATATCTCTTAGGTTGTGAGCCTTACTTCGTGTTGGAAATTCATCATTTCACAGTAACGAAAACACTCAAAAATGCACTTTATTTTTCAGAAAAACGTGGACTACTTGTTAATCACGTAAGTAGTATGTCACTGAATAAGAAAAAGAGAATTCAGCACACATAGACCTTCCTATATGTGTCTTTACACAAACGGTCGGGTAAATCAGGATGGCTATCAAACAAATCAGGAGCGGAAAAGCAGCAAGACCTGACAATATACCAGCCGAAGCACTGAAGTCAGACATCGATGTAACTACAAACATGCTTCACCTTCTATTCAAGAAGATTTGGGAGGAGGAACAAGTGTTGATGGACTGGACAGAAGGACACCTCATCAATATATCAGAGAAAGAAAATTTGGGCAAACGTGAGAACCACAGAGGCATCACACTACTCTCGGTACCAGGAAAAGTTTCCAACAGTGTTGCTGAACTGGTAAAAGACTTAGTAGATGCCCAGTTTCGACATCATAGGTCGAATTCGGTGAGGACACGTCATGTGCAGACCAAAGCACGACACGACAGATCATCGTTGGACAATCAATTGAATGGAGTTCGTCACTGTACATAAACTTTTCTAATTAGAAGAAGGCGTCTGATTATCGATAATAGAATAGTATGGAACCATCTTCGACACTATGGCGTACCTGAGAAGATAGCCAACATCATACACAATTCATACGACGAACTACAGTGCAGAGTTGTGAGTCGAGATCAGCTCACAGGTGCATTTCAAGCAAAGACCTGTGTCTCTCAAGGATGCCTACTCTCACCCTTTCTCTTTTTTCTGGTAGTTGACTGGATTATGAAGACCTCCACACATTAGGGGAAGCACGGTATACAATGGATAGCTTAGATACAACTCTACACATAACCGAAAACTACATTTGTTCTGTTATTTAAATGTTAATTGATTTTCATATTTAGTATATTGGAAAACATCTACATTATTTTCACTTTTAAATTTAGCAAACAAAATCAAACATGGTATTTCAAACTGTAAATTAAGAATGTGTCGATTCCGATAAATCCATTCGAACACATGTTTAAGTATAATTAGCATATGTTTGCATAAAAAAGAAAATGAACAAACATACATTTACCATGATCGGTGAATTATCTACACGTTTTTGAATAATCTTGAGTATTATCAAATATTTAAGTGTTTCTCTAAAGGTAATTCAATAAATTTTACAAAGTAGGTTTAAATTACTCACTAAACTTCCATTAAGAGTAAGTAGTATATATAAATGTGAAAAAAACATCGTTTTCTTGGTAAATTGTACATCACTCATACATGCTGAAAGGCGTTTTGAAAGTAGTCAAAATGAGAGTTCAAGGTACTGGTGTAGGGAATGAACACTCAGGTGAGAGCAACCAATACTTTATTTTCTTACTAAATTACAGAATATCTTCCTAAAATATGGGAACAATGCAATAAATACTTCATTTGCAAATCTTCCATGAATTGTCCTTCACATTCTATATGATTCCTTCAGTTCACAATTCGTTTCGATTTCCTTTTCTGTTTTCTTCTAGCCTACCTTCATGGCCTTCTGCTGCTTTGCATTCCTCTTCTGGTGTTACATGCTGCTTATTTCTGTCAACATAAGTAGCATACACCACACAAGTACTTACTCATCATTTTCTAACGTCAGTACGGTGGCAATTAAGCATAACATGTACAATTAGTCGATTCAAATGAAAAGAGAATTTTATGGTATTTATCAGATATAAACGTCTGGTGAAAAAGATTAATATTATGTTTCCTAGGATTATTTCAAACTGCTCAAGTAGATTCAACCTTGATATAGACATTCAACTTATAAACTACTCTGTTGTTTAAACAGTTGCGCTCTCAAACAAATAAAAAACTATTTAAATAGTTGATATAATCCAAAGGTACTTCAAAAAGATGAGAGTTTTTCTGTTTAACCGTATCGTTTACGAAACTCATTGCTAAGTTAAGTAAATCATCTTATCAAATACAGTTTTGTTCACTATAATTTGAGTGACACATTCCGCATGGGTACTTGAGATGTTACTCAGCTGTTTAGAGTGATATTCATACTACCAAACTAGTATTTAATAATTGGGTGCTCTACTTCTACAACTGTTTAATAGGATTTACGATAACTTGAAACACGTTACAGTTTATTGAGGAAAATATTTAAGTATCACATTAGCAACGAAACACTAAAAAATCAAAAGTGAAACGTCATGTACTACGAAAATAAAGTCCATTCACAGATAATAGAATAATTAAAATCTTAGAAAGATATAGAATCATGTACGACTAAAATTGTGTGCAGATGAAAACAATTATCAGAAGTCAATTACTAATTTAGTTTTATAGTAAAACCTACTTGGTTAGTTTAATGGAAACATTGTTATTATTACCATTATTATCATTATCATTATTTGAAGTATGTTCTCGTTAAGACGTGACAACAGCTAGACGGTTATTAAAAATAAAAAGTGAAATGAACAATTATTTCATTCGAGTTTCAAAGCACCCCTTGAGTGTTCCACCTTAATCTCCTATAATTAACCCATCTTAATATCATTGATACACAAAGCTGAGGAGTTCAATATCCTTCTCATTAAATAATATGAATTCATGATAACCTATACATAAAACATGAAATTTACTCACGTATTTCAAAACACATTTATTGTTAAAGTAACACTCTCCATAAATTTTATTTGCAGTAATAGTAGCATCCTGATGTTATAAGTTTACAACAGATAAGTGTATATTAAAAAAAGACTACCAAACATTGAGAAAAATTATCATTCCCACTAATTATTTATATCAAAACTCTATACATTTTATGAATGGAAATGGTGGACTTGACATAGGTATCGATTAGTTGACACCGTCACACTTTACATGTACATGAGGAGTAGGGAAAGCGATCTATTAAACTGTCTAAGGAGATATCAACAATAATAACTTAATAAATCTGAAAATTAATAAGCCATGCGGCAATGAAATGAATAATAAACACTTATAAAACTTCAAACATCATAGCAAGCATTGTAATGGTGCTTTAACTACTTTATTTACTGACAATTCATAAACAATATGTATATATACATTGAATATATGTTTATTAGTTTATTTCTATAAATAATTTCCAAAATATATACAAATATATTTATAAATGATCAATCAATAAAGTGTTGGTTACTTTCCAAGGTCATTCGTTTTGTTAAGGCTATCAACTTTTGATCAGTAACAAATATAAAGATTTTAATTCATAAACACTATTAATTAATATATACAACTGTAAAAGCATGTGGTCAATAAAAGTAATCATGATAACATAAAATAATTTCATCATTTAGAAACTTTATGGTCTAGTTGTACAATAAGTAAATCACCAGTGAATCGACTACATACAACACTTATAGCAATTTCGCAGTAACAACAACCACACTAACGATATTTCAAACAAGGATACGACAACTTAGTCTTCTATTTAATTCCTGAAACACAAATCGTACTAGGGAAAATATATCAGGTTAAAGTACCATTTGAGTTAATTCAGTTAGACATCGATTAAATTTGATGATTACCAAATACAAAAATGATCAAACTGGAAAATTGTCACATGAATGTAAAATCACGCTGAATGTGAATTTATGTAACTAAATTTTATATTAAACATCAGTCAATTGAACAAAATATAATGGACTAATTGATACAAATAAATATTATGCTGAAAGTAGAAACTACACTGAATCATTATAAAAATCAAGTGAATGAAAAGCACATTTGAAAAATCAATGCATAATTATTCACTTCGTTACTTCCTGGTAAATTGTATTCGAGGAATGAACATCGTCAACAATCAAGCACAGTTTATTTTCCCATCACTAAAGATTATTATTATATATATAATGTATATTCATATTCCTCTTATCACAAGCTTTATTTTGACATATAGACTAGTATTATACAATTTGCTATTCTTAAGTTATACCCAGTTTATTATTTAAATCTCTTGCTATCAAAGTCACTTTTTCGGCTGAGAGTGGGGCGTGTCCGCTCTCCCTCTCGAAATAACCTCACATGGTCACGCATATACAGCCAGTGATAGGGAAGTCCTACTAAATGCTTTTTCGCGGCGGATGTGTGGTTTACAAAATTGAAAGGACAAAAGGCAAACTTCCGGTGCTTTGACCAGGTTGGTGGACATGGAGAGTCCGCCTAAGGGAATTGAAAAACCCTGATTCCAAACCAATGGTGCACATGGGCTCCAGGATCCTGAAATAACAAATGGCATATGAACCTATTGTTGGTCACCGGCTGCCATGGAACTGCATCTCCTTACGTTACTCCACTGCTTTGTGGATCAGACCTTTAGGTCGAATGCTCCGGGTGTGGCTCCCTAAGAAAACTACCTGTTTCGGTTTGGGCAGCCGAACAGTATCACAGCCCTCACACAGATTGAATGATTTATGTGGCGCATATCTGTTTGGTGCCTCCTTGTACCAATGTTTATGTGTTTATATAAATAAAAAATGATCTGGTGTGGTTGGCTGGTATATAAAACAAGTATGTCTGAAATAAATGATTCATATATTTGGAACTAGTATTGATGTTTTTGACTCAACAGACAGGGCTAGACGGGAAAACGACCAATTATGACGCTAGGCTGCTCATACCGGTCAATACGTCATTGGTTTGGCACAGTGCTAAGATTGTATAAGTCGTATTCTGATTGGTGAGCAAGTCACGTGATATTTAACCGTCTGGAAGTCACAACATTGATGCTTTTTCC